GAAAAGTGAAAGGACGCCATGGTATTTTCCACTGCACTTTCTCCTCCTGACAGGGTCAAAGAGGTATGTCCTGGGGCAGCCACCCAAAAGTACGACCCGCAAATGAATGCAATGAGCCGGAGTCAAGGCAGAAAAAGTCCGAGTTCACTTTTTCAACCATTTTTTATTCATACAGAATTCAAATTTCTAAAGCAAATTAATTTGTCTTGCAAATTTTTTTGGGGCTGGAGCTAAAAGGCAAAGTAGTTTTCAGCATAAAATGCAAAATGGCTGAAACAAAAAAAGTTTCTGAAAAATAGAAATTGCTCTTCAAACAGACACTTTTGTGCAAAAACATAGAATCAGGATAAAATCCAATCAAAAAATGTGATGTTGATAAAACAGGCAATTTTTTCTCTTCGTTGTAGAAAATAATAGCTTTGCTGAAATGAAATTCTTAAAAAGGTATAACCATATAGGAGAGCTTTAATATATTATAGAATATAAAGGCTTGGCGTGACTAGTTTTAAAAATATTAAATACATAGATATCCCTGGACAAATTATAGCAATTGTTAAATGGATACGCGCCCCAAAAAAACACCATCGATTTTGAGAAAAGCCAACGTTTATTTCGTTGCCTCGACACGAACGGAAAAAAAGGACGCAAATCGATTTTTGACCAACCACGCCGGTCATTAAAGGTGTGTTCTATTCTACTAAGGACAGGAGAGCGTGACCAGGTAAATTACTTAATTAACGCACTTCTCCGACAAAGGCAAACTTGCTCTCCGTCAGTCAAGTTTGTGTCAAAAAGTGTTCTGCATTCGGAGACCTCGACCTTGTTGAAAAAACTAGCCAAGAACTGCCTGAATTGTGTGTAAATGTCAACGAGATTGGCATTTCGGTGACAACTTGACCTCTTGACCTCGCCGATATCGTCATTCGGCAGTTTAAACTTTTGTTATTTTTTTTTGTGGAAAAATCAATTGGAACCAGAATTGGAAATAGAAACAAAGCCACGCACAGGTTCTGTCAGCAACAGAATCAGAAATCGTGGAACTTTGTGGCCGAAATTGACAGGCCTCCATTAGGGCGATCAAATATGCAGACATTGCCAATTAGAGGAATTTTTTGTGTAGCCAGCAAATAGGCCATAAAAAGTGTCAACATGTCACATGTACGGATATACACTTTAATTCCATTCCACGTACGTAAGGACGTACCGTTCGACGTGGAAGAAAAGCGAAAAAACAAGTTTCCTCCGTCATAATCTTCATCTGCTTTTCATGTAGCCGTGCAACGAGCTCTTTGGCTTATTATTTATTGGCTTTTTGATAAGCCAAATTGCCAAGTGTGGTCTTTTCTGCCTTACATTCTTTATGACTTTATAATGCCCGCTCAGCGCACTGAGGCAATCCTCCCATAAATCTTTGCCACAGGAGTCTGGGTTGTTTTTTTGTTATTCAGTTTGATTTTGTTTGTGACTCCTTGGAGTGCAATAAAACAATTACCAGGACCTGCTTAAAACCGTATTTGATATTGACAAGAGGCAAGCTGGAAATGGCAAACTGGACACAGGACGTTCACACAAACTCAATCACTGAAATGGATGTGCCTCTGATTTTCCGTTCGAAGCATTCGGTTTGCACAGCCCTGGGCCAATTCTCGCATGTCTGTCAACACAATTCACAAATATACTCTGTCATTCAATATTGTTGTTTGTCAAACATTTTTAGTCGAGCCATGTTGACTCGAGTGGTTCATACTTCCCAGTACCACTAGGCGTATGCGTAATATGGATTATCGTTTGAACATATTACTCATACGCCTTGTGTGTCGCTTTACCGAGATTTTACATATGTTTTTTAAAAGGTTTTGAATAATTTATTGTACTAAAAACCCAATGGAGCAAAGAGTATAATTTGATAATAGTACATTTTTGATTTATTAGGTATTTAAACACATTACTCAAGTATCGCTACTTCGAATTTGTACAAGTTTTTCTAAAAGGTTTGACTATTTTTAAATGATTTACTAAATATACAATGGAACATACGTATGATTTGTCTTTAAAAGTTTTTAATCAAAAAATTCTATAGGTTTTTTATTCTAAAAATACTACGCTTCCGAAAGCCCTCCAACAAGGTTTGATTTTGGTTCAATTTTTGCCAATAAAGTTGATTTATTTTTCACTGGTTGTGTAATAAATCAAATTCCACTCAAACCCAGTTGAAGTTCACTTTATAATATTACAGAATATTTATCATAAAACCTACCAAAACCAATATTAGAAAATAATTTATACACACTATATGTGAATGTTAAAATTAAAATCAATTTACTCACTTTAGGTCTGTGTTACTTTTCCAAATCGCTGCATTCGGCGTGGCCATCAAATTGTTGGTTTTTAATTCGACGTTTTCATTTCATTAGCATAGGCGTGATTGGTATTTAAGCATTGCAGTTTAGCCTATCGATTATGGTGGGTAAAATATTTCACTTTGCACACACACTTTTCTTTGCAGGAAGAATATGGAATTTGTATTTTTGGACACACGTTAGGATATGCCACCTTATGTATATGTATAACTGATGGATTATATTATAGACACCAATAGAATCGAAAGGACTGAAAGGAAAAAGAAAGAAAGGATAATGTATTAGCTTATGCAATACCCCAGAGGAACAAAGTAATCTCATAAACATTTTAGTCACATACGTGACCAACGTATACCAACGGGCTCTAACCCTTTATCTAATTTCCCAAAAAGCAATTCCACGACCTTGCCAAAAGCATTAATAACAATTCTCCCACATATAATTTGTTGTAAATGCATGCGTAAGCGGCTCTGGCCCAAAAGCAACGCCCATCAACCAATTTGATTGCACAATGGCTAGACAGGGGCAACAAAAATATTTTGAAAGGATATGCCTGGCATTGGATGAGTGCGTGAATATTGTACAAAAAACATGAAGGCTAATAAAGGGTTTAGTTGCGCATACAAACGACAACGAATACATATTCACACGTGTCTACTCTTATGGGTCTGTGAGCTACAATTTTTGGGTGAAAAGTTTCGTGATGCACAGTGGTTGAGTCTAGAAAATATAATTTTGACGTCTAATTGTAATGTGATATTTATCAGAGCTACAAGCCTTTCTCTGTGTAATGTGTACTACCTTATGATTTTGTTTCTTCCTAAATTATTTAATTAGGAAATTATCAGAGCGTTTAATACAAAATATGTCAGTACATGGATAATAAATAATAAATAATAAAATAAATAAATAATATTACTTCGTATAATGGCTGTTTATAAAGTATAATAAAGTGTATTATAATTTCACAAAGTTATTTTAAAGGTATATTGGTCACTAAACCTTATTTAAGGGCCAATAACTAAGATATAGAAGAAAAAATAATAAGTAAACTTTCTATTATTTATAAGCCGCTTGAAAAAAATCTACAGGGCTTTAATAAACTGCTACTTGAACGCCAACCAAATGAAAACCATTTCTCTGCTCCTTATTCTCACATCTCCTTTCATTGTTAATGTGGCACTGTGCCCACACTGTAAAGGTCCTTTGGCCGCTCACTCCCTTTTTTTTGCCCTTTGTAATACTTTTATTCCATTTCGCCTTGTTTTGCGGGCACAGATGTGACATCGCCTGTCGACCAGCTTCAGCTGAGATTGAGGTCCTTCGATTGAGATCCCCTTTTATATTTAATGCACGTTCCCGACATATTTAACGAATTCGGAGTGAATTTGGTTTGGTTTGCGTTATGCCTTCTGGCTAGAGCGATTTACATAAAAATGTGCATTAAATTACCAAAACCTAGGGACCTTACATGTCCTTTAAGGATTTAAAAAGTCTCATAAAAGCACCGAAAGCTGGAGAAAGCACGCAAACTGCATATTTACTGCTGCTCCTGCCATAAAGTCCAAAAATATAAAAACTCAAAGACGACAATATCAGCGAAATAAGGTTTTTAACATTTACGAGTGTCGCTTCTTATGACCGAAAATAAAAGGAAATAAATTCAGAAATTCACCAATTCCAATTTCTTTTTTGGTCGTTATATTTTTTCGCAGGATGCCAGAAAACACGTGCATCCTTTGCGTCCCCAAAACGAACTGAATTATTTGTGCAATCGTTTTAACCCTTGTTGTCAAAGTTTAAGCGCATCTTGAATTATTCAGGGAAAATATTTAAAAATGTGTGGCTTGCCGGATTAATTAATTTCTTGGCTGTAAACGAATTTGCATGGCAAATAAATAATAGTCTCTGGTCATATTTTCTGGTGCTCGACCATTCGGCCAGTCGGCCAGAAACCTGTGGCCCAAAATAAAAAAATGGAAAACCATAAAAAAATATCAGAAACCTCACCCACGCAAAGTGAAAATGTAGGTCAGCAATGTGAATTGAAAATCAGAAGAAAAACAACAAAACTCACACATGTCGGGCGGGAGGGAAATGAGTGTGTGTACTTTGTGTTTTGTGCCGCAGTGTAAAATCAATTTTCATGAAATGTGCCATGCGTCGTATGAGTAATCAGCGGGGACAAGCCAAACAAACAAAGCCTGGCCCAGACAAAGAGCCCCATCACAAATAGGAGTACGTAGTACGTACATATGTGTGGCATTCGTGTATTGGATGGCGGTAACATATTGCGATATAAATCAATTTAGCGCTAATTTCAATAAACCGAACAGGCCTATAAAAAGCACCAATGATATAATTCGATAAGTAGAAAAGATTGCCGTTAAAACAAGTGGCTAGCCAGTTTATTGGCTATAACTATTTTCAAATGACCTTGCCGTCGGCTGTCGGCCGTCGGGATTAGCACGAAGGGACTAATTTTAGACAATTAGGTAAATGATATTAGAGCTAAACACTATCTTGTACCTAAAAGTAGGCAATGTTTTGTTTACCTTGTTATTGAACTCCAGTTTTAGTTTTCTTTATTCACTATTGTTTGATGAGTTTGCCGTTTTACATTAAATTATTTTAAGTTTTTTGAGTTCTATTTAAATCATCAATACTATTATTATGAAGTAGCAACAACACATTAGAATCTTTAAGTTGGGCAATTTCGAACCCTTTTTGTTTTGTTTGTTTAGCTTGGACTGCAGTTGCAATTGCAATTGAAAATACTCGTAGCCCGGACCGGAAGTATGGATGACGTTATTCTTTCCACCTTCGCAGTTGTCTCCATCGTTACTGTCCCCGAATTTGATGTTTTCGCAGTTTTTTATGCACATTTTCTACGGATGACCTTTGTACTCCTCGGCAGTCAGTGGTATTATTGTGCTGGCGAATTTATTTGATTACACTTTCACAGTTTCACGAATGGCTTTGCTTCCCTGTGAGCTCATTTCCCTTTGCAGTTTATATGGGGCCGTTTGTTATCAAAGTCAGGGGTTTTCATGGCTTTGAAACTTTGCTTGTAGCAGTTCCATAAAATATGTGTATGAAAAAAAAACGCTAAAAGAAGAACTCCAGTTAAAGTCAGTTGATCAAACATCTAAGAGGTTAATAAACATAAAACGGAAGCACAAACTCAAAGTGAATAGAAATACAATGACGGCTCATCGAGGAAGCGACTGCCAAGGGAAGCACATTTCTTGGGGTGAAGGAGCCTACTTTTTCGGACATTTTGCGTATTGGATTTCAGAGGGAAAATATTTGAACTGCGGATTAAGATGATGGGTGTGTAGTCCAAACAGGTTCTTTGGGTAATGGCATGCTTGAAAGTTTTCAAGGATTTTAATGGGTTATCTTCCTTGAGCAGATAATCGGATATTTTCTTTTAGAATTTCACTTTACGGATTATCTTATTTAATTATCGGATAATACGTTAAGACAAAACATTGGAAGAAAATAATTAAAATAAAACAACCATCTGTTCTACTACATATCTATATCTATCGTTCTTAAAAATTTAAACTGCAAACTAAGGTCGTATAATATTTCTAGTCTTAAAGCTTCATTGTTTGGCCTTAAGCTGTTAACTTAATCACACACACGATTCAATCTATCCATCTATCCAATAGAACGATGGGACATTAAAAGTTTTATATGGCCAAGAGCAAGGATGCTCCAGGGACTCCTTTGGGCTTTGGCAAAGACAAACGCGTTTATTTCAATCTCATTGGGAAATATCACACATACGCCACGTGGGCCCACCTGGGCAAGAAACGGGAGTGGGGAATGATTTCGGACGAGTTTGCCACTTTCACTTTTCACTTCATTTGACGCGAACTTTTGGCGCTGATATTGTTGCTCAATCAGCCAGCTGGTGACCCAAGTCCGTGTGCCACACGCTCCCTTTGCAGCCGTTTTGTATACTAAAGGACACGGACACGGCCTGAAGGCGGCGAACACTGGATGCCGAGCAGCTGCGTCCTCGAGTCCTGCGGGAAGAGAGCCTCGCTCTCACTCTCTGTTCGGCTTCAGCCTGTGGTTTCTGTCAGTTGCGCGCGCAGGAGTGTCGGGAGAGCTGGAGCTGCCAAGTTGGCCAGTTCGCTTGGCTTTTTTGTTTATAACAACAACTGTAGGAGCCAACAACAAGGACTAGGGAGTATATCGTCGAAAGTGCCTATTGTTGTTGCCTGGCTTGGCCATGTTTTTTATTTTTAGTTTTTGTTTTGCGAGCTGCTGCTGGTATGCTGTTGCTATTGCTTACTGCACTTAACTTGAACTTTTGGAGCTTGCTTGTCGAAAAGTTGGCAGCGGACAACTTCAAGGAATTTTGGAAAAGATTTCACTTCATGCTGAGACATTCAGGCGTTGGCCGCCAGGCCAAAAACACCCCACTCCACCAACACACAATGGCACACACCCATATGTGGCTGGTGTGGCTCCTCAGCCACATCCTTGCGCGTCCTCACACGCCCACGAAACGACTTTGAAACAAATTCACGTTGGCCTTTGGCTTTGGCATTGGCCAGTCTCATTAATGCCAGAAGTTATAGTCTTGTTTGGCACATACTCGCCGAATGAAATTTTGCAAATATATATCCAAGACATTCAGCCCATCAAGTTGACTAATTTGATGCTTTCAGCTTAGTGTCCGTCAAATGGCTCCTTAATAAAGCCACAAAACAAATGTCGAAAGGCTCAGAGATGAGACCAAAATCGGTCTACAAGTGTTAGGGGAAAAAGAAACTAATAGCTTATGATGGAGCCTTTTATGTATATAGTGTTGATTGTGTTTTTTATTCTTGAAAGAAAGTTAGACTAAAATTTCTTCTACACATTGTATTCCTATTAAATCATACTAAAATGTTTGAGAATACAAAATACACCTTACCCTAAGTTTAAATTAAATTTTCAAAATAAAAGAAAAGTTTTCTCTTTCTTTGAGATCGAATTCCCTTGCAAGTTGAACAAAAATTTCTTTTGTGGGCTCGTCCTTGAAAAATCCCAAAAACGTCTTTGCTGCAACTCATGAATGTGCCGATGCCTGAACTTATAGACTTTGCGGTTTAGTGTGGATTTTGCAAAAGCAATACACACTCGTATAGCTGTTTTGCATATCAGCTCAGCACTTAGCACTCCCAAAGCCCCCAACCACCCGACAGCCCCCGGACACCCTAGACACCCCCCAACACCCCATTCTGTTTTCAAATGCATAGAGTCGAGGCTGGATGGGGTATTCATCGAAATTATCATCTCGCTGTGCACGCTTCGGCTCCGTACGTGCCGTCGCCAGGATAGCTCGAGCTGTTGTGCGTCCTTGCGCCTTGGACGGGGCCCCATTCCCCATAGCCGATGCTCCATGCCACACCCACTACCACTCGCAACCCCCTGCCCATGGTCAAGCTGCTTATCTCACACAAAACACTGGTTGCTTTTTGAAAAAGAAAACGACGAGACTTGCCAAACAGGAATTGGAGCAAAAAATTGCAAAAGTGAAATGTCGAAATCTTTGCTATTCAAAGGCGAGAAGGAAAAATAAATTCATAGAAATTATATACAAGTTTATGGCGTGCCAAAATCCTAGTTTTTTTTCTAGATTTTCCTACTTTTGTGTTTAGTTTTTTTCAATTGTTTGCTGTGACTTTTGCTTCAACAAGTACCACGTGGGAGACTGGCTTTTGGCCTGGCTAGCTGTAAGCCTGTGGGTCTCCTTAGGAAGTGGTCATAAAACAATTCGGAAAAAGGAATTTGCAATACTCTGGTACATGCATAAAAACTGACCATTTGGCTTTGGGGAAAGGGGAAGGAGAACAGTTGTACTAAGGCAGTTAAAAGGCAGTTTTATATTCATTACGAGTCAGGCTGCAGGAGAAGAAACAACAACAGCCAACGGCAACAGAAACTACCACAACAAACAACAACCAGCCACAACAGCCAGCAAGCAGCAACATCAACAATTTACGATTCCAAACCGAGTAGGTCGAGTTTTTTATGGTTGCCACAGCTCACCTCACACAAAAGGCACCTCTTTCTCCACTTTCTCCTTGATATCGTACAAAATGGCCGCAAGCCGATAGCTTTAAAAATAAAAAAAATAACCAAAACATAAAAGAAAAGTATATAGTGATTAAATCTTTAAAATAAAGGATATTAGAACACACCGCTTTCAAGCTAAAAACGTTTAATAAAAATGTTAGAAATACTTTTTACAAAAATATATAAAATTTAAAGAAAAGCCTTGCCTAAAAGACGACTTTACAAATGTAACTTTACTCTTAAGTATAGAATTTTTTACCAATTATTTTTTAATGGGGAATAATCCTTATATAAAGATAAATAAAAAAAACATTGCGCAAAAACCTTTGAAGAGGATGTGAATGAGAATTGCTAACGGCAGAATTATTGAAGGACGCATTCGCGCACCTCACACAAACTCAAACGCACATACATAAAAACAGGACTAGGATCCTTGCTGTAGACACACCTAAGGTGAAGCTCCGACATGCCTTAGAAAGTGGCAGAAACAGGCGAATACTGCAGTGGTGAGAGTGGCCGGAGCAGGATGGGCAAGGCGGAGAAAGTGAAAGTAATGGGCAGGCTGAAAACTTTTTCTTCGCTTAACTAACTCGACTAAAACTCTACTCTGCTCAGCTCATTCTGAAGGACTTTTGGTCCGCATTTTCTCGCTTTTATTTCATCTTTTTCTCGTTTTTTTTTTTTGGGTTTTTGGTTTTGTTTGGCTTCTGCCCTTTTGCAATTGCTTATTTGTTTTACGCTAAAAATTAAGCGGCCACGAAAAGTTTGTTTGTGGGTTTGGTAAATTACTTTACATGCCACTTGAGCACGCAGGCAGTGAACAAGCTAACCGACAATCGCAAGGAATTTAATTAAATTAAAAATAACAGATAATACAAAAGAACTAAAATAAATTAAGTTAAAGTCACTAAGAAATGGCTACGTAGAATGTATCTGACCGAAGTATATACTTTCCCATCTAACCGACGATGACAACCCATCAATTATAATGGCAATTACTTTTCAATCGCAAGAATTGATTGTTATCAGACACCGAACACTGCAATTACTTTGCAAACAAACTATTACCCATAGTAGCCAATTTTTTTTCAACAGATAAATGGCCATTTATTCAAAGTACAGCTCAGGAAATAAAATTGTTAAATAGAAGCAATTTGGCCGTGTTTCAAGCAGGGCCAGAGACCAGAGGCATTTTTATCAGGCCATTTCTGGCTTTCTGCCACTTTTGCCATTAAAGTGCCACGCATAAACGAAGCTGCCTGATAAGAGATACATTTTTTTTTACATACTTTCGGTTAAAGCTCTAGCGACGACAGCCACAACAACAAGATGAATTCGAAGGAGTGGGTTTACGATTTAGATATTTCCACTAGACACGCACGTTTAAATTTAATTTAATTTTGAGTCTTTTTTAAATGAATTTCTAAGGATTTTATCAATCGGCGAACAACACACACGGATATAGATAGACAAGCTCTTTAAATTAGATGTTTATTTTGTATGTTAGTGATAAATTAGATATATAATATATGTACATTTATATATTTCTGATTTTGTTGTTGGTTATAGTATATGTATTTTAGCTACTGTTGCTGTTTGTTGCTTTGGGGAAATTCTTCTGTATATTATTGGTTCGGTTAAAAGTGCTGTGAGTGTGTTAACGAAATGAGGAAAGATTGTCTACTGAGTGTGCAAAAGTTGTCCGAGTCCCGACGACCCAAAAGGACCAGAGAGTTGCCTTCGCCGTACAACCGTGCGTATGTGTGATATGCGTTTCGTGTTTCCATCTGCTTCTTTCTGGTCCTTTTTCGGTTTTTTTTTTTTGTTTAGGGAAAGTGCGCGCGCAAAATGCCAACAGCCAACGTCCAACAACAACGGCCAAGGCAACACAACAGCTGTGATGTCTCAGCTGCTGCCGAGAGAGAGAAATGGAGAAAGCCGAGAGAAAGTGGCGATTCGGGCGCACGCTCACCGACGCGATGATAATGTGTACATGTGTGTGGGCCAGTAAGTATGTGTGTGGATGTTAAAGTGAAAGTAGTCTTGTTGATTAACATCCTTCAGAGTTTACCCACATTGGTAAGGTCGCCAATTTCACTGATAATAACATTTCTCCGACCTGGCAATGCTGCAACAGCTGTTACGAGAGAAACTAGGAGAGCGAAGCAGACCGGAAGTGACCGGAAGTTGAGTAAGTGGCATTTCCCATTAGAAAATATTTATATTTTACTTTAATTTTAGAAACGGGAAAATTCTTTTGCAAAGAAACGATTTACGATTTACAATAGTACAAATTAGACATTATTCCATATGGTTCGGGAATATTGGGAAAGAAAGAAAGTGGGAACTCAAATTTCATGGTGGAGCCTATTAAAAAACTAGTCAAAAGATATATATGTATATTATATTATATTGTATTAGATTGTATTAGCGAAGATGTTTTAGCTAGGGTTTTTTGTCCATTTTTCCTGATGGGATCCCTCGGAAATGGGCTTTTCCCCTATAAGGCTCACGGCGATGGCTATATCTTCCCCAATACTGATCCGATTCTCAAGCGGAGTACCCTAAACGATTTCTAGATCGATTCTGCACCATTCTGCATCAAAATCCCAATCCAAAATATTTTTTAGATTTTTTGTCCATTTTTCGTGATGGGATCCCTTGAAGATGCGGTTTTCCCCTATAGGGCCCACGGCGATGGCTATATCTTCCCCAATACTTATCCGATTCTCAAGCAGAGTACCTTAAACGATTTCTAGATCGATTCTGCACCATTCTGCATCAAAATCCCAATCCAAAATATTTTTTAGATTTTTCGTCCATTTTTCCTGATGGGATCCCTTGAAAATGGGGTTTTCCCTATAGGGCCCACGGCGATGGCTATATCTTCCCCAATACTTATCCGATTCCCAAGCGGAGTACCTTAAACGATTTCTAGATCGATTCTGCACCATTCTGCATCAAAATCCCAAGACAAAATATTTTTTAGATTTTTTGTCCATTTTTCGTGATGGGATCCCTTGAAGATGCGGTTTTCCCCTATAGGGCCCACGGCGATGGCTATATCTTCCCCAACATTGATCCAATTCTCAAGCGGAGTACCCTAAACGATTTCTAGATCAATTCTGCACCATTCTGCATCAAAATCCCAATCCAAAATATTTTTTAGATTTTTTGTCCATTTTTCGTGATGGGATCCCTTGAAGATGCGGTTTTCCCCTATAGGGCCCACGGCGATGGCTATATCTTCCCCAATACTTATCCGATTCTCAAGCAGAGTACCTTAAACGATTTCTAGATCGATTCTGCACCATTCTGCATCAAAATCCCAATCCAAAATATTTTTTAGATTTTTCGTCCATTTTTCCTGATGGGATCCCTTGAAAATGGGGTTTTCCCTATAGGGCCCACGGCGATGGCTATATCTTCCCCAATACTTATCCGATTCCCAAGCGGAGTACCTTAAACGATTTCTAGATCGATTCTGCACCATTCTGCATCAAAATCCCAAGACAAAATATTTTTTAGATTTTTTGTCCATTTTTCGTGATGGGATCCCTTGAAGATGCGGTTTTCCCCTATAGGGCCCTCGGCGATGGCTATATCTTCCCCAATACTTATCCGATTCTCAAGCGGAGTACCTTAAACGATTTATAGATCGATTCTGCACCATTCTGCATCAAAATCCCAAGCCAAAATATATTTTAGATTTTTTGTCCATTTTTCGTGATGGGATCCCTTGAAGATGCGGTTTTCCCTATAGGGCCCACGGCGATGGCTATATCTTCCCCAACATTGATCCAATTCTCAAGCGGAGTACCTTAAACGATTTATAGATCGATTCTGCACCATTCTGCATCAAAATCCCAAGCCAAAATATTTTTTAGATTTTTTGTCCATTTTTCGTGATGGGATCCCTTGAAGATGCGGTTTTCCCCTATAGGGCCCACGGCGATGGCTATATCTTCCCCAACATTGATCCAATTCTCAAGCGGAGTACCTTAAACGATTTCTAGATCGATTCTGCACCATTCTGCATTAAAATCTCGAGACAAAATATTTTTTACATTTTTTGTCCATTTTTCGTGATGGGATCCCTTGAAGATGCGGTTTTCCCCTATAGGGCCCACGGCGATGGCTATATCTTCCCCAACATTGATCCAATTCTCAAGCGGAGTACCTTAAACGATTTCTAGATCGATTCTGCACCATTCTGCATTAAAATCTCGAGACAAAATATTTTTTACATTTTTTGTCCATTTTTCGTGATGGGATCCCTTGGAAATGCGGTTTCCACCATAGGGCCCTCGGCGATGGCTATATCTTCCCCAATACTTATCCGATTCTCAAGCGGAGTACCTTAAACGATTTATAGATCGATTCTGCACCATTCTGCATCAAAATCCCAAGCCAAAATATTTTTAGATTTTTTGTCCATTTTTCGTGATGGGATCCCTTGAAGATGCGGTTTTCCCCTATAGGGCCCACGGCGATGGCTATATCTTCCCCAACATTGATCCAATTCTCAAGCGGAGTACCTTAAACGATTTATAGATCGATTCTGCACCATTCTGCATCAAAATCCCAAGCCAAAATATTTTTTAGATTTTTTGTCCATTTTTCGTGATGGGATCCCTTGAAGATGCGGTTTTCCCCTATAGGGCCCACGGCGATGGCTATATCTTCCCCAACATTGATCCAATTCTCAAGCGGAGTACCTTAAACGATTTCTAGATCGATTCTGCACCATTCTGCATTAAAATCTCGAGACAAAATATTTTTTACATTTTTTGTCCATTTTTCGTGATGGGATCCCTTGGAAATGCGGTTTCCCCTATAGGGCCCACGGCGATGGCTATATCTTCCCCAATACTGATCCGATTCTCAAGCGGAGTACCTTAAACGATTTCTAGATTGATTCTGCACCATTCTGCATCAAAATCCCAAGCCAAAATATTTTTTAGATTTTTTGTCCATTTTTCGTGATGGGATCCCTTGGAAATGCGGTTTCCCCTATAGGGCCCTCGGCGATGGCTATATCTTCCCCAACATTGATCCGATTCTCAAGCGGAGTACTTTAAACGATTTCTAGATTGATTCTGCACCATTCTGCATCAAAATCCCAAGACAAAATATTTTTTACATTTTTTGTCCATTTTTCGTGATGGGATCCCTTGGAAATGCGGTTTCCCCCATAGGGCCCTCGGCGATGGCTATATCTTCCCCAATACTTATCCGATTCTCAAGCGGAGTACCTTAAACGATTTATAGATCGATTCTGCACCATTCTGCATCAAAATCCCAAGCCAAAATATATTTTAGATTTTTTGTCCATTTTTCGTGATGGGATCCCTTGAAGATGCGGTTTTCCCCTATAGGGCCCACGGCGATGGCTTTATCTTCCCCAATACTGATCCGATTCTCAAGCGGATTACCTTAAACGATTTCTAGATCGATTCTGCACCATTCTGCATCAAAATCCCAATCCAAAATATTTTTTAGATTTTTTGTCCATTTTTCGTGATGGGATCCCTTGAAGATGCGGTTTTCCCCTATAGGGCCCACGGCGATGGCTATATCTTCCCCAACATTGATCCAATTCTCAAGCGGAGTACCTTAAACGATTTCTAGATCGATTCTGCACCATTCTGCATTAAAATCTCGAGACAAAATATTTTTTACATTTTTTGTCCATTTTTCGTGATGGGATCCCTTGGAAATGCGGTTTCCACCATAGGGCCCTCGGCGATGGCTATATCTTCCCCAATACTTATCCGATTCTCAAGCGGAGTACCTTAAACGATTTATAGATCGATTCTGCACCATTCTGCATCAAAATCCCAAGCCAAAATATTTTTTAGATTTTTTGTCCATTTTTCGTGATGGGATCCCTTGAAGATGCGGTTTTCCCCTATAGGGCCCACGGCGATGGCTATATCTTCCCCAACATTGATCCAATTCTCAAGCGGAGTACCTTAAACGATTTATAGATCGATTCTGCACCATTCTGCATCAAAATCCCAAGCCAAAATATTTTTTAGATTTTTTGTCCATTTTTCGTGATGGGATCCCTTGGAAATGCGGCTTTCCCCTATATGGTCCACGGCGATAGCTATATCATCATCCCCAATACTGATCCGATTCTCAAGCGGAGTACCTTTAAGCATTTCTGGATCGATTCTCCACCTTTCTGCGTCAAAATCCCAAGACAAAATATTTGTTAGAGTTTTTGTCCATTTTTTTGTGATGGGATCCCAACAGCTTTGTCCATTTTTCGTGATGGGATCCTTATAGCTTCCCCAATACTGATCCGATACTGACATGAAATCTAAGAAACAGCTGAGATATTGTTAGAAAAGTTATTTCATTCTATATAATAAGTTAAGTTGCTCTTACTGAGGTTGTAATCAAAATTTAAATTTTAAGTATATATTCATTTAAATATATATAAATTACATTATTTGAAAATTTACTCTATATTAGAACCTTTCTACAAACTGCAATTCAAAGCATAAACGTGACCGTCTATCGCGAACATTGGTTATTTGAGAAGTTCCGCTTGGGGAAATAAAATCATTATACTCGTAGATACATTTACATGACGGTTTCTACGCCGAAAACGAAACTCGGGCAAGTGGTGAATAAGACAAAAGAAAAGTAGAAACTATGGATGGAGTATATAACCCAGAAAATTTGAAAACTTCGTAGCACTCAGCGAAAATTGTTGAAATGTGGAGCAAATCGTATCTGGGAGTATTTCTGTTTTGTGTGCTGGCAAGCAGTGGAAATTGCATACCAGCTGGCTTACCCAGATACAATCAATTGGGGTATTAATAAAAGACTTTATTTATTTTAACATAAATATTAAAAACTTCATAACTTAATAGGCAAGGACCGCCTGCTGCTTTGAACAACAGTTTTGCGGCTGCCAACCTCCAACTGGGATACCCAAAGGAGTCCACTTCAGTGGTGCCCGATTTCGAGTATGCCTTGCTGGGTCAGGATCCAAAAGATCAGGACTGGTATCGAGTAAGTCTCACCCCGAAGACTAACAAAACTGGATACCGAGCACAGTTTGCCACCCGGAAGCATCCTCCTTTCGATCAGGAAATGGCTCACCGACACGACAAAACCATTCAGGATCTACTCAACTGGCTCGACCGTGCCGAAGATCAAAGTCTGTGGAAAGTATACAGGGACCTTTTAGGCCCTTCAACAGAACACCTTCCCGGTGCCAAAAAGATTGAAAATCAAGAACAAATCACAAGAAAGCCACCATGTCCGGATCAGAATCAGCAACTTCTGTTGGTGGGAGATGAGGCAACGGATACAACCACTTCCACATCACAGCCACCAAATGACGATTCATCCAAGACAGCCAATAATTTTGTTTATTTCATTAAAGGACTTAAGTGACTTGATAAAATTATTTTCGTTTTGGCAAAAAAAACTTTAAAATTAATTAAGATATGTTAAATTCAAGTTTTTATTAAATATTATTAAAGTGGATTTTCAAGTAGATTTGTCTTTTACCTACGTTAGGTCAAACTTCACTTCAGTCATAAGATAGTTTTGAAGATTAATATTATACTTTTTATAAACTGGAACCTGAAGAGTGCATATACATTCTTAACAGTTTATTATTCGTTTTCATTTTCATTAGAAATTTAAATAACATAAAATATAGAACAAAGAATTTGAAGAGGTTTCTGGAAAGCTTTCGCCGCCAAGTTAGTCCTAAAAGCTTTTCACAAAATTCACCAAACGCCGGTTACTTTCACCAAACTTTCTCTTATAAGCAAATGGTATTTTTTATAAGGGATTATAAGCCGGATGGTTGGATTTTGAGCATACTGCCTGATAAGCGAAACGTGGCCAAGTCAAATGAGGTCTTGCCAAAAGTTGGCGGCCCAGTTAGCTGGTGCTTGCTATGCCACTTCTGGCTCACATTGGCATTTGGTTTTAAGTAAAAAATTGCATCAAAAAAGTTTAAAAATAACATAAAGTCAAGAGCAATGGATGAAAGCGCTTTGAGCTTGACCTCGACAAAGAAAACTACTTTTTTTCGGACTTCGCCGCCACCTGGCCCGCCTCAATCCTGTTGGCCCGTTCCAGGCGAGAGTCCTCCAGCTCGTAAGCTGCCCGATAGGTGAGCTTGTCCTGCTTCTTGTCGTAAACCAACAGACTGGGATTGAGGTGTGTCGAATGGCGGTCCCCCAGTGACGTGTAACCCTGGTCGTAGAGAGTGCAGTAGGGCAGGCTATTGGCCCGCAAATAGCTCCAGATGTCGTGGTAGCTCCACTCCAGCAGGGGGAAAATCCGCATCAATGGCGGCCAGCCATTATCACAAGGTATCATCTCCGGCAGATCGGAGCAACCGGGATCGCTGTGCCGACACCCGAGGAAGACCGCTTTCAACTGCGGCTCCTCAGCCACCAGTTGCTCAATGGCCAGCTTGATAATTCCATTGTAGCGCCACAGCTGGATTCCATAGCGCTGGGAACTGGCATCGATGAAACTCTCCATTTCCTCGAAGGGATCCAGTGACCTTACATAAACGGCCCGCAGTGTCACAGCAGGGGGCTTCATCTTGGACACAATGTCCAGCAGCACCGTGCAATCCTTGCCACCGTTGAAGCTAACTATCCACTCGCTGGGACTGTACAGGTCCAGTGCCCGCTTTATCAATCCCCTGGTGCGGTTCAGCTTGTCTTGGAGCTCCACATTCAGATTGGTCTTCTCCATAACGCTTTCCGCTGGCGGAACGTGAAACCGTCGGTGCTTTAGGTAGAAGTTGAAGACGCTATGCCCCAACTGCGAAGCCAATTTCATTTCAATAATCTAGAGTGGGTTTGGTGTTATAGACATTACATTTACCGAAAGTTTGGATAAGTTTAAGATATTTTCGCTCAGCTTACTTTGGATAAGTTTTCTTCGAGAACTTTATTTTAATGTTAAATATTTACTAATACAATTTTATAAATACATTGAATAGTAAATAGCAACTAACTATAGCAAAATGAAACTGTGGGAAAGGAACTTTTCATCCTTTTCAATAATAATTTTTATATTTTTTACAAAAAGAAGCAAACTTTATTTAACATTTAAACTAATTCTTCGCGGTTTATATTTAGTATAAATGTATTAAAGCGTTTTTAAATACCTTTAAACTATTAAGCCCCAAAATAAATATTTATTTCAACATATTTATGACATCGTGGATTATATTAAAAAAGACACTGATAGACATGGAACATAAATATTTATAATATAATTCTAATTCATTTTATTTTATTTTTTTTTTTTTTAAATATATATATTGTATATTTTAATGCATTATATTCAACATTAAAATAAAAAAAAAAAAATTTAAAAAAAAAAAATTAACATAAAAAAATATTTTGTCCATAATAATGGACAAAATTATTTTAGACGCTCTTCAACTTTTTTCCACCTAAGTAAAAAGTTGGCATTTCCACCGAAAGTTTGGTTCCGCTATTTCCATAATTCATCATATTCAGTTTATAAATTTGGCATATGACAATTTGTTTACTCAACAAGTTCAGTGGCCCAAAAAAGTGGAGGAAATGTTTGTTCTTTTCACTTTCTGTTGGCCATGCAAAAAGCCTCAGTGCACACACCCATTGGACTGGGGGGTCGTCGTTGGGTGAACTGAAAACTTGGTCAGTGCTTGGATCGGCAGTTTTCGATGCAGATGTCGGAGCTATCGGTGTATATAAAGCCCACGGAGCCAAGTGGAAAGCATCACAGTCTGCTTCCAACCAGTCTAAGAAACCATCAATCAATCAACATGAAGTGCATCGCCGTCGTCGCCACCTTCTGCCTGCTGGCCGCTTACGTCGCCGCCGACAAGGAAGACAAGATGCTGGGCTCCTCCTACGGTGGTGGATACGGCAAGCCCGCCGCTGCTCCGGCCTACGCCGCCCCTGCAGCTCCCGCTTACTCGGCTGCCCCCGCTGCCCCGGCCGCCCCCGCCTACTCGGCTCCAGTCTCCATCCCAGCCCCACCCTGCCCCAAGAACTACCTGTTCAGCTGCCAGCCCAACCTGGCCCCAGTCCCATGCAGCGCCCCAGCTCCCAGCTACGGATCCGCCGGTGCCTACTCGCAGTACGCCCCCGTCTACGCCCACCAGGCCGCCCAATGGTAATCTGATCAAAGGATTCCACTGATCGCAGATACAGACAACCACTATCAGAAAATAAAAATACAAAAAAATTATGTTAAAACATAAACAAATTATGCTTTCTTTTTTAAAATTGGGAAGATAGTAAAGTGGGGAAAAAAAAAACATTTCTTAAGATTGAGTTAGTTTAGGACAGCTGCCCTTTATTGTTCTAATTAACATCGTTGCCGTTAATATACATTTGTAAAAAAAATAAGAAAAATTAACGTTAACAAACTTTATGGCTTATGTATTAAAATCGCTGCACGATACAGCCGAAGCACTTGGAATCAGCTTACTATAATAATGTAACTATGAGTTTCGAAACAAATCAAAGTAAAACAAGAATGGTAATTGTTTAAAAATGTGAAGACTTCCGAGAGAAGTAAATTCGTTTTTGCTTTGATTTAAAAAGAAGTGTTAAAGGGAAATCAATTTAAACATTTTTTAACTTTTTAAGAAAAAGTGTCATTGATTTCCTCCTAATAATCTTCTGGCTCCGCCACCTCGTCAAAGAACCGCGCAGCTTGCAGTTGCTTTCGAATGGCTCCCACCTGGGTCAGGATTTTGGGTGATGTTGTGGAAACAGTGAACTTCTGCACAGCGGGAACCTGTGAAAGGATCATTATTAAATGCTATTAAACAAAAATAATGTAATATCAAGTCCTTACCTCCCATCGCTTTTTGAGGTTATCCATCTTCCGCTGGCCATTCCCCGCCAGCGTTGTTCCCGTCTCCTGGCGAGTCATTTTAGGCATTTCTCGAAGTAGGGGCATGGACAGATTATGGCCTGCGGCCTCTCTGAGAACCACATCTCTTCTGGCCAAGCTCTGCGGCTGGGTCTGAGTGCCCCGGTTACGAGATTCGCTTTTGCTACGCTCCAGCTGCTGTTGTTGGTGCTGCTGCTTGGCCGCCAGATCACCGTAGTTCTTAAGGTAGCGCGACAAACGCTGGTCTGTCTGGCGACGCACTCGTTCCACGGTTTGCTCATCGGCACTATCCAGCTCAAAACTGGTATTGGCACTTCCCGAGGCCGCGGGCAGTTCTTCGACAATTGACGGTTTGACTGGAGTGGGCTTGTAGTCGGCATGGAACACGGAATTGCGCGCAATGTTGAGGGAATACGGCGGAGAGACTTCCGCATGATTACTGTCCGTAGAATCCTTGGCTGCCGGCACAGCATAGTTGAGTTCGAGCACTTGAAAAGCATTATCCGAGGGCGGTTCCTTGTCATTGATGTGGGCACGTTCAGCGTCCCTGCCGCAAGCGATCTCCTCCAGGCAAAACGAGCACAGGTTGCGGCGACAGTTCATGCAGACATTACGCTCCCGTTGACATGCCCGACACACATCGCTCTTGGCCAAGCACTGGGCGCACATGGCGTACAGACGCTCACATTTGTGACACACCAGGGCGTAGCTGCTCTGGCAACGATGGCTGGCATTCCCATCATCTTCGGCATCCATTTCGTCTTGGTCGGCATCCTCCTTGCTCCTAGCTGAGTCATCACTATTTTTTCCTCCATTTTCCCCGTCGCGGCGCGGCTCCTTTTGTTTCATTTTCAGTGCGAGCTTCCGCTGGCATCGCAGACAACAGCTCTCGTAGCTCTTAAGCGGTTCATCGCAAAGGGGACAGATCTTCTCGCACAGATGGAAGCACTCGCGCTCGATCTTAGCCATTTGGGGCACCTCAAAGTCCAGCTCCACTGCTGGCGGCAAGGGCTGACCACGTCTATACTCGTGATGTGCGGAGTTACTGAAGTACTTGTACACCCTATTGGCGTTGGGTTCTGTGCTGATGTTGATGTTCTGGTTGCTTTTGGTTTTAGTGCGCGATTCAGCGAGATTATTGGTCTCCTTGGCGTGCAGCAACTGGGCGTCCTGTTCCAGCTTAGCCAGCAACTGTTCCCGCATCAAGCGATTTTGTTCCGAGTCGATGCGAGCCTGCCAACACAATGAACAAAGTTGGGAGAATTTTAATTCAATTACAACATAGTGCCATTGCGTGGGAAATCTAAATCACCTAATAATACTATCAATATTACTCTCAATTACAATTAATTTTCCCTGTCGAATGGTTCTTGGTGGAGACCCAGTTCATAAATCGAATGGCAATGCCAATCAGAGGCAATTAGGACTAATCAGATCAACACTTAGTCGTAAAAATAAACTCAAGGTTCCGTAGTGTTACTAGCAGTAATTAATAAGCTGTCTAAACAATTGATTCAAGTAGATAAAATCCAAAATAAAAGTGAAATTCAAACTCTTAGCTAATAATAAGCCCCAATTATAACTTGTTTAGGTGTCAAGTATCACCTTTTCAGCCCGTAAACGTTCTTTCTCCAACTGTTCCTCCAGTTTTATGGTCTTCAGCTGGGCCTCGAGACGTCTGTTGACAAAAATAAACAAAAATTTGAGCATTTAAAGGGTAATAGAGTAGAAAATGGAGTACTACCTGGTCAGGGCCTCCTCCTGGCGTCGCTCCTTTTCCCTCAGCAGCTCTATGGACCGACGCTTCTCCTCAATCTGTTGCATGAGATCCCGCTGGTAGTCCTTTTTCCGCGCCGTTTCCAGCTCAGCACTGCGTAGATTTCGCTCCATAATGCCGTCACCGGTTACAATATTCGATAGCTCAACATGTCCCAGGTCCTGGAGCAGCCTGTGTCGCGTCGTGCCTGGCCTAATTTTGGGCGGCACATAGTTGGGATTGCTATTTACAATTAACTCTAAGTCAGTCTTATCCGTTGTGCTGTGGTTTGAGGGGCTGGTGCTGGATTGGCTGGAACGTTTCTCCACTGGAGCCGCCGCCGCCAACTGCGATGGCTTCCTCACTTGTCCCGGTCTCTGGTGCTTGGTGACCGCTGGATGGAGCATCTGTCGATGGTGAAAATAAAACAAATATTTACTATCTGGCCATAAATTTCACACTGCTTAGTGTAACGAGATTTCGCACATAATTGGAATATTTTTTATGGTAATATCGAGGCGCTCACCTGGTGCTTAAGAAAGTTCTGCTGGTTCTCGCGCTGGCGCTCACGCAAATAATTCTGCCGCTTCTGATTTTCATTGTTAAAGCCGGGGAAGTACGAATAAAATGTGTCCGTAACCCATTGCTCCATATCATCCTGTGTGGAAAAGAGAAAGCCTTTGTTAACATTCGTCCTCTATGCCTTGGCGTATGCTTGCATGTATATATTTATTATATATTCCTTATCGCTGGACTCCTTTTTTCTAATACCCCGCCCGCCTGTTTCCTTTGGCGACACTAACCACCAGCAAGAAGCTTGTATACATTTTTAGACGTGGGACTGAGTAAGGCAACAAATTATTCCAGCTCCGTTCTGTTCTCGGTTCGCTTTTTTGGGGTCAGTAGCACCGTAGCACCAGCGCTTCGCGAAGCAGGAGCTGCTCCAGCGAACACTCCACAATGCCTACTGCCATTTTTGCACATAATTTTTATGCCGTCGACGGGGAAAATCGCGTGCACCGATGGCATCAACAAAATTATATATATTCCAAACAATCTCTTGAAGACAAGGGTTCGAACTGGCCAATACCCCCTCTTGAGAAGTCAAAAGTAGCAGAAGCCTTGAGCCTTAAAGTACAAAACAAGAAAGTTATAGTAGCTGAAACCTTCTCGTTTCATGACCATCTGCCTAAACAACTCCTATACACAAAGGGTAACAAATATAATAATATAAAGGACGAGACGCTTCGTAGCACGACTGATGAAGGCGCCTTTGCCACTCGGCTGAGACGTTCCTCCCTACCATTTTATCAACCTGGCCCAGCTGTTTCGGCCTACTACGCTACCCGAGGCCTGAAGAGCCTGAACCTGCACTTCCATTTATTAGCTGCATGCATTACGCTTCACTCTTTATTAGTCCTGAGGATGGGCGCCTTAATTAAGAACGGTTTTAACGTTTCCATCATTCAAACGGAGTGGCTTCAGTGGCGAGCGAGGACATCTGAGTAAATGTTTTAACTTTGCATAATTAAGTGCAATTTGCTATTAAGTAGCAGTTTGTTAATAGTTACTGAAGTGTTCTGTCACAAAACGAAGGCGCAAAAACCATAACTTGCCAGTAATTCAGGTCAAGGAAACTATCAAAATGAAGACTACGAAACAGACGGGCAAGGGGACTTAAGTACGGGGTCACGCAGTTCATCTCAGGTGGGGAAGGGTGGAAAGTCTGGCGTTAATTATTCTTACGCAGTCCTACGAGGGACTCAATACAATGGGATTTTTTTAATACTTCTTATTATGGGATTTTTTTAAGATATTTAGCAGCTTTTCTTATTAGATGACAACATACTTTTGTGATTAATTTTAAGCCATCTTATAATTCAAATATTTGAGAGCATGTTACACCCACTGTAAGTTAACTGTTCCAGGGGTTGTTTACTACGCCCATTCATTGGACTCGCTTGCGTGTGATATCAAAATTGGGTTAACTAAGTGCCAGCTAGCAGGTGTGCGGAAAGTGCGAAATTTAATGAAAATGCGTGTGAAAGCTGAATGGGTTTGGAAGTCTTTGTTGTCCCTGCCATTCATAAGTTCAAGGGCAGGCCAAAATGTTAATTCCAATGCAGAGATGGTCAAGTGATAGAAAACCATAGGCATGACCTCACTTATCCAATAAACTGTCACATTGTTGGACTCACGAGGTCCGATTAGTTCAGTCATTAGTCCTATTCCCGACAGGCTGTTTAATTACTACTTGTCTGCTTTCAACCTTTGCCTAGGTCATGACTTTCATTTGTAATACACCAACCCGGAAACAAAAGCTCTTGTAAGGGCATACATTTTTAGAATAAGAGTAAAAATTTTAGAGAAAATAAATTCCTATAAATACCTGCAAGGTTGGGAGCCTACCTACAAGCTGAGCATTATCATTAGCGACTCACAAAAGGCATCAGAAGGCGGAGTTGACACTTGGGCGTGTCCCATACATGCCACCTTCACAAAGCTGGCCATTAAATATGGAAGTGAATAATCGAAAGCCCCAATTTCAAATTTATCAAGAAGAAAGTATATATAGTTTATAGTTTTATAGTTTTCAATTGAATAAAGATAGAGATACTTTTCTCTATAAAACTTTGGGAATTATTGTGTTATTAAAATAACAAACAATTTAAAATGTTACACTCTTTTGAGGTCAATCAATTTAAGGCAGCTAGAGCATATATATTTAGAATTCGTTCAATATTTAGTTTACGTCACTCTGATTTTTGGGTTAACTAGCTAACGTTTGCCGGTTGGCCAAATTAAGTCAATTAGAATGGTTCCCTTGGTCCGTTCCGTTCGCTGGGTTCGATTCGCCGGCAATCAGGAACACACCCCCACATTTTGCTCACCTCATATAGGTATTTTTTGGTGGTATATATATATAATGGAATAACGAAATGTATGCAAAGTAATTTCAAGTTCAGGCCAAACAAAAGCCAACGCAACAAACGAGCTTCAAATTACAACTGAGAGCGGTGCCAGCAAATTCATTAAACCAATGAGTCGCTCACAGCCGGGCCAGAATGGTAACTGGAGCACGGAATGGTCGGACTTACACCAGTTATAGCAACAGTAGTGGCTATAACAACACCAACATCGATGACGGCTCCAACAATGGCCCATGCAACATTGATAGCGGAAGGAAACGAGGCCACTCCGCTGAAAACGCAACGAAACACGGAAAAGCGAAAAGAAATAATCTGAATAATTAAAATGCCCAACTAATTTTGCTGCGCTCGAGCTACCCACGTCGAATCCATAAGCCCTGCCATCTCAGCCGTAGGGTGTTAGCCAGACAGGCAATTATTTACAAACCAGCTGCTATGACCGGTAACCCTTAGAGCCACTCAAATCAAATAAATAATGCAAACTGAAAAGTGAAAACGGGAATTGGCAATCGCTGAATCCTCAATCACGATGTTTGCAATTCAATGATCCAAGTAGATAGCATATAACTTAACAATAAAACTTAATAATAACCCTATTATGATGTTTAGACAACATTTTTCATTTATCAAGCCTATATATGAACCTATTTACAGTCTTTTTTAATTAAAACCTAATGAATAGGACCAGTACACTTATAGTAATAAATTTTATATTAGAACTGCCATCATTGCTATGTGAAGTACTATATTTCCATGTACTATATCGCAACTCACCCAACTGCATGCCGCAAGCTGAAGTAAAGAACACTATTAAAGCTGAGAGGCAACTGATATAAAAATTTCTTAAGATTTTGAAACGGTTCAAATATCCAATAGATTCAACGAGGCGTAGAGAAACTAATTTTTCGCATTTATGGCAAACCGCCCAAAAAATTGGCAATCCGATGCGTTGTGATGCGTCAGTCAGTGAAGCGCAACGCACGTATTCATTGGATATATGGATCGAATCTACTCACCTTCCGCCGGATTGGCAAGCGATTCTCGCTTAGCGGTCGCCCGCTATCCAAATTGCGTCGCAGCGACTCATTAGGGGACTTGTACTGACGGGCGCTGCCTACGAGCAGTTGGCGCTGGTTGGCGAATTCCTTGGTCGATTTCGATGGACTGCTGCCGGAGCCGAACTCCTCCGCTTCCTCCCCCAACTCCTCGTCAACTGAATTGAGGTTGCTTAAGTCCAAGTCCAAGTGAAGTTCTTCGATTGTTGTGCTTGCGTTTTGGTCGCTGGTTGCCAAGGAAGTCGACTCCTTAGCGGGTTCGGGTTCATTGGACGGCTTCGCCCGGCGACATTGCACTTTAAGGTTGGGGGAATGCATCAGCACCGCCGCAGGGCAAGCAGCCGTGCCATTTTTGTGGTTGGAAAGACGTTCGCGCTCCTTTTGCAATTGCTGGCGCTCCAGGGAAAGGAATTGTTGTAGGTCCATTTCTGGAATAGTGAATGATGTGCGCTTAGTTCCTAGTCCATCGACCATTTATACAATCATACCATATTGCAGATAATGAAGGGGGTTTTTGCTTATTGCCAACGCAACAAGTATGTACAAACGTTTATTTTTCTTTATTCTATTTAATTGGCGTCGGTTCGAAAGTGTTGAATGTTTTCCGCGTTTAGTGTGACCTTTTGTTAGTGTAGCGGTTTAGCCAAAATTATAGTTTTGGTAAGTTCATATAAAAAACGTGACTTTTGTTGAACAGTGCTGGTAAACACTTGAGAGAAAGGCGGGAACTTTAAATTTTCAAACCAACTCTCTTTTGGCTTGTTATTTATAATATGCTACTTAAATTAATACTATGGAACTGTTTAAATGTTTAACTGTTAAAACAACAGAAACTTGTCAGAATTCAGGGCTGGGTTCAGTTTTAGTTTTTATTCATCGCACTTATAGTGAAAAATTTCAGCAGTCACAGATATATGTGTATCCGACTGACACGCTTACAATTTCAAAGATATTTGTTCCACACCAAACAAGCACATTTTTTAAGCCCACCGGTCACAATCACGATCCATTGAGTAACCTTCACCAAAATGGGTACATTGGGCAATCAATTTATCCTGTCGCGGGAGCGGCGTCGCTTTGGACGCCAGTGCCTCTTCACCGACCGCAACGAGATGATCCTCAGTGTCCAGCCGAGCGGACGGCTGCGCCTCAAGTACATTCTCCGGAATCCAATTGACGAGCGGACTCAGCTCTCTCCACAGTATGCACTGTCCACAGCAATCACCCAGAACGTAACCTTGGACAACCACGGATTAAACCACTATGAAGGTGGCTGGAACGTCAAGGAGGTGAACGTTATGGACGAGGAGGCCACGCTGCGCTACCGCAAGAAAGTCGAGCGCGACGACACCTGGGGCATAGAGGTTAACCAGCTACTTCGCGACGTGATGACCATTAGTTCGCAGAACAACTCAATCAACATTTATCAAGAGTTTTTTATTGATTTGCCGGAGGATTTGGGTCGTGGCATAAAAATTAAAATTTCTGCCAAGATCATCAGTGTCTTTCACGATTTGTGGTTTCCGGCCCGGAAACTAATTGCCTGCGAATGGAGCACCACAGAACCTTGGTCGTTCAATCTTACCTTCTGCGAGCCGCGCAGCATGAAACTCGACTACGTGCCGCCCGAGAACCAGATGCCTGACTTTGGCAACGACAATCCCAATGAGTTCTTCAAATGGGACTTGGACGATCCCATCCGGCCGATAGCCCACTACCGCTCTTCGCCCACATATGGCATGTTGAATACGATGGTGCTTATAGTCAAGGTCTGCATGAGGGAGGAAAACTACATGGTCGGCGGCTTCAATAGCGGCCAGGTGTGTTACTGGAACTCCGACGAGAATGGTCCGCCAAAAAAAATATGTCCCCTCGAGGCCTCACACCGCGAGGCAACCACCGCCGTCTGCTGGGTTCACTCCAAGTTAAACACCGAGTTCTATTCGGGTTCGCTCGATGGTTCTGTAAAGTACTGGGACACTCGGGATCTAAAGATGCCTGTTCATGAGCTTCTTTGCGAGCCATATCCTGAAGATGTGCAAATCCGAAAGAATTCACACGGCGTCACCGTGCTGGAGTTTGAGTACACTATCCCCATTCGATACATCATTGGCAGCGACATGGGATGGGTGTTTGCCTGCAACCGCAAAGGCACCACCGCCTCGGAAACAATCGCTGCATGTTACCCGATGTTCTGTGGTCCTATTCGCACCATTATGCGGAATCCGTTCTTCGTGAAAAACTTTATGCTCATCGGCGACTGGCGGATGCGTGTCTGGTCGGAGGAAGTAAAGAACGCACCAAGCACTTTCTATTTCCGGCGGCGCCACCAAATCATAAGCGGTGCCTGGAGCACTGGCCGCTGCTCTCTTTTCGTCCTCGGCGATATTTGTGGAAACCTCGAGTTCTGGGACCTAATCATGTTGCATAGCAGACCCATATTCGCCATGAAGTTTAAGTATCCGGTGGTCCATCTAATTTTTCGTCCAGATGGCCACGTCCTCTCCGTGGGCCTTGGCAATGGGGATTGTATAATGTTGCGGATGGAGGAGGGCATGCGCTCAGCCACCGTCAAGGAAAAATCTCTCATGATGGCGGTAAGTGACTGGTCACATAATATAATCGTAATATTTTTAATATCATTATACATGTATATGTAAGAATGATTAAGAATGATTAACTTAAGTTCTTAAGGTTCTTAAGAAGAGTTCTTCTGGTTCATTCTTTAGTCCCCTAACGACTGCCATAAAAATTCCCTTATTAGCAGCAAATACAGATTTAGAAATATTTTTATTTTTTCTTCAGTGCTCTCTGTAGCTCTAGTTTCTATTGTAAAAAATGTAGTTCATACATAGGAAATAAATACATATCATAAGTTCAGCAGAATTAACAACTATATAAAAAATTAAATTCATAATAAACCATAAAATAAAAGCTGTCGTTAGGCAGAGTTAAAGTATTAGACATTATAAATTATACTATATTATTACTTAAATTAAACTTAAATTACTACTATAAATTATACTATATTATAAATTACAATTTTCTATTCTCAAAAAAATAGACTCTCCTGAAGATCTTTAGGTTAGTTGTTAAGGTTAGGTAATTGTAGTTGAGCTGAGCCTGAAAAGATATCTGCCGAATATTTTATAAATTCAAATAATCGCATATACTATCTTTAAACTCTTCGAAATTCGTTTTTCATAGATCATAAGTTTGTTAAAAAAATAAGAAACACGGCCAAGAAACATCTCCGCTCAGTACATATAGTACTTCTATTTTAAATTAGGATAATCTCTCGAGGTTACGTCTCGTTCACTTCGAGTAGAAGTTTATCAGATACAGATCCAGATCCCATTCCAGATTTTATCCCAAACATTGTCTTAGGTTTAAAAAAAACATGGTTGAAAATTCAAACGTTATTCTTTTTATATTTTATTGCTTTAAAAGTTCGATACATAGATTCAAAAGTTTTCTGCGGAATATAAATATCTAATAATTAGATACAAGGATAATGTCTAATGTAAATTGAAAGGTCTATTTGTATGTTCCATAGGTGTCAGATGAGTCCATAGGCAGAGTCCCAAAAAGGTTCATTAAAATATCATTTGGGTTTGATGAATACCAAGATGAAGATGAAGGTTGGGTCTCGGATATATAACCATAGGTGTCAGATGAGTCCATAGGTAGAGTCCCAAAAGGGTACATTAAAATATCACCATTTGGGATTGATGAATGCCAAGGCCAAGCACTGTCTAAATTAGAAGGTCTAATAAAGGTCTCATAAGGGTTAATCACCATTTGACTTCTATGGTTAGTTGAAGACGAAGGCTGTGTCTCGGATACATAAGAAGGTCTAGTTGGTGTCACATAAGGGTTCCATGAATTATGACTTCTACTGTTTGATGAAGATGAAGGTTGGGTCTCGGATATATAACCATAGGTGTCAGATGAGTCCATAGGTAGAGTCCCAAAAGGGTACATTAAAATGTCACCATTTGGGACTGATGAATGCCAAGGCCAAGCACTGTCTAAATTAGAAGGTCTAATAAAGGTCTCATAAGGGTTAATCACCATTTGACTTCTATGGTTAGTTGAAGACGAAGGCTGTGTCTCGGATACATAAGAAGGTCTGGTTGGTGTCACATAAGAGTTCAACGAATTACTTTCATAACGTCTTAAGTTAGATGAAGACGAAGAGTCCCCCCCATAAGAGTTAATCGAAATATCTGTTCTATCGTTAGGGGAATACAAAGGTTGTGTGTTGACTTTAGTTGAATGAGGTGCTTGCTGCTCAGGAGTCGATTTGCCTTCTTGGAAACTTCTTGGTTCTCGCCAACTTTTATAATCATCACACGCTTTTTGCAAATCTTGCATTTTCGGCACAAGGTGAAGTGTATCCCCAGGATTGCTTCTCAACAACGACTGGACATTCTGAAAATAATAACAATTATTTTGTAGAATTATTTTACTATTGCGTGAATTCGATCATACCTTGGTTCCTTGCTGGGAAAGGCTATCCAAGTAATGTTGGTCCTGCTCTAGTTCTTCACTAACCAGGGAATTGGTCTCAGCATCACTTTTTATTTTATCCTTCAGAACTTCGAAAAACGATCTCACGGTATCCAGTTTCTCTTGGAAATACGGCTTTCGCCGTTCATTTACAACATCTCTCAATCTAAGAAGATCCAACTTTTGGAAAAAAGGCTCCAAGAAGTCGGTTAGATTGGTTTTGGACAAAGTTAGGATGTTATTGAAGAATCTCGAGATTGTATTCCTACTAAAACCGGTATAAACAATTAGCAGCATTCGTTCCAATGTCATATCTAGGCTTTTTATTATGGATTTTAAGTGATGAAGCTTTTCTAAGGAACTACTAGCCGTCCTTATTCCTTCGATCAGCACGGCGTTGGCTGTAATACTCCAAATTATTTCACTGTCCGACTGTATCAGCTTTGGATCGTCTGTGTCATTTATGAAGTTGTCAAGGGTGCTGTTGATGGAAACGCACCATTCGAACACCGGATCGACCACTTGCTGGTATGTGAGGCGCGCCGAACTATAATCTATGCGCAAGGAATCCAAATAGATCTTTGCTGGTCCTTGATAGTTGCAATTTGTATGTTGCAAGGACATATCTATTGTTGCAAGGACGCCTTGTAACTTTTCCAGGTTACTTTCGGACTCAAATTCGGTTGTGAACCTCCTGACTACTTTGGTCAAGCTGTTAGTCACATTTTCAACGGTCTGGTACTCATTATTAACAGGTGGAGGATGTCCGGTTTGAGGATTCGGCCGGATCGTAGGATCGGCCGGAGATAGATGACTTGGTTGCTCAGGACTCGTATAGTCTATTGGGATATTTCTTGGTGCACGCAAACTTTTATACTCATCACAGGCTTTTCGCAAATTCTGGAATTGGGCCACAAGTTGGGGTCTAAGATGACTACTTATGCTTAATAACGACGCCATATTCTGAAAATGTTTAATTAAAATTGTATGAAAATATTTTTCTAAAGTGTGGCTCAAAACCCACCTCGGTTCCTAGCTGGGGAAATTTTTCCAAGCTATGCTGGTCCTGCTCCAAATCTGCGATAACCTGGCCATTGGTCACTGCTGCATAATGAATTTTATCATTTAGGACTTCGAAAAAGGATCTCACGGTATCAAGTTGATCTTTGTAAGACGGGCGTCGACTTTTATTTATAACTCCTCTTAGGCCAAGGCTGTTTAACTTCTGAAGAAGTGGCTCCAAGAAATAATTGGGATATGATTTGTGAAACTCTAGGATCTCATTGAAGAATCGCGTGATGGTGTTGACACATGGTTCTCCTTGACAGTGTGCTTCTGAAGGATGTTGCTCTCTAAAATACAAACCATTCGCCCCAAAATCCGCCTGAACACTTTCTAGCATTCTGTCCAATGTCGTACTAAGGCTGCTCACTTCGGATTCCAAAAGATTCATCTTTTCCAAAGAATTTATAGCGGTCTTTATTCCTTTGATCAGTACGGCATCGGCTCTATTGTACCAAGTTATGTTGGGGTCAGACTGTTTCAGCGATGGATCATCTAAGTCTTGAATAAAGTCGTGAAGGGTGCTGTTAATGGAAACACACCATTCGAACACCGGATCGACCACTTGCTGATATGTGAGGCGCGCCGAACTGTACTCGTTTCGCATGGGATCCAAATGAATTTTTGCTGATCCTTGATAGTCCACCATTGTTCTGTCAATTGTTGAAATGACGACTTGTAACTCTCTCATGTTAGCTTTGGGCTCAAATTTACTTGTGAGCTTACTGACAACTTTGGTCAAGCTGTTGGTCAAATCGTTAATAGACTGGAAAGGCTTTGTGACTGGAAGAAAGGTGATGGTTTGAGTATCTTTTGAGATTGGATGAAGTTCCTTAGTTATATTTCCAAATTGATTTAAAGGTTGACTCTCAGTTACATTAGAAGCCTCAGTTTGAATCCCATAGTTTTTCTTCGGAATATATCTACCATCGTTAGGTAAATGCGAAGGTTGGATCTCGGTTGAATGAGGACTTATCGAATTATCATTACTATGTTCGGATGAAGCGAAAGGTTGGGTCTCGGGTGTAGATGGTGTGGTTGTAGTCCCATAAGCGCTCATCTGATCATCAGGATTATCCGACTTGCTATCTCGCAGACTTTTGAAATCAACGCAGGCCTTTCGCAAAGCCCGGAATTTGGGCGCAAGGTGGAGTATATGATCACGATTTCTGGTTATCAATCCAATATTCTGAAGATATTTAAAATTATAATTATTATACACATTTTGGGGGTATACAGTGTAGGTCAAAACATACCTTGGATCTTAACTGGGTAGGGCTTTTCAAGAAATATTCATTCTCCAAATCTTCGATAACCTGTCCATTGATTATATCAGCCCTTTGTATTTTATCATTTAGGACTTCGAAAAAGAATCTCACGGTATCAAGTTGATCTTTGTAAGACGGGAGTCGATGTTTATCTATAACTCCCCTTAGGCCAAGGCTATTGAACTTCTGAAAAAGTGGCTCCAAGAAATAATTGGGATATGATTTGTGAAACTCTAGGATCTCATTGAAGAATCGCGTAATGGTGCTGACACATGGTTTTTTTCGACAGTGTGCCTCTGAAGGCTGTTGCTCTCTAAAATAGAAACCGTTCGCCCCAAAATCCGTCTGAACACTTTCCAGCATTCCGTTCAATGTCTTACTAAGGCACTTTTGATTTCAAAAGATTCATATTTTCGAAGGAATTAAAAGCGGTGATTATTCCTTCTATCAGTACGGCATCGGCTGTAATATTCCAATTTATGATGAGGTCCGACTGACTCAGCGCTGGATCGTTTAAGTCTTGTATAAAGTCGTGAAGGGGGTCCTCGATAGAATCACACCATTCGAACACTGGATCGACCACTTGCTGGTATGTTACGCGGGCTGAATTGTACTCTGAACGCAAGGAATCCAAATGGTTTCTTGCTAATCCTTGATAGTCAACCATTGAAGAGTCTATTGTTGCAAAGACGACTTGTAACTCTGGCAGGTTGGCTTCGGACAAAAATTTTCCTTTGAACCTCTTGACAATTTTTGTCAAACTGTTTGACAAATTTTGTATAGTCTGGTATTCATTTTCAACATTTGAAGGATATTTGGTGGGACGAGTTCTTCTAGCACTTGTTGCAGCTAATAGTATGCAAAGCCACATCAGGAGCGATAAGTTCATTATTCTCGCCATAGCGAAACAAAATCAAAGCACTTGCTCGTAGAAAAATACACACTTTCACAAATGAAATCCAAGAAACGACTAATTCATAATTCCAGACGAAGCAAAATAGAAGATTATTCAGAAGACTTAAAAAAACTGAATAATTTTTGGCTTATTTCGGCTTATCACCGAAAGAAAGAACAGATTAATAATTATCAACATATACATATGAGCATATTTATTAGGTTCGTTTTAAATCTTTTGAATTATAAATAGCTTATTAAACTTTTAAATTTTAAATCTTAATTCATTGGGCCATAATACTAAGACCGTCTTTATCTTAAATTCAAATAAATGCTAAGCTATAGTACTATATCCTAAATTTATACATTTATTCCCTATATGTATATCCCTAATTAACATAAATAATCTATAATTTGTAAAGGAAAACATGATTGTTTATAAGTTATAAATCTAAACACTCATATTTGAGGGCGCCTAAAAATCAGATTTAAGCATAAAAACTTTTGATTAATGATTGTTTTATAAAATATACTTTTTTTTATATAATGTAGATGTTTGAACGGGAAATTACACGATGCAAGCTCTTGGAGGCCCGAGAGGAGGAGATGAAGTTGAAGAAGCGTCTAACCATTCTTCAAGAGGAAGAGACCCGCAAAACCCTGGCCAAACTGGAAGCCAAGAAGAAGAAGATGCAGGCCAAGAAAGAGGCTGCTCCTCAAGTCGAAGACGAAGCCACATTACTCCTGCGACTCATTGAGGGCGACGAGGAGTTCAGCAAGGCCATGATGGACTTTAACGAGATTGTGGACATCGTTACGGCCAAACGGTCCAAGAGGATCAATTCAATGGAACGTACCTTATTTGAGAGAGATATTTATTATTAATAATAGACTATAGTTTACATTTTTGGCAAGCATTTTCGCACGGATATGTCTACATTGTATCTTGAATATGCATTTAAATATAATCGTTATGGAAATTTCATTTTCCCCTACTTATTTTTTAGCTAGAAAGCAGCTAAATATTAAAATTCCCGAGAATACTCGACTTATATACTAACATTCATCATAAATATGTTAAGGTTCCGTGAATTCCCCGGAGATAATGTATGGCTTCTTGATAAGAAGGCTTTTAGAATAAAAGCTTAAAAAAGGCAGGGATTTTTTAACTTTTTTTTGCACGACTTTTATATAGATTTAAATGATTAGGTCAAGCTGATTAGCAGAGGTCAAGCTGATTATAGAATGAGTCACTGTTCCAAAGAAAATGTATTAACTGTCCCATTAAATTTTATTGGACAAGAAAGGAAACCTATGATGATCCTGATCAAGAAGAAATATAAAGTATATTCGGCTATGTCTCCACTGCGTTGCATATTTTTGTCCAAAATAGTAATACCCTCTGCTAGGGAATGTATAAATTCTAATTGCTTTCGTTTGGAAATTTCCCCAAGCTAAACGCCAAGAATAATTTTATTTACCCATTTTTTATTATGAATTTACATACATATTTTTATTTATTAAAGAAATTAAATTGGGCCCGATTTTATTGAAAAATTTTAAATTCAGGGAAACTTAAAAGTTAATCCCTTATAAATAAAATCGCCAATTAAACGTATTTTAAATGTTTTAAAATTGAATCCATATTCATGGATTTTACCAGTGGGGAACCGAGGTTGGATAGTTTCTCACTTAAGTTTTCATCGTTCAATGGGAAATTCTCGTATTCTGATGAGGAAATCTGATGAGAATCAATCAGACTGTCGTCGCTCATAATTTGAGAAGCAGCCGAAACCAGCGTTTTGAAATTGTAATTTTCCGGCAGTGATCGGATTAGACGCGAAATCCTTTCCATTCCGAAAGAATTGGTTGCCTGACGTTTCGTCCTTACTTGATTTCGAACGTATGCCGACGATCCATAGCCGTGCCATATAACGTACTCGTAGCACTGGTGGCCCATATCGTTCAGTTTCGGAATTATCTGAGCCCGAAGATTCGGATTCGCAAGAAGCAGCAATTGATTGTTCTGCAAAAAAATAAATTTATTAAAATTTTGAAATAAATTGAATTGGAGGATGCCTTCACCCTTGCTTGAACTCACCCTGTTTGCAATATCAATTAAGGTAGCCAGGGAATGCAGGTTCCTATGATCCTCTTCTAGAGCCGCGTCGACTTCCACAGCTATTTTCTTGGCATAGTTAATCTTATCCTCCAGGGTCTGGAAGAACACTTCAATAGCCTTCAGTTGTTGCCCAATGGTAGCCTGCTCGCGCAGATGCATCACGGCAGCTAATCCTTGATCAACGAATGTGGGTAACATGGTTAAGGCCATACCTATATTGCCAGTTACTATAGTCACGACGGTACGAAAGATAGTGCCAATAACATCGGCTATGGCCTTAGCGACAACACTTCCTTTACCCTCCAACGCCTCCTGCAGGGACTGCTTCTGCTTACCATAATAACCCTCCGGGCTGAAATCGTTGTGCATTTCGCCGAGAATGACGTCCAGCAATCGTCTCAAATTTTCCACTTTACTTTGCACCTGCTCCAATAATTCTAATGATACACTCGTCTTGCTGAGTCCTGCAGCCAGAGCCTTCACAGTCATGTTCCACAGCATATCCCTATCCTCGGCAGTCGCCTTCGGGTCAGTGATATATGGTGTGATGGTTTCCAGTGTACTATTAATGGCAACGCACCACTCGTAGACAGGACCCACACACTTTTTATATGTGAGATGGGCATCTGTATTCAACTGACGTACTTCATCCAGATGATTTTTAGCTTCTCCATGGTACCCGAACATAGCTTTGTCAATTGCCTCGATGGCATCCTGCAGGACCTCGAATTTGACTTTCTTGTCAAATTCAGCATTGTATGTGCCAACAACGTTGGACAAACTACTGACTGCCTTCTCCAGCGTGACGTACTCTTCCGGGCTGGCACTGCACAGGACGAGCAGAGTGCAGGAAATAATCCCCAGAAAAAGGGATACTTTAGTTTCCATGGTGCAAATCACTTGATGTTAACCTTCAGAAAGTCCAAGTTTAACTGAGCTTGATTGAGAATTCACTTCTCAACGTAAGCTAGCATTCAGAGATAATACCTAGCTTTACGGACTTTTGTACTAATGCAATGCATGTATTTGTTTATCAAAAAAAATCAAAAGCTTTTTATAGTATACATAAGTACTCATTATGGTTTAGTTACCGTGGGCCGAGTATTATATCAACATAGAGGTATACAAAATATATACATTAAATTGATCCTAACTAAAATCCACCAATTTTTTCCCCTAATACAAATATATTTTTAATCTTAAGTCTTTTACCTTAAATGACAAAAATACAAAAGTCAAAGCCACTGTAAAATATATATACAAATTAAGGTTTTTATACATACATATTTAGATTTTTAAAAGTCCTCATGACCTTGGGTCGTAAGTATGGAAATACATGTCGACCAGTCTAATCTTAATGTCTTAATCTAATCTCACATTAATAGCTCATATAGGAAGAATTGCCTTTGGGTTTTCTCCTGAATTTTATTGTTTTCCATTGAATGCAACTGTTTGTTGCTTCTAGGAATTGTATATATGCAAGCTAGTTCTACCTTAAACATCAGAGAGGAGCCCAGTTTTTAAAAACACTTTATTCAAAATTATGATCTAAGTACAACTATTTATATTTTATATTCGTATATCCTATATATGTTTTTCTATTTAAAATATCACAAAATATAAAATATATTACCCATTTTAAAACAAAAATTTGAATATTAAACCTTTCTTAATAGTAAAAAGCTAAAGTATTTTCTTTAAACCTTTGAAGATTTTAAGACTAAGCAAATAATTTATATTCCTTCTAATAATCATGTCCTCCTCAGAAAGCTCGCGTATGTTCTATGGGTCACTTGAGTTCACACATGTATTATGTGAATTTGTATTTGGGTTCTCCCACAGATTAAAACAAAACCATTATATTGTCGTATTATATACATATTTTTGTCAGTAAAAATATATAAGATTTAAAAATAAAATATGCTTATAAGATTTGTCATCAAAGATTTGGGAAATCCACCAAGGCAACTTCTTAAAAAGAACAAAGTAAACCAAAATGCGGATATATTGAGTCTTTATATAAAATTTAAAATTTTAATCAAATTTATATAACTGGGAAAAACAAAGAAGTTCCCTGTACAATTTTTTTTATACAATACCAAAATTAAAAAGTCGCTTAAAATGACCTACAAAATCGCTAATAAAACAAAAATATTTCTTTATTTACCATTCGTTATTTCATATTTATTTAAAATCAAAACATTTTGAAAACTAAAATAATTGAAGAAATATTAGAAAAATTTAAAATTTTATATAAATTTGCTGATATTGTTAGTATTTAAATGCGTTAAGCCGCTGTGGCGGTGTGGGTGTCGTTTGGGGCCTCCGAGGTCCTGGGTTTGAACGTAGAATTTGATAATCTGCGCAGACTTTTCCCAATTCCTGGAAGCTTGGAATAAGTCGACCTCTGAGTTCAGGATTGCTTTCCAGCCACTTTGAAATGTTCTGCAAAAATATTTAGGTTTATAATTGATATTCATTGTCCCAATATTCAACTTACTTCCTTATTGATCTGCGAAAGCTGTTCCAAGTTTCTTTTGTCTTTCTCAAAATCGCCAGATACCTTCTCGGAAATTAAGACTGCATTCTTGATCTCATCACCCAGAACTTTGAAAAACAGTTGAATAGCAGCAAGTTCCTCCTGGTACGTTGGATTACGGCGTTCATCCACGACATCATCTAGTCCTTTCCGACAAAATTCCTCTTTAAAAGGTGCCACTCCTCTGTGAGGGGCCTTCAAGAAAGCGATGATGGCATTAAAGAAACGAGAAATGACGTCCACAACTTTAGATGCGGGGTCCCATGGTTTCGGTGTAGTTCTATCCAATATCTCCTGTCTCCGCTTTTCATAGTAGCCATTTGGGCGGAAATCGGCTTCAATATTTTTCAGCATTTCGCCCAATATTTCGTTGAGGGTTTTCGTTTTACTTTGCAAGTAATTCAGCTCCTTTAAGGAGCTACCAGCTTTATTGATGCCGCTGACAAGTACTCCTTGGGCCATAATTTTCCAAATTGTATTGCGATCCGACTGTGACAAGCTTATATTGTCTATTTGGGATATGAACAGGTCAAGGGTGCTGTTGATGGCTACACACCACTCAAACACCGGATCGACAGTTTCCCGGTAAGTGATTTGCGCCGCACTGTACGATGTACGCAACGAATCCAATTGGTTTTTGGCCAATCCCTGGTAATCAAGCATCGACTGGTCAATGGTTGAAACCACTGCTTTCAACTCATCCAAGTTGCCATTTGATTCAAACTCGTTGTTGTACTTTCTGACAAGTTTGGCTAAACTTTGAGTCAAGTTCTTAACAGTTTCGAATTCCTCATTTTCCTCCGCGTTATACGCCGCAAACAATGTACATGACACCATTAAAAATATCAAGTTTATTTTTCTCTTCATGATAATGGTTCACAGTGGAGGTTGTTATGCTCCGTAGACTGTTCGGATTAAACTGAGCTTGATATTTCATTGCATGGAAGCTGGAAGTTTCACGAAGCTTGCCGATAATGTAAATCATTGATAGGCAGCTACCTAATCTTTTATATGCAATGAAATTTTATTTACTAAGAAAATCTTATTTATATAAAGAAATACAAGCTTTTTGGTGTTACCTAGCCAATATTTTCCAAAAGACTCAAAAGGTTTTCACACGAATTTAAACTGTTGCGTACCTACGAAAATTTAAATCTTTAATCTGTTAGTTATTGAGCGGCAGAATTCGAAGCCACCAAAATCAGAAAACCGTGTGTATGCTTCGGAACTTTATTTGTGACTGACAAATGTAGCGAAAGAAAAATGAAAAAGTTGTTATACATAATTTTCTTATTCTCTATTTCTTAGGACCATACAAGCGTGCATTGCATCATCCTAATATTGTACCGGGTACTTTATTTTCTACACCCTTCCTCAATGCAAGCTTGTTTACAAAAAATTATTATCAAAACAAATTAAACATTTTTGTAAACTCTTCGTGTTTTGTTTTAGGAAGATTTTTTTGTCAAAATATCTGCAATCATTTCAGTTGTACATTTGTATTTCAACAAAACTTGCCCTTTCTTTACAACTTCTCTAACAAAATGATAACGTATATCAATGTGCTTAGTTTTGGAATGATGAACAGGATTCTTGGTTAACGCCTGCGCACTCAGATTATCCCCATACACGACGATCGGGGTGTCGTTGTCTCCGCAACCGATCTCCATAATCAGCCTTCGCATGACTATCGCCTCCTTAAATGCCGCCGAAAGTGCCATGTATTCCGCCTCGGTACTGCTTAACGCCACACTTCGCTGCTTTTCCGAACGCCAAGAAATCGGACCACCTGCTAACAAGTAGATGAAACCAGTATATGATTTCCTGTCAAGCCTATCGCCTGCCCAATCCGCATCCACGTATCCACAGAACGACTGACCACATTGCCGATAGTGTAGTTTCATGTCAATCGTAGATGAGAGGTATCTAAAGATGTGCTTTATGCCAGCCATGTGTTCAGCATGCGGGTTTTGATTCCGCTGTGCCAATTTTGACACCGAATGCAATATGTCTGGCCTTGTTGTAAGAGCTAGCCACATAAGCTCTCCTACTATGGACTGATACGTAGTGGGATCCACCTTTTTGCATTGAGGGCTTGTACAGTCTACTTGGAAACCAGGATCCAAAGGTGTCTTCGCCGACTTGCAAAAATCACTTCCATGGGTATGCAAAAGATCCTTGATATATTGCGTATGTCCCAAAGTAATTGCTCCAAGATCACCGTCTCGTTCGATTTCCATGCCCAGGAAATGGTTAAGTTGACCCTTGTCAACACACTCGAATGATTGTGAAATGCTGCTCTTGATTTTCAGCAAATCCTCGTGCGATTGGCAAGCTATAATTATATCGTCAACATATACAAGGATTAGTACAAGATTACCTTCGCCACAATGTTTGTACAAACATGGTTCGTTATCACAGGCAACGAATCCCATATTGACCAATACGCCATTTAGCTTCTCGTTCCAGGCCCTTCCTGATTGTTTCAAGCCATATATTGCTCTCTTCAAAAGCAATACTTTGTCAGGATTCGATTCATCTGAGTACCCTTCCGGCTGCTTCATGTAGACCGTCTCACTCAGATTGCTGTTGAGATACGCGGTGCATACATCCATTTGATGAAGATGTAGCTTAAGCTCCGCCGCCAGTGCTATAATAAAGCGAACACTCTCCAATCGGCATACTGGCGAAAATGTTTCTTGGTAATTTACGCCAAACTGCTGAGCGCATCCTTTTGCTACCAGTCGAGCCTTGAAACGTTCTATTTGGCCATTTTTATCACGCTTCACGTTGAACACCCACTTGCATCCAATGGCTCGCTGATCTTTGGGTAAATCAGTGACTTGCCAAGTCTGGTTGGAAACCAGAGAATCATATTCTCTTTCCATGGCTTCACGCCACTCCTTTGCATTATTACTCTCCAGCGCCTCTTTGCAAGTTAACGGAATCGGAACATTTTCCGAAATAAGGGCGCCTAGGATATTGTACTGCTTCTTTGGACGTCCAGGTTTTCCAGTCCGAATGATCTTAGGGCGGCCGGGGCCCCTGCGTGCCTCCTCCTCGACATGCTCACCCTTTTCTTCAGCACTCTCGTACTGATCCGTGCTATCATCGGAGCTGTCGGCGTCGATGGATGAGTCAGAAACGACTTCTGCATCTCCGAGTCCCTGCTGCTGACGGTCCTCCTCCAGGTCCTCCAGCTCGATCGTCACAGTATCATCCTTGGATGCCACGTCATGATGTTCATCAAATAATACATCCCGTTTTTCGACCAATTGTCCAGTTGATGGGTCATACAGTCGATAACCTTTGGCTGCAACAGAATACCCAACCATAATGTACTCCTTTCCCTTAGGTTGAAATTTGCTGCCCTTCCTCGGACCCTTGTCCAGAGCAACTGCAAGAGATCCAAAAACCTTTAGATGTTTTGCATAAGGTCTCTTACCCGTCCACGCTTCCATAGGAGTCATACTCTCTAATGCGCTGGTAGGGGAACGATTTCGCAGATAAACCGAAGTGTTGACAGCTTCTGCCCAAAAACGATCTCCCAGTCCCGCCTGGACCAGAAGGCATCTTGACATCTCCACTAGCGTACGATTTGCCCGTTCCGCAACTCCATTTTGCTGGGGAGTATATGCTATTGTTAGCTGTCTGTCGATTCCATGCTGCTTTAGACATTCGTCAAACTGTTTATTGACAAATTCTCCGCCATTATCACCCGCAGGCATTTCAATCTTTTTCCTGTCTGCCGTTCCACCAGATTCTTGAATTCGATGAATTTAGATAGCACCTCGTTCTTTCCATGCAGGAAATAAAACAAAAATCCTCCTGGACTTATCGTCAATGAACGTCAGAAAATACTTGGAACCTCCGAGGGATGGTGTTGGAAAAGGTCCACAAACATCTGCGTGTATCAGCTCCAAAAGCTCCTTAGCCCGATTACTCGTTGCAGATGGAAAAGGTTGAACATGGATTTTGCTAACCATACACGTTTTGCAATTAATATTCTCTGGCAACCGAATATTTTCTATTCCTCGAACTATCCCTTTGGATACCATCTCTTTCAAGCTAGAGAAATTAATATGTCCGTATCTCTTGTGTAGCAAAATTCCATCAACAGCTGACATGGCAAAACATTTACTTCGGCCACCTTCAAATAAGTACAAGTTGCCAATCTTTTTGGCTTTCACTATGCATTCTCCATCTTGCATCACCTTGGCATTCTCTATGTCAAAGGTCACCTTGCACCTGTTCTGGACAGCACTGCTCACGGAATAGAAATTTCCGGTCATCTTCGGAACGTAGAGAACATCTTTTAGTGTCAACATGCACTGGCCTGTCTGTATCTTGACGTCACCTATACCTTCTGCTTGAAGGAAACCAGCATCGGCCAGTCCGATCTGTTCAGTGTGCTTCTCAAACTTTGTGAATAGCTCTCTTGCGCAACACATATGGCTTGTTGCGCCACTATCTAAGCACCATGTTGAATTGTCAATTTTGTTGACGTCACAGGCGTGCAACAGGCTGCTTTGTCGATTCACCATACTTCTTGATTCCATACGATGATCTCCCTCACCCTCTCTTCGACACTGGGACTTAATGTGCCCTTGCTCACCACACTTGAAACAAACGATATTTTTTCGTTTCTTCTGTCCATACGTTTTTGTCTGTGAGTTGTGCTTGTGTATTGCAGCAAATGCTTTAGTGTCGACTCGTTCCTCTGTTATTCCTTTTCTTTCGCTCTCCTCCTTTAACTTTATGGTGAGAATTTCGAACGAAGGTAACTGATCTCGTGTTTCCATAGCGACCACGAAATGTTCAAATTGCTCTGGAAGACTTGATAGCAAAACGATAGTGCGAAGTTCGTCGTTTATGTCTATTCCAACTCCAGTTAGACAATCCAGAATTTCCACAAATTCACTTATGTAGGTCGTTATGCTCTGCCCTTGCTCCATCCGTTTATTGAGCAGTTTCTTGTATAACTGTACTTTTCGTACAGGTCCGCTTGGTTGATGAACTTCCTTCAACTTGGTCCATGCCTCCACAGCCGTTAAGCAATTCTTGATGTAGGCCAATTGAGATGTCTTGACACTCAATGTTATTGTCGCCAACGCCTTACTGTCCAAGGCCGCAAACTGTTGTCCTTCCGGAACATTCGTTTCAGTTAGCTCTCCAGACGTAACACTCCACAGACCGGAATGCACTAATACAGATCGCATCTGTATTTTCCATGTATCATAGTTTGTCTCCTCTAACTTATCAATTTGATAAAGAGCACTCATTGTTCTTAATCTTGAGTCACACACCGAATAACTTGAACTCTCTAGTGCCTGGGCCCATAACCTATTGAGCGGCAGAATTCGAAGCCACCAAAATCAGAAAACCGTGTGTATGCTTCGGAACTTTATTTGTGACTGACAAATGTAGCGAAAGAAAAATGAAAAAGTTGTTATACATAATTTTCTTATTCTCTATTTCTTAGGACCATACAAGCGTGCATTGCATCATCCTAATATTGTACCGGGTACTTTATTTTCTACATTAGTTTTCTAGTTAATTTTTGTAGAATTTTACAATATGCTTAAATAAATTATAACTATAGATACATTATAGATCCATAGATACACTTTATCACAAACGTATTTATATTTTTCATATTATTCGAAGGTTGAAGGTCAATACTTCATGATTAAGAATGTATATATGAATATATATCCTTCATAGTGTCGGAGATGCCCGCATTTCACTTTTTGACCAAAATTTTAATACCTACTGTGAACGCCCAGAAATAAAAAAGTCGATAAAAGTCGAATGTCTGTATCTTAAAGTATTCTTACATATCCTATGGGACCGTTAATATAATAGTTTTTCCGCCCACTCCAATAAAGGTATTCGTTTCGTCCTGCTTTAATTTTTCAGATAAGACAGAAAATATTCATATTATAAATGACCTATTTCCGAGAATACTATGAATTTTCATTCGAGTACTTCCAAGAAAATATTTTTCACAGAATGCAACAGTAAGCTATTTTTGTAAAGAAATTAAAAAAATCTTTCTTATTTTTCATGAAAAAACCTTACACTGCTCTCATTTTTTTTAATTCACACTTTTGAAAAATATTTACAAATCTTTGTATTAAGTTGTTATACATTTATATGTACATATACATATAAGTTTATACGAAAAAGGATGGGGTTAGCATTAAATTAGTTGTGCCAGTACTACCTGTCAAAGATAACCTTGACAAGGTCTTCTTGAATATTTTTAATCCTACACAGAAAATATTTTCTTCCGTAATTCCTGAGTTTCTCATGCAATATTTGTTTTTATGGGAACTTATTTAAAATAGTTTAAATAACAATATATTAATGTGTTTAATGTATATTTAGATACATATATATGGTGGTGCATAGCACATACAGACATCCATTATTCAAAATTAATTTATTACTGTGTAAAATAGATTTTAAAATCAAATGATAGGAAATGTTTCAAATGACTAGGTGTTCATATGAGATAAGACTAGTTCGCCGAAAAATGTAAATCATTTCCTGCTCCTAATCTTGTGAAAATCGTTTATGTGTATATACTTATTTCTGTAATATGCACAAAAACTAATGCAGTAAAAGTTTACATGGTTCAGTAATTTTTTTAAGTAAGATCAGTTTAATTTTGACCGCTGCCAGCAATAGTACCAGTTCTTTCTAAGGACTTCTATCATCTAAGGACTTCAATCAATCGATTTCATAATGGAAAATAAAACATCCCTTTTCTTCGGGATTATTTCTTGCACTTTGCTCGTCCTGTGCAGTGCAACCCAGGAGGAGTACGTGGCCCTGGAGAAGGCAGTCAGTAGTTTGTCCAATGTTGTTGGCACATACAACGCTGAATTTGACAAGAAAGTCAAATTTGATGTCCTGCAGGAAGCCATCGATGCAATCGATAAAGCTATGTTTGGCTACCAAGGAGAAGCTAAAAAGCATCTGGATGAAGTACGTCAGTTGAATACAGATGCCCATCTCACATATAAAAAGTGTGTAGGCCCTGTCTACGAGTGGTGCGTTGCCATCAATAGTACACTGGTATCTATCACACCATATATTACTGACCCGAAGTCGACGGCCGAGGACAGGGATATGCTGTGGAACATGACTGTGACTGCTCTAGCTTCAGGGCTCAGCAAGACGAGCGTCTCATTGGAATTATTGGAGCTGGTGCAGAGCAAAGTTGAAAATTTGAAACAGTTGCTGGATGTTATTATGCGGGAGCTGGACAATGATTTCGCCCCTGAAGGATATTATGGAAAGCAGAAACAGTCCCTGCAGGAGGCTTTGGATGGTAAAGGCACTGTTGTCGCCAAGGCCATTGCCAAACTTATTACATCAATTTTCGAGACAGTCGTCCGTGTTGTGACAGGCAATATTGGTGAGGCCTTGACTATGTTGCCGACATTTGTGGATCAAGGATTGGGAGTCGTGATGCAGCTCCGGGAGAAGGCTACCATTGATCAACAACTGAAGGCAATTGAAGTTTTCTTCAAAACGCTGACTGAAAAGATAACCTATGCTAAGAAAATAGCTCTGGAAGTCGACGCGGCTCTAAAAGAGGATCATAAGAACTTGGATTCTCTGGCTACCTTAATTGATATCGCAAACCAGGTTAGTAAACCGTGAAAAAATAAATAATTTTTATTAAAATAACTTTATTTTTTAGAACAATCAATTGCTGCTCCTTGCGGATCCAAATCTCCGAGCTCAGATAATTCCCAAACTGAATGATATGGGTCACCAGTGCTATGAGTACGTTATTTGGCACGGGCATGGTTCAAAGAACTATCTTTACAACCAAGTTAGGACCAAACGTCAAGCACCCGAATCTTGCGAAACGGGAAGGATAAGGCGATTACTCAAATCCCTACCGGAAAATTACAATTTCAATATGGTGGTTTCCGCTGTTTCTCAAGTGATGAGCGAAGTGAATTGTGATTCCCCTGTAGAAAATGGACCTACTGCATCCGAAATCGCAAATGAGGAAATAACCACCCGGGCTACTCCACTTTTAAAATCCATGAACATGGATTTAGTTGTAAAACATATCAAATTTGTTTAGTGGAAATTTGAAGATTTAAACACTTTATCCTTTTGTACGATTTTAAAAATTGAATTATGTACATATATCTTAAAGCTTAGCTTTCCTTTAGTTGCAATAAAATTCGCAGCCCGCGCAAAATGAGCATTTATGAATTTACATTATTTTATTTCAAATCAACTGACGTAGTAAACTTTTAAGTAATCTTGGTTGTATAAATGATTTAAAACAGTAGGCGTCTGACCCTGACATATTCGTGTTTAGAATGTATTAAGTAGACTTGGCAGCATTATTTTGTGTTCTTAGGTCAAAAATAAAACCTTCAGAGCCCAAATGGCGGTCAGAGCCAAGATGGATGAGCAGGCCTCTCCATGGTACTCCAGCTTCTACAACTCGATTAAGCAGACTCCCACAAATGTGACCCTCCTGGTTGTGTCGGCAATTGTCTTCTACAAGGTGGTGAGTCTGACCCGGCGGCGACGTCTTCCTCGGGATCAGAAAGCACTCGGCTCGAATCCGATTAGCTCTGATATTAAATCAAACCGGGATTGTGGACTTCCTGCGCTGCATAGCGACTTTACGGTGGGCGAGCTAAGAGAATTCGATGGATCACGACACGACGGTCGCATTCTGGTGGCTATCAACTTCAACGTGTACGATGTCTCCAATTCCCCGCACTACTATGGCCCCCATGGCGTCTATCCCAACTACGCCGGTAGAGATATTTCACGAAACTTGATCAATTTTTCCGTAGAGTCTAACGAAAGTGCGGATTTTGACGATTTAAGTGACCTTTCAATTGGCCAAATGAATATACTACGGGAGTGGGATCAACAGTACAGTGAAAAGTATCCTTATGTTGGCAAACTTTTACGTGATGGCATCCCTCACACAAATTATGCAGACGAGGAGACTGACGAGTATGACGAGGAAGACAAAATAGAGGATAACGAGGACTACAAAATGGATGTTACTGCGCTGGATAACGAGAAGGATGAAGTAAATAATAAAGAAAATAATGTGGATAATGTAGAGGATATCGTACAAAATTTCGTTGATGAAAACATTAATGTTAACGAAGAAAAGGAGGATTCCAATACCAACGAGAACGGGGAGATGGACAACGAAAATACTCATGAAGAAAACCAAAACATATAATAAGCTCCATTACTTAGGTTAACTTATGTATATTTTTTTTGTGTGAAAATTAAAAGCTAAATTCAAATGTTTACACGTCAAACTATAAAAAAAATCATTTAATTTTTCGTATATAATAGTTTAACGGCAAAGTGTAAAGGAAATTGTGATATTAAAATTTTATTTCTTTTTATACGATGTAATGGTCCTGTACAATTTGAAGTCGGCAATCAAAGATTAAATTTTGGCTGAAAATGGCTAAAAACATGAAAACTTTTTTAAAGTTTACTAAATTACAATTTCTTTATGAAGTTTTACAACACTTAAGGCGGTGGTAAAAAAAACCACAATATGTTCATACTGTTATAGAGATGGCAAAATGTAAGTTACCAAAAATCGATAGCTATTCACAATAGTGATGTTATGTGCGATAGTGTTGAGACATTTATCTGTTGTTTGTGTAAATTTGGTAAAACATTTGTGTAGTACACTTAAGAGGACGAGTGTCTATGGTTTGCTATCTATCTGCTAAAATACCAGTTGTAAAAATGCAAAACTTAGCAGATCGATAGTCGCCGATATCGCTTGGCCCAAAATCGATATTTTGGCAGTATCCCACCTCTAGTTTTCTCTCCTCTCAAACCAGCCAGCCATTTTCCTTTCTTTTTAACCTCTCTTACTACCAAGGTATGTGCGCTCCACGTGGCCCTGCTTTTATTTGCCAAAACCGATAGAATTTAGCTCTCTTTTTTCTTCTTTTTAACAGCAGACGCAAACGTGGTCCCTGCAAGATGAAGTAAGTCACCCAAACCGAGCGCGCCAGGATCTGAGGCATGAAAAACTGCAGCGGATTTGTCGTGTATGCTTTGTCCGATAAGACTGTTAATTGGGTGTTTTCTTTTCCAGAATCGGTTTGTGTTCGTTCAGTGGGTACAAAATCTACCCCGGCCATGGCAAGACCATGGTTAAGGTTGACGGCAAGGTAAGTGTGCTCTTGAAACTCCTTACAATGATGCGCAAGCTAATCTTGGATGCCTTCTTTGCAGACCTTCACCTTCCTGGACAAGAAGTGCGAGCGCTCGTACCTGATGAAGCGCAACCCCCGCAAGGTCACCTGGACCGTGCTGTACCGCAGGAAGCACCGCAAGGGTATCGAGGAGGAGGCCTCCAAGAAGCGCACCCGCCGCACCCAGAAGTTCCAGCGCGCCATCGTTGGTGCCTCGCTGGCCGAAATCTTGGCCAAGCGTAACATGAAGCCTGAGGTCCGTAAGGCTCAGCGCGATCAAGCCATCAAGGTGGCCAAGGAGCAGAAGCGCGCCGCCAAGGCTGCCAAGAAGGCTGCTGCCCCCGCCCCCGCCAAGAAGGCTGCGCCCAAGCAGAAGGCCGCCAAGGTGACGCAGAAGGCTGCTCCCCGCGTCGGTGGAAAGCGGTAAACAAAACCCTTCGTGTAGTGAAGTGCTAAAGCTTAACAGGATTAAGGAACAGAAGTGACACAAAAATTTAAATAAACGCCACAAAGTTGCTTTGCGGTTAAGAAAAAAAGTTGCGCGTGCTTTTAATTTCTTGATTTTATCCATTCTGCCTCTTATACGAACTCGGTGCTGTATTTTTTGAGACCTATGAAGCTAGTAAGCCGACCGATGGCATCGCCGTGCACTTGAATGTATGTCTGATTCGGGTCATACAACTCCGTAACGAGCTGCTCCTCGTCTGGCCCGTCGTCGTCCAGCAGAGCCTCCACGTGCACCTTGTGCTGTCTTATTTCCATTAGATGTACGCAGCCGATTTGGCCAAGCAGCTCCAGCAAGAACATTGTGTCCACTGGCACCAAGTGCGGAAATCGAAAGAAGACCGACTGGACGGTGCATCCGAAGCGTAAGAGGCAATCACCCAGGATTGTGCTTAGCCAGCGATCGAGGACGCGGCGGTTGAGAGATGCATTCACCCGGATCCATGGCTGCGGCCGCATAGCTATCGCGTCGCGCTGCGCTTCCAGGGGACGATTAACTAGATCTGGCGGGGGATCCTTTTTTCTCGTGTTTCTCCTGGGACGCTTTGGGACTGGATCTTCAACTTCGTCGCTCTCACTGTCAGTACTGTTGGGCTCCTCCAGCTTTGACTTCTTTTCGGGCACAGCGCTACTGGAAGCTTCCATCGCCTCTAGCTTACGTTTGTGGCCAACGATTGCTTGCAGAGTGGCCGGTGCAGCCGCCACCAGTGGTTGAACTCGCTCCCTTTCCAGCCGCTTGATGTGGAACGTGTGCACCACCCAGTTGCGGATGTGGTTCTTATGGACATACATGTGGCTGACTACGCCCACCCTCTTCACCAGGCCGTGATCGGCCAGAAGATGCAAAGCTTCGAGCAGGAAATCGCCAAGAGGGAAGATCCTCCGCAGCTCCAAGCCTTGCACACCCAGTGGATGCTGATCGATGCAGTGGAGAATGTCCTCCATATGCTGAGTGGCACTGGTGTTGTATCCCTTGTCCAGCAGGATGGGTCGCAACGTGTCGAAGGTGTTCTCTGTGTACTGCCAGTAAGAAGCCCTGCCGAAACAGAAAGAAAACCAGTAAGAAAAGCCCAAGGAACTGGTTCTCCTTCAAAACTTACTTCAGGACCTTGTCTAGCACCGCGGATCCCAGAGCATCCATCTCCTGCTTGGCAAGCTGTTGCTGCTCCGAGCTTTCCGCAACCCGAATTCCAATTGTAGGTAGGTGGACCACGAAAACATCCTGGGCACGGGCGCGTTCCTCCTTGTTTAGAGTTGGCTCGTACTCCTGCACCCTGTCCGTATCCCAGGCATGGGTCTCGTCCTCAAGCAGTTCTGCGCAAATGGCTCGCCAGTCTGTGAGTTTGCTCCGATTTTGTTCAGCCAGAGCACGACCCAGGTCCTTGATCTCCAAGGGCTGCTGTTGCTGCCGCCAGTGCATTTCCAACTGCTGGGTGAAGGGCATGAAATTCGTGATGGTCATCGTTAGGGAGTTATCCGCCGTAAGAGTCTCCAGTTTCAAGGGCTGGGAGGAGGCCAGGGCATCGGCCACCAGCTGGCGCAGAACCGGCCGCTGTTCGTGGGCTATCCGCTCCACGGCGTTGAGGTAGTTACTGCTACGCATGATGCAGTTGACAAAGGGGCACTCCCCCACATCCAAACGGGCCACGTTAATGGTAACCGACTCGCCCAAGGCATCCAGGGCACAAAAAAAGTGCATGGCGCGCAGCGGCAGCTTGGATAGTTGGTTGTAGGCACTGGCGGGCAGTCGGTAGCTCAGGTTTGCCGGATGGAAGCGTACCCGGGACAGGGGACGGGTGCTGCACTCGCTCTCCAATCGCTTGGAGTACTCTGTCTGAGGGGCGTTGTCGAAAATGCAGCTAAAGTGATCCAGGATGCGGTCTGAGGAGGAGACGCTTTGCCGCGCTATCGTGCTAGTGTCGACTGTGAGGATATTGGTGGGCAGTTGTAGCGACAGGACCAGTCTTTTGCGCGCCGACCACTCGCCGATGAGCAGGAGCTGGGCAAAGTGCGGTGAGGATAGTTGCAGTTCCCCCTCCGTTTGCAGCTTTCGATCCAGATCGAAGTATCCCTCGTAAACGGTGTGCGGGAGCTTGGTGTACATAAAGCGGTACTTGTACTTCGAGCTGAGCAGATGGCCCGGGCCGGTGATCTGGCGGCTGGAAGCGCACTGGATATTGCGCCGCTTCACCGCCACGATCAGGGAGTCGGCCCGGGCTTTGTTGAACGCCTCGTTCAGCACCTCCTCGGAGAAGTGCTTGTAGATCTCGAAAGTCTGCAGGTTCAACAGGGTCTTGTCCTTCGCACAACACACAGTACTGTGGAGCACCCCGTGAGCCACTGCCACCTGCAGTTCTGTCTCGGTGGTGGGATCTTGATGGTACAGTTGCGTCTCCTCCACGGCTGGACGGCAGCGGCTTTGAATGGAGTCTAGCGTGTCCGGCAGCAGGAACTGAGTCCGCATGGATCGTTGCTAGTTTGGATATGGACATCTATCATTAAATTACATTTGGAGACATGGTTACAGGGTGGACTTACCGATTTGGACACAATGCGGTGGAGCTTGGTCATCACAAGGACAAAATGTACAATCAGGACATCATGGAATTCGGATTTGTTGGGGTACTCCCGCTTCAGCTCGGTGAGAAAGCTTTCGTTGTAGACATCCCTGAACTGCGGCTGCGTTTGCATCATGTAGATCCAACCGGCCATGTCCGGGGCGTCGCGCTTCGTCTTCATCATGAACTGAATGCGCCTCACGACAGCCTGAGTGGTCTTGTTGCAGATGCCTAGGTATCGTCGGATCAAGTCCCGGCACACCAAACCGACGTCGCACAGGGCCAGAGCCAAGACGGGCGCATCGAAGAAGGTATAGACTGCTCGGCCTATCCACAGCAGACGATCTTCCTCGGGCGACCACTTGACACGAAGAGTGCGCATATTGCGCAACGCATCCCGGTCGATGTCGTCCCTGGGCCCGCTCTTTTTCTTGGGATACTTGGTGCCAGACAGACCACCGATCTGCTTGCGAACCCCGGCCCGGTTGCTCACCTTTATTCGCACGGTGGTCCGTCTGTTGGTCAACAGCTTCTTTGGTTTCTTCGTGCCAATCACCGGGCGCACTGGCCCGTTCTGCCGTTGCACCCAGGACCAGTGTCGAAACTGGTGGGCGTACAAGTGGGAGCCTAGACCAGCGGCGCCCAGGTTGTCCCCCGGCACTGATCCGTTGTCCAGCGCCACCGCCTGGTCGAATTCCACGGCCGGTGTAAAGGCAAGATTCTCCAGGCGGGGAGCTGGCATTCGGTTGGGAACTTTCAGATGGTTCCGATAGCCAAGCTTTGTGTAGATGCAGATGTGCTGCAACTTGGCCCAGTATTGGGCCACCTGTTCCTTGTCGACGAACTCAAAGTCCAGCTGCGTGTAGGACCGATCTGAGCTGACCTTCTTGTAGTTGTGCTCGGTACTGGCAGTGGTGTCCAGCAGGCGGCTGCGCCGGTTGAGGAACACCCAGCGATGCAAGTAATCCCGCCCCACCTTGCACTCGCTGACCTGGATGAGGCCCATGTTGCTCAATAGCCGCAGCGTTGCCACATACAGCTGCTGCAGCTTCAGGCGAGGCACAATGGCCTCCAATCGCAACTGATGGAGCAGATAGTGTTGCCGGACAGGGTGCTGCAGCTGCAGACGCAGCTGGTCGTTGGCCTCCCGATCGATGCGGCAGATGCGTAGAAACAGCGATAGCGGCATTCGCTCCATGGCGTCCATAAAGTAAAGCCACCCCGGCGGCTTGTCCTCGTAACGTGGAAGAGGCGGAATGAATGTGCGCCAGCTGATGTCAGAGGTGTAGGGCAGGACTCTTCCATTCTCCTCCGCCGCCCATTCCTCGAGAAACTGTCGAGGCTGCAGCGACGGTTCCGTCTTCTGCCACTGCTGGACTAGATCGGCAGACATGTCCAAAGGTTTCTGATCCCTCGCCAGCTCGTTCTGAAGATAGTAGAGGAACTCGTGCAGTGTCCTGGCCAGCAGCAGCTTCGGGGCCCGCGCTTTGGACACCGGCAGACTGGGCATCTGCTTGCGCCGCGCCAGCACCTCTTTGCGTTCCTTTGGGAGTAGCTGGGAGGGCCGCCTCAACTGCTCTTCGGTCATGAGATGGAAGTTGCTCTTCAGCTTGAGAATTTCACGTTTCACTACCAGGTGGTCAATTCCAATTTTCGGGTGGGTGGCGAACCGGTAGAGGCGGACTCGCTGGTTATACTGCAGCGTGAGGTCATACGAGTTCACCTTCTTGTCCTTGATCATGGGAAGCAGTAGGCGGTGTAAGGAGCGCCGACAAATAGCGTCCTTGAAGCCAGCAGTGCTTTCTATCTGCTGGATGCGCTTCGTCAGGGCGTGCAGGTGTACAAGGCACAGTTCGTCGAGCAGGTTTACAATCAGCTTCTGGCGGTCAATGAGCCGCTGAGTTTGGTTGGTCACTCTCGTCAGTTTCACCTTAAACTCAGCGGGTCGAATATTCGCCACAATCTCCGGCAGGTCCCGAATGGGAATGGACACGTTTTCCGGAACATTCTGTAAACAGACCCGGATATGACCATGGAATTCATATTTAAATGTCCTTCACTTACCGGCTCGTCCTTACACTTGATCTCCTCTTCTTTTTGCTTGAGTTCCTTTTTTTTCTCGGATTCAGCGACATGCTCTATGGCGACGAAACGATACTGACGGCTCTTGCCGGCGTGCTCCGAGTAAACCTTGGCCATGTTGGAGCTCTGTAAATGCTTAATAAAGTGGCGCATGGTGTTGAAGTTAATGCCTGTGTACTGGGATATTTCAGAGGCAGTGAGTCCGCGTTGGCCAAACCGAGATACTGCCCGTCTTATCTCCTCCTCCGGCGGTATATCCAGAAGGCAGTGACCCAGGTCGAGGAACTCCGGTATCGTCCTTTCCTCGCCGACGTCGCTGTTGCTTTGATATAGATCCATCACCTGCATGTCAGGATTTCGCAGATGCACAACAGTCACCTTGCGGTTAGTTGACTTGGACACCTTTCCCGATTTGGTTAGAGTGGGTGGCCGTTCTACCTGTTTGGTTTCGAAAAACTTTCGGAACACATGCGTAACAAGCAACTTCTTGGTCTTCAAGTGGGGGGGATTGCCGAGGCGGGCGCATATCTCGGAGACGGGAATGTACCGTTCACTGGTGCGCATTATTTCGAAATATAGGTTTTCCAGATTCTCCTGGGTTCTGTTTTTGTAGATGCGATGAAAACGAGGTAAGATCAACAGCGATGATGTCAGGAGACGGCCCTTGTTTTGCTCCACATACGTCTGGGCGGTAATCAGTTGCAAGTTCAGTAGCTTGTTCCTTAAACGGCAATAAACATGAACATTTTACTTAAAAGTCCCTTATTCGACCTACTTGATGAAGAACACAAATCCAGGATCCCGGCAGTAGTGAATTAACGACCACGGCCCTGCCGTCGTATGTCCGCTGTTCCGGGTGCGCCCGATCGCCTCCAGGTAGACGTAGTTGCGCAGCGACATTTCCTTTGGCAACAACATGTGCCTGGGCGACAGGGCTGCATTCCGCAGGTCTTGTGAAGCGACTACCACCAATCGTCCGTCCCACTGCTCGGTGGCCTGGGAGCAGTTCAGCTTCATGAGATCGCTAGCCGGAATCACTTTCCTGGTCTTGAAGTCTACACAACTACCCATGACGCCGCCTTCCTGCACTGGTGCATTGGTGAGAAACTGAAAGGGGCATTTTTCCGGCACCACTGGATAACCCACATCCTTGTCCAGATCATTCTGGCGATCATAATAAGGCAGGGTAGAACGCGGCGTGGGCAATTCGAAAAATTGAACTTTCTGCGGAGATGACCGTACAAGCAACGTCCACACCTGGCTTAGAATTCGATCAGGCAATGGATTCGGTGCGAAATTAAGACGCCGTGCCAACAAGTCCCAGAGATCTTCAAAGAAATTATTAAAAAGTTAATGGAATTCATAAAACAATCTATCATTCTCCTACAGGGCAATGTCACTCCTTCCAAGCCCTCCAGGGCGATCTCGTCGAAGACAGCATTGATCCAAGATCCTCCTGATGTCGAGCACATTTTTAATATGCAATTATAAACAGAAACGTTTCACTAACAAAATCAAAACAATGGTTTAAACTTGTTGTTGTTGTAACCATCCTTAGTGATGGTATGCTTCTTATGTTAGGGATGACATTTTTGTTATTCCTATTTCAATTTCAATTTTACAAATACATTAATAACTCCGCAGGCAGGTATTATATTAAAGTCTTAATTTTATTTCTCCCAAATTTAATCTTAAGCTATTGCTTTTACCTTAAAACAACTTTTTAATAACAACATATTCCTATTTTAGCGATAGGTATCTCACGCTTCCATCCATTTCGATTTCTTTGTGATTTCCAGAAGGGTGACAACTCTAAATGTTTGGCTAGACCGTAAATAGACGCTTGTTGGTCGGCTACAAGTGAAATATTTTAATTTAAAGGATAGGGCGGAGTACGAAAATGTCCTCAGCCATTTATTTGGAGAACTACCTGGACGGTAAGCGTATAAACACGCAGAGATAACAATATTTCTGTAACAATATTTTAAAACCATAAATGCAGGCTTGGAAAGCCTTCCCACTGAGCTGGAGAGGAACTTTAAGCTGATGCGAAAACTGGACGATCGTGCCCAAACGGCCATGAAGAGCATCGACAGCCACGCCAAGGACTTTATGCGCAAGCTGGCCGACAGTGGAGCCATGGGGGACGAGGAGCGCAAGGAACGACTGGAGGACATAAAGGCTTTGTTCGGAAAAGCCAAGGAGTATAGCGACGACAAGGTGCAACTAGCTATCCAGACGTACGAGCTGGTCGACAAACAAATTCGCCGTCTCGACAACGATTTGGCCCGGTTTGAGGGCGAGATTCAGGAGAAAGCGTCCTCCACTCGGGCCAAGTCCGAGGAAGTTGTGGCCAAGAGTAAGTGAAGCCTCTTGTGATAGCTGTTTCGCTAAGCCCGTCTCCGTTTTTCAGAGGGTCGCAAGAAGACAAAGGACAGCAAGACCACGGGTAAAAAGAAAAAGTCAGCTTCGTCGGACGAGGAAACTGGGCGTGGCAGCAACCAAAACAACAGCAGCGTAACCCTCAATTCAAGTAGCAATACGGGACAAGGTACCAAAAAGAAAAAGTCCAAGGTAAATCAAGAAAAAGATACACGCAAGGGGGGCGTTCAAAAGGTAAACCATCATCATTATCATAACATTTTGCCTGTGAGACTGTTTGATTTTAGTTCGAATTACTTTACTGCTTTTTCGTTGTACCCTTGTAGCGTAATGTTTATATTCCCGGTAATATATACTCCTTCCCCCTTCGACTGTGCATTTTCCATTCGCTTCACCCCTTCATTTGATTTTCACTATTGTACCTGCATGCTAGAACCAAGTCAAGCCTATTACTCATGCCATCTGTGTAATTCGAGCAGAAAACCGCCGATGTGGAAGACTCCGAGAAGGAATCGAGTCACGCGGCCGCCGTACCGAGCGATGTTATGGACATGCCCGTGGATCCAAACGAGCCCACTTACTGCCTCTGCCACCAGGTATCCTATGGCGAAATGATTGGCTGCGACAATCCCGATGTAAGTAGAACATATAATCTTATACTAAAGAGGTAGTATTAAAAAATCGACCACATTGCAGTGTCCCATCGAGTGGTTCCACTTTGCGTGCGTCGGGCTCACCACGAAACCCAAAGGAAAGTGGTTCTGCCCCAAGTGTACCCAAGACCGCAAAAAGAAGTAGACTCAATTGTCCATATTGTTTGTAAAATATTCATAAACTAGAATAAGAACTAAAATAAATACTATTATAGCACGCCTAGGCGTGCATGTTTTTTCAATAACCTGGACTTGTGTCATATTTAAGTAATGATTTTCCAGCCTCGACCCATCCCACCGAAGGAAACAATCCTTTAAGCATAGATAGCTATTTATTTTTTGTATTTCTTAAGGTTTTTTTTTGGAGTTTTTCACAGTTATAAAGCGATTCTAAGATTCCCGAACATATTACACACTTGTCTGTATATGCAAGTGTGGATATAACCATATACGCGCACATTGGTGGACGTATATGAACATTTACATATATAGTGGATAAAGTCAACTGTCTAATCGAAGGAATCGTTAAGAAAACAAATAAACACAATATTTCCACATGATGATGATGGTGTTTTGCTGCTCCTCTTGCGAAGGCTCAGGTTTCGCACTCGACTCTTTGGGTTGCATTCACGATCGGTATTGAATTGGAATTGGCATCGTCGGCTTATCGTCGTGGTCGTGGTGTGCGTTCAGATTTTGCTATCCAGTTGGCTGCCCCTATTTCTTGGTCATGATCTTCAGATACTCGAGTGCATTCTGGGCGGCATGCCGCTGGGCGTCGACTGCCGTCGGACCGGTACCGTGACAGACACCTACGGGTAGCGTGGAAAGCTGCACCAGGCACTGAAACTGGCCGGTATAGGTCTTCTCCTCGATGTCCACGTAGGTGACCTCAAACTGATTTTCGGTTGCGATCTCGCCCAGCAGCTTGATGTAGTCCATCTTGGCGCTCTTCAGGCATGTTTTCTGAAATTACAAATTCCGATAGTCACATTATATGGGGCTTTCAATGAAATAGATACGAAAATGGACCTGATATCTCGAATAATTTGTCTTAAACTGCCTGATAATGGGAAAATTAGTTTGAAATAATTAGAAAATATTTGAAATTCTTAATAGAAGTGGATGAGTACATGCCAGTTATAATTTTGAAATTCAAATTTTGATTCCAAAGGCTTTCTATCCTTGAGGTCATTGTCATTTACCTGTAATTTGAGAAGTTTTTTGCCCGTTGCATTTTTCAGGGTCTTATGGAACTGGGAGACTTTGTTACTGTGCTGCGTGGTCAGTGTCGGCACAGAGATATCTTTCAATTCACCATAATAATTATCGCTACTGCGGGGCTGTAAATAAGAGCGCAAAGTGTGTGTGTTTTTTTGAAAAACCCACGCCAAATGGTGAGTTGAAACATATCACTTATGTTGTAGGTGCGGTGAAGGGATGCATGACAATGGGTGCTGGGATAATGGGTGCTCAATATAATACAAATGTTCGGCTACCAAAACCAAAGAGCTACCAAAACCAACATAAGCCATAACCAACAAAGCCTAAAAATCAAAATTCTTCATTAATAAAACAGCGTTTTAATATTTTCAAAAAAACATTTGTATAATTGCACAGAATTTCGGGTTAGAAAAGATTGGTTAGTAAAGATAAAATTGCCTAATATATATTCGATTCTAAGTAAAATCTTTTTACAAAAAGTATTCTTTTTTATGGTTAGTTTGAAATAAAATCTAAAAAACAAGATGCTACTATTTTTTGACACGACGGAAGACACTTACAGAAAATGGAAAAAAATATATTTTGTAATATATATATTCCAAGAACTGCATAACAGATAACAGAACAACAATTAACATGTCTGGTAAATTCGGTCGTAAAGCTTGTAAAATATTGGCTAGATAGATTAAGACATGCAGGGATATTGCGGGGTAAGTATCAAGATAGAAGGATTAGATCTCCAACAACTCAAACGCAGCCGGTAGACGCTCATAATGATTGCTCATAGTTGTGGTGGTTCTACTCACTTCGCCCTCCAGCTCGCCACAGATGCTGTCACTGATCTTGGCCGAATCGATAGGCGTCTCCTGCAGGCGCACCCACATCCGGTGGGCTGCCAGGCGTTTGGCTATCTTCTTGCTCTTGCCCTTGCCCATCTCCCGGTAGTTAAGAATCGAGCAGGCAATCGTAAACAGACGCTCATGTGGCAGTCCCACCTCGGTCTCGGTTTCATAGGATGGCGGTGGCCAGCGGCGTTGCATGCACATCTCCTGCAGCCAGCCTATGGGATTACCCACGATCCTGTCGCCGGCACTGAGAAATACAACATGTTACAAAGGGATCAGAATAATTCTGGAGTCATATAATCTTACTCTCCACCTCCCGCTGCACCGGCACTACCGTCTCCTCCGCTACCAACAGAAGTGAGTCCCGCAGCAGCTGCACTGCTCCCAGCAGCACCGCTGTTGGGCGATTCTGGCAGCTGTACACCGGTCAGTTTGTCGATAAGTGCCCGTGCTGCTGCATGCTTAGCCTCTTTTTTGGAACGCCCGGCACCCATGGCCGTAAACGGCGTGTCCTTGTCTTTAAAGGACACACGAAACCGGAACGTTGGCTCATGGATAGCGCCCTCGATTTGGACAAGCTCATAGCCCGGCGTGATGCCACGTCGGCTGAGCAGCTCCTGCAGAACGCTGACGGGAGTTTTCATGGCCAGCCCATTGGCATCCGTCTCGCTAACGAATTTAAGGGCTTCGTCGTTGGGCAGGAGGCCAACACCCCCGCCCCCTCCTGTTCCCGACTCACTAAGCTCCAAGAGCTGTGTCGGTTGGGCCAGCTGCTGGCTCGCCGATATCTTCTCCTTCTTGATCTTTATGGGGCGCTGCAACATTGGAACGCTCTTTCCCGGACTGCCCCCAGATGGTCCTCCACTCCCAGCCTGGGCGGTGCCATTACCCAAACAGGCGGCGGCCATCACCGCTGCCGATGGGCCACCTAGACTGTCATATTGCCGCCTCGGAGCGAATCCCGTCTGGACGGGCTGCTGCTGGAGGTGTTGCAGGTGCTGGTGCTGCGGGGGCAACCGATGGCCGGGGAAGTTCTCCTGCTCCATTGCTGTTCTTGGTGTTTCTGTCTTCAAGGAGATCGCGGTGTGTATCTACGATTTACGAAAAATATTTAAATGTGGATCGGTTGAAAAATCAATAATTAGAACCGGCGGAGCTTTTCAAATGGTAATCGAACCAGAATTTATAAATATATAGACTGTGGGTAGTGATTTGAATACTTACGGTAGACTTGCGGTTTTTAACTGTTTTTTATTTAATAATAATTTATTAATGGTTAGTTAATAATTCATTCTTAAATAAAAAATACAGCAAAATCCAGACGCACACACGAATGATAAATATGTATGTATTCAGCGGTACAGTGTGGCCAGACTGTTGACGACTAGCCTACTCAGCGGATGATATTTCAAACACTATTTCCAACACTGAAATAACGACTTTTCTAATTTGGTTTTAAAAAAACTGTTTTAAATACGCTCAACAATGAAATGATACCAAATTGACACAAACCTTCATTTTTAATAAGTATTTATTGCATTTCTCTTGATCCATTACTGTTGTACATATAATTATTAGAAATATATTTATAATTTTAGACTTTTATAGGTAATGCACGGGAAATAACATTCAATCAAATCAAATGCGAATGTATGCGCGGAATTGTGTGGCTCGAAGTGCTCGAAATGTGGGACTCCCTTAGCAGTAAACAAAGGTGTATATGGTAATCTAGATCTGGCTGTGATCTCGGCCCACCCTAATCGTCGCTCAAGAAGTCATCATCCAAGTTGACATCCGTCGTGTCGATGTTGTCGTCTAGCGTGATGCCATCGATCTCCAGGTCCAGATCATCGTCATCATCAACGGCAGAAGTAGGCTTGGCCACCTGGTTGGTGCTAACGGCGGTATCGTGAGCAGGAACAAAGACCGGCTTTGCCTTCTCCTCCAGTCCTGGTCCGCCCTGCTCAGCGGCATGCAGCTCCTCGAGGGGATTTCGCTCGCTGTTCAGAGGCAGCTGGGCGGCTATGAGGGCGGGCGCTTTGCGAGACCGCTCCGCTTGCAAATGCTGCTCCACACGCAGCGCGTCGGCTAGGCCGGGGAAGAGATTTGTATACTGTGCCGGATCCGCCAGCGACTGGCCAGCTTTCTCGTTGACCTTGCCCAGCTCTTCGCGCCACAGCTCCACAACTCGCGACATCTGGCTGGGCAGGTAAGTTCGGGCAAAGAAGGCCGCCTCCGGCAGACGGTTCGTTTCAATGAGGATATCCAGACAGCGCTGTACGTCTGAGCGCAGAAAAGCAGCCAGGAAGGCAATGTTGTGGCGGCCCTGAGCCGAGCCAGCGGTGCCCACATCCTCCAGCATCTGGGCATCGCCCGATGCGGTGGAGAGCAGTAGCAAGCCACTGAAATCATTAGCCTTCTGCATGCACTCCTTGACCAGGGCCATGTTGTTCTTGCGCGCAGCCACGTCAGCCAGCTGCGTCCATTTCTGTGAGTTCTCTGCCTCGCGAGCCAGCTTCACTGCGATCTCCAACTCTCCTATCTGCAAGGCTAGGTCGAACTTGTGGTCGCCGTCCGTCGATACTTGCAGGGCCTGTGACTTGAAGCCCTGCTTCTCCAAGAAGTGCGCGACGCGGGTGCGGTGCTCCTTCGGAATGGTGGGCAACACCAAGTCAGCCCGCTCAAAATCGCGCCGCATTACGGCTGTCTGGTACTCCAGCACAGATAGTTGCAGGCAGAAGCTAATTACGTTCAGCTCTTTGTCACCCAGGTACAGGCGGTTATCCTTGGGAACATATCCGAGGAGATACATGGTGCGGTCCAGGTGGGACACTGTAACAATCTCGCCGCCCACATAGTAGTTTATCCGATTCACTGAGTTTGTGTAGATGAAGCAGTCGCCCACCCAGAGGCCCGTCTTCACAGATTCAGATGTCTCGCCTGCAACAGAAAAAATACCAATAACAAAATCGTTATCAAAAGCAATCGATTCTTTGTTTGAAAGTGAAACTGTGACAACACATGATTGTGTTCTTCGTTTATCTTCAAAGATAAGAGCTTTCCTAAGAACTCACCTAATACATTGAAGGCACTCTCGACTCCATCATCCTCCAGGCCTTCCTTGGTTTCCACTGCGTTCGCCACCAGAGCAGTATCCACGCCGAGCACAAAGTATGAGTCGTCGGTGGCCAGGCAGACGAGACTGCCGCTTTCGTTCCAGAAGACGTTCTTTGGCTGCACCTCGATGCGGCGAACCAGCTGCAGGGTTTCCCAGTCGTAGAAGGCCAGCCCGGAGGAGGTCTTCACGCCGAAGTAGTATCCACCGTAAATGCTCTCCGCCCCGTATTCGGGCGTAAAACTCTTGCGCTCCTTAAAGTTGCGGAAGAGACGCACAGTTCCGTTGTTCTCCCGGATGGCGTACTCGTTGCTCTCCAGAGCCCAAACGAACTCCTGTGCGGATCCGAAGGCCTTGTTTCGGAGAGCCATCGAAGTGTAAATGATGTACTCGCCATCGCCGCAGACCACCACAAACCGACCATTGGGATTGTGGGCAATAGTCTGCGGATAGATCTCGCAGGCACCCATGTCTTTCACTGCGACCGGAAGGCGTTCGCCATCCTTTATTTCCGTACCATCAGCGATGGTTTTCAAATTAACTTGTTGCATTTCGGAATGTTTGGCCCAGATGATCTTGCCGCCGACGACATCCATGGACATGGCTGGCTCCTCGCGACCCACCTTGATGATAATGGAGCCCTCGTCGTAGCCCAGGGCAACGTTATTGGTGCCACGCATACTGGAAATGGTCCAGACGCGCTCAAATCCATAGTTGAGGCATGTCTCCAGGCGGTAGGTTCCGGAGTGCCAGATCCTGACTGTGCCGTCCTCAGAACCAGTCAGTACGATCGGCAATTCGGGGTGGAAACACACGGCGGATATATTCTGGGCGTGACCCTCGAGGGTCTGAACGCAGGTCTTGTTCTGGTAGTCCCAGATCTTCACAAGACGATCATCGGCGCCGGAAATCAAGTACGGCTTGTCTCCGCCATGGTAATAGTCCACGCAGTTGACTCCTTTCTCGTGGCCCTCTAGGGTGAAGTTGGCAAAGTTGGAGCCCAGCTGCCACACCTTGACCGTGCGGTCGAGAGAGGCGGATGCGAAGGTGTTGTTGTCCTTTGGATTGAATACGATCTGCATGACGTAGTGGGTGTGGCCTTCGAAGACGCGCTGGCAGGCCCACATTTTCTCCCAGTTCCACAGCTTAATGAGCATATCGTCTGAGAATATGTGAAATTGCAGGTGAAAAATCTAAAGCATACTTCCCAGCGGGATATGTAGGCAATTTATAAAGTAAACAGAGAATGGGGGGAGGAAGGTGGGGGACAGGACCCTATATCACTTACCACTGCTGGTCAGCACAAGGGGTTGTGTGGGATGCACGGCGATGCATCGCAGGTAATCCGAGTGGGCCTCGAACATGTGCACCTTCTCCAGGGTGTTGTAGTTGAAGACGCGGATCTGCATGTCATCCGATCCGGTAAGGATCCAGTTCTTCCGCGCCACGAATCGTGCGGAGCGTACAGGGACATCGCATACCTCGAAGTCCTTCACCATCTGCTGGTTCTCGTAATTCATGATGTGTACGTGGCCATTGTACAAAGCGCACAACATCCACGGCTCCGCCGGATGCAGGTCGACGCACTTGACTCGGTCGGAGCGCGACGTCAGGCGGCGCTTGATGTCCAGTTTAAGGGGCATCTTTCACGGCTCTGGCTCTCCACAAGGAATCTATGCGAAAACAATTATTTTGAATTGCGGCAATTTGAGGAAAACTCTTTTGCTGCCTAGGCGCTCTTCTTCTTCCCCTATTGCTAATGTGTCAGCGATGGTCTAGGGTTGTCGCCTGCCACGTACGGCTGCGGAGTTTTATTATCGAAAAGAGATGGAAAAACGGAATTTTTTTGAAATATTAAAAATTTTCTTGCCAAATTTTTTTTTAATTTTTATTTTAAATTAATTTTACTTAAGTTAATCCAACCATTTTAGATAAATCTTACAAAAGCCATTATACATAATATAAAATAAAAGCCGTTTCGTATTATGGCTAGTGATGACATTAAGGTATTTCTTGCAGCCGGCTCTTTGGAAGTCGCTGAACTTAACTTCTCTTCCAAGCCACCTATCGATAGACTCGCCTCTCCGTTCCACGTCTTCTACCTGTAGTTTTCCGGAAAAATAAAAATGCTGCATTGAATCTGTATGAAACCTGCAATCTCGCAGAGCCCACTGGAAATAATAGCTTCAAGTACACAAAGTTAGTCCAGTAAGTCGATAGTTTGTGAGACCACCATGGGGATCTCAACCCAGCTTGTTGTGCTCCTCCTGTTGACGGCACTTGTTGCCGCTAAGACAAAAACATCACCGGTCCAGGACGACATTGCCGAGTACAAGGACTTCAAGAAGCTGCTACGCACCAAGAACAATGTCCTGGCACTGTACGTGACCAGTGCCAAGGCTGCTGCTGCCGAACTGAAAGTATTTCGGGAAGCTGCGGAGGCGATACGAGGAACGGGGACGATGCTACTTTTAGACTGTGGTCAAGCGGATCGCAAGAAGCTGTGCAAAAAGCTCAAGGTATCCCCAGATCCCTATGCTATTAAGCACTACAAGGACGGGGACTACCACAAGGACTACGACCGGCAACTAAGTGTAGCTTCAATGGTTACGTTCATGCGGGATCCCTCTGGAGATTTGCCCTGGGAGGAGGACCCCGCCGGTGATGATGTCCTGCACTTTAGCGACGCAGGCTCGTTTACGAAACACCTGCGGAAGGACATCCGCCCCATGCTGGTCATGTTTCATGTGCCGTGGTGTGGTTTCTGCAAGAAAATGAAGCCAGATTATGGCAAGGCAGCAACGGAACTAAAGGCCAAGGGAGGGTATTTGTTGGCGGCGATGAACGTTGAGCGGCAGGAAAACGCTCCCATTCGCAAGTTGTTCAACATAACTGGTAAGCCATGTCTAATGCTATTAACCACGATCTCAACTAATATAAAAATATAATTTTACAGGCTTCCCTACTCTTATTTACTTTGAAAATGGCAAGCTGCGCTTCACCTACGAAGGGGACAACACAAAGGATGCCCTTGTCGCTTTTATGCTAAACCCAAATGCCAAGCCCACGCCGAAGCCTAAGGAGCCGGAATGGTCGGCAGATACAAACTCCGAAATAGTGCACCTTACCAACCAGGGCTTTGAGCCTGCGCTGAAGGATGAGAAGTCGGCTCTGGTCATGTTCTATGCTCCCTGGTGCGGGCACTGCAAGCGCATGAAGCCTGAGTATGAAAAGGCCGCTCTGGAAATGAAGCAGCAGAAGATTCCTGGACTGTTGGCTGCCCTGGACGCCACGAAGGAGCAATCTGTGGCTGAGAAATACAAGGTGAAGGGCTACCCCACAGTGAAGTTTTTCTCGTACGGGGTCTTCAAGTTCGAAGTTAATGTTCGAGACGCATCGAAAATTGTCGAGTTTATGCGGAATCCGAAAGAGCCGCCACCACCGCCACCGCCAGAGAAGAACTGGGAGGAGGAGGAGGACAGCAAGGAGGTACTGTTCCTTGATGAAGAAACTTTCAGCACGACCCTGAAGCGAAAGAAGCACGCACTGGTGATGTTCTATGCTCCCTGTAAGTATATTTGTATAAATACTCATAATGTACCTAACCAACGATATATCTTTGTGCATTTTAGGGTGTGGCCACTGCAAGAGCACTAAGCCGGAGTTCACTGCAGCCGCCACTGCTTTGCAGGATGATCCTCGCGTGGCGTTTGCGGCCGTGGACTGTACGAAGCAGGCTGCTCTCTGCGCCAAGTACAGTGTTCGCGGCTATCCCACCATTTTATACTTCTCTTACCTTAAAACCAGGCTGGACTACAACGGTGGGCGCACCAGCAAGGACTTTATCGCGTTCGTGAACAACCCGCCGAGTGCGGTAGATCGTAGTGAACTGTGACAAGACTAGATATCTATACTTGAATCTCGGCAATCTCTAATTTTGTATTAATTGTGTATTATACTGATATCGTTACTAATCAACCTATTAGTCGTCAAATTCTGAATTATTTTATTATAAAACTAATCTAAAAATGGTATTCAGCTAGAAAGGAATCTTTTAAGAAACTCTTCTCAATCTTTGAAGAATACAAACGATAGCATACACCCAAGTGTTTATTTGGGTTATAATTGTAGCTAATCCAATAAATAAATGCTTTGTATTATCGACTTACCAATAAAAGCATTTTAAAATATGATTTTATAATCTTCACTCGTGAGTGTATGGACACTGATAACCTGTGGCATAACATGGTTTGATTAGAATCTTATATAACATACTAATTTTAGTATATAGTGACTGACCTATGTAGATAAACTGAATCATTTTAATGCCTCACCGTGATGTATATATTCTGAATTTCCTTTATTGTACAAGTAATTTCCATATTTTCTATTTGCTTTTAAAACAATTTCTAAACTTAAGATATTATGTATTTAATAGTTAGATACAATCAGTATATTTAAGGTATCCCATCCGTGTGGCACACATTCTATGAGCGCGAAATGCCAACAGCTATTGCACACTTGCTCTGTAGTTCTGTGGTTCGATTTGATAGTTTCTAATGCTAGAAGTGGTATTCTCTCCTGAATAGTTGTTTATAGAGTCGCAGGTGAATGGAACCGAAGATGAAACTTGGGAGTGTGTGGGAAGGGTTTAATAAGGATGGGGTTTGGAAAGGAAGCACTTATCAGCGCTCTGCTTCGCTGCCGCGGTTCACCTTGCGCCGGCCCAAGCTGCCCAGCCAGCTGCCTCGCTGAGCATTGGCTGTGTAGTCTTCGTTGATCAGGGAAAAGCCATTGAACATGTCCTTCATCTTGATGGCCCTGGAGCATGCATAGTTCTTGGTGGCCACGTACATTTTGGTAAGAAACTCGGGCATCTGCTTTTGCGTCACCCACGATTTTATGTTTTGGGGAATGGGTACGCCGGGATCATCGTAGTAGGTGAGCACAAAGTGCAAGCCTGGCTCGTGAAACCCTCGGAAGGGTTTGATGACCATGAGGCTCCAATAGTCAGTGACCCGCACTTTTCCAGACAAGGCTGGATAAGTGTTGTGTTTGGCGCCGCGGTTGCAGATGAAAATGAGCTTCTTGTTGTCATCCCTAATGTAGCGCCGACAATAAACATAATCACGGTTGGCAAACAACCGCGGCCACTGCATCTCCCAATAGATTAGGTGAGAGTTGCTTCCCGGCACAGGGTCCTCGCTGATGAGCTCTAGTCTAAGAGCAGTGTCGTCCCACTGACGGCGGTAGTCCAGGTCAGTTTGCACATGGAGGAAATCGTCGGCCGTAATGTCGTCGAATCGAGCATAAACCTGGAAATTAAATCCACTAATTATAATTGAAATTGGAGAGATTATAGGTATATTCAACCTTGTATGAGTAAAGGGACGAGCGCTCCTCCCGCCGCCATATGCTGAACTCGTTCTTGCTGAAGTACGGTTCCCACGAATGGTCATCCTGGGCCTGGATGCGAACTGATCCAGCCGGGGCACCGCGCACGTCCAAGTCCATCGACTTCTGGCAGTAGCCGATGCTTTCATCGGTCTCCTTGCTGGTCGACGGCGACGTAGATGTGGATGGGCTCTTAGCGGACTGGGACTTGCGACAACGCTGGTTTCCCAGCTGGCAGTAGCAGTATTTCATTTTCTTGGCCTGGCATCGGTCGCATAGTTGGTTCTGGGTCAGAGTGTTGATAAACTCAATGTCCCGATGGCACAGATCGAAGTTGGCCAGCGACAGACGCTCCTTGTTCCAGTCAAAGCCATCGCTGCCAAGGCGCTTGATGTTCAGACCCATCAGGCCCACCGCACTCATAATCATGCCCCGCAAAGGCGGCTGCAGCTCCCGGCGGTAGTAGGCTCGCCATAGTTGCTTCAGGCCCTGGGTCCCGTAGACCGACTGGTAGAAGCTCAGCAGCTGCTGGATGCGCCGCGAGCGCTGCGCGAAGATCGACTCGCACTGGTAGCTCCAGGCGCGCAGGGTCTCCTTCGACTGGTTTTTAATTGCTGACACAAATCGATTGAGAAGCATGCCGGCTAATTCAATTTGGGTAGCTGTCTGCCGCCCGCTTGCATAACAACTCAGTGGCAGCGACAGCGGCAGCAGAGGCAGCGGCGATATTTATGTTCCTCCGCTATTACTTTCAGCTCACACACTTGTCACATTGGCTTCCTTTGAAATTTTGGAGAATTTTGTACTTTCGGCCTATCGGCTATCGGTTTGAGAGAAAAGATGCCTCGATGCACGGCGACTGGCGACTGGGGTTATGTTGCCGTTGTCCGGCTTATCATCTTTGGCCGATTAGAAAAAACGTGCAACTTGCAATTTGTCTTCGGGTATGTTATTGCCTTTGTTGTTGTGGATGGTGTTGTTGTAGGTTGTGTCGTTACAGGGGAGCAGTGTTGCGAAACGGAGGCGGCCGCCTGCTGAGCTTTGACAGCTGCTTTCTTGATAAAATTCTGCAGACCAATATTACTAAAAATATTACAATAATTACAAAATATGAAAACCAAAACCACATTTGTTGCTTCATGAAACACACAAGCAGATTATTCAGTTTATTTAAAACCCTAGGGTAGCTCTGTAAGGGACTCGAATTTTGAATATTAAAATACCGAAAAGGCATCTATGTTTATCCTAAAAAAAAGTATATAAAATTAATAATAAGAACATTTTAATGTAAGCAATTTGCTTAATAAATACCTTAAACTTTGATGACCGAACTTCATATTATTAGCCCAGTGTGCATTACTTTTACGTTACCCAGCACTGAACCCCACAAACTCGTGGTGCCCGACTAATTGTTTTTGTTGCGCTAATCTTTGTTTCGATTTGATGTGAGAAAGTTCACCTGTGGCTGGAAAGTGTCTCACGGAACGCAGGCACCATGTCAATGCGACGCCAGCGCATTAAGGCTCCGGCCAATTTGTCGCTCATAAAGCGCAAGCCTCGCAAGGAAGAATCGGCTGTTCCCCTAGAAGAGCCTGAGGTGAAGAATGGGGAGGCGGCGGCGCCGGAGCAGCAGACGGCCGAGCCGGAGGTTGCTGATGCAACGGCCTTTAAGATGCCTGTCAGCTCCGTCGGGCAGCTAGAGGAAGTCTTTCACTCGGATCTGGAGGACAATGTAATACAGATGGACTTGCAAAAGACCTCAGGAGGTTTTCCCATGTCGCCAAGCAAAGCCCAGGCACGACAGCGTGTGCGCCCCACCCCAGTGTTTGGCCAGCGGCGCAACAGCTTTGTGGGCTCTCCAATGGCCTCAGACTATGACGGCGAGTACCAGTCCCCGGCCACACCCACACGGAGGGAGCGCTACCTCAGCGGTTCATCATCGGGAACGCCCCTGCAACAGGTTTCATCGCCCATGCCGCCATCTCCCTACAAATATTTTCCACCCGTGATGAGTCCTGGGATGGGACGTATCCGTACCGAGTCTACCTGCTCCACCTACTCGGAGGGAGGCGGAAAACGTAAGGGCGACGACAAGGCAGCGCAATCCGGCCAACGGGTCAACGCTAGGCGAGACTTTGAGACGCGGTTTCACAAGGGCGTGCCCGATAAATCCACCTTCAAGATGTTGGATATGATCTTCTACAATCCTGGAAACAACCCTATGAAGCCAAAGCAGGCTATTACGACAATTAAGAACGAGACCAACGGGGAAGAAGCCAAGCCCACGACGGATCAGTTGCTGGAGGCCAAGACAGAATCGACATCTGCCATGCCTGTACCCCAATTGAAGCTGGACGCCAATGGAGAAATGATTATCGATGAGAAGACCCTGGAAATTGAGACCACAGCTGAGGTAGAGGCGCGCAAAGTGCTGGCAAATTCGTCGCTTATATTAATGGATGAGACTACAGGTTGGAATGCGATTTCTATTCAAGTAGAATTAATATTCATTTAATGATTTCAACAGGCGATAACGGTTTCTATAAACGCCATAAGCGGACGCCATTCTGGACATCTGAAGAGACAGTCCGTTTCTATCGTAGCTTGCAGATTATTGGCACGGACTTCTCGCTTATGTGCCAAATGTTCCCGACACGATCGCGCCGCGACCTAAAACTAAAGTACAAGAAAGAGGAGCGCACCAACGGCCAGTTGATCAACAAAGCTCTGCTTTATCCCAAGGCATTCAACATTCAGGAACTAAAGGATCAGCTGGCGCAGGAGGATCGCGAACGTGAAGAAAACGAGCGACAGTGGAAGGAGATAGCCAGTGCCAACCCTGAAAACTCCAAGAAGGTTGTACGCTGTGTTGAAACTCTGTGTTTTCTTGCATAACTGAAATGTATACTTTTTTTTGCAGCGATCGCGATCCCAGCATAACAGCAAGGCCTCCCGATCTATGACCGATGGAGATGTCGTCTACGAGAATGAGCACATAACCAAGCAGAAGCTCGGAAAGCGGACCTGGGCGAAACGACGCAAGGACTTGGAAGCAAGCGAAAACGACGGAAGTATTCCTGCCAAACGAAAACCCAGGGAAGCCCGTCGGAAGCCCGCGAATACACCTAAGCCAGTGGAATCTAATCCGGATTCAACGACCATTAAGCCTATCAAACAAGAAGATGTGGTTAAAACCGAACAAATTTTAAGCCAACTACCAACAAAGGAAGTTCTGACAGCCGAGCTCAATGGGCTTTTAGAGGACCCCGAGGAGGTAGAAGTAGAAGCTATAGGCAAGTCCAGTGATAAAACGGTAGTCAACTTACAGGATAGTGCTGCGACATATGTTAATCCAGTCAATCCTGGGAACGAGGTGCCCAACCGGGGATCAGAGACCTATTACATTAACTTTATTGATGAACCGGATGAAGATCAGGCCGAAATAATAACGCCAGATGATCCCATTCCGCCACTGGCTGCTGAGCCGGACATTGAACAAATTATCGCCGAACTGGCGGAGGGATCTTTGGCTCTGGTCTCCTCGCTAGATCCGCAGCATGAGGATCGGGTACTCAACGAAATCTATATGCTGGATAAAAAGACGGGCGAGTTGTGTGAAACGCCGCTGAATATACCCGAACATATAGTACAGTGCATCATGAAAGTTATGCAATTGGAGGACTAACAGCATTATGTATATGACATCAAATTATTTGTTGCTAAATATAAGTTATTAAAGCAAGTTAATAGATTTAAGTTTTTATTTGTATTATTTAAAAAATATAACCAAAACGGGAAGTGTTCCAATTTCTTATTGAAACTCTTAACCTTTTTTTAGTTATTCTACCTTTCTGTTATTTTTATTTTTTTTATCAAAATTATTGAAAGTTTTTTTTATTAAAAAAATTGTACCATTTCATAAAATTATGTTTGATTTTCGTACAATATAGGTAAAGGGAGAATGGGTAAATTGAATAATTTTGAAACAAATTTGACTTAAAGAACATATGGTCATTTAAATAGTGCTTTTTTGCGTTTAAAATAATTTTTTTTGGTCAAAGGATATTTCTATTTAGCACATAAGAAGGAAAAATGGGAAAAGGCAAACTTAAGAAGTATAGTCTATGGTCTAGCTTGACTTGTTATACCCTTGCAGTATTTTAATTTTGGTCAGAAGTGTGCAACGCAGGGAAAGAGACATCTGCGACCCTATGAAGTAATCAAGAATATCTAGATCAGCATCACCTCCTGAGTTGATATAAGCATGCCCGTAACCTTAAATGCCATAACTTCAGTATTTTTACAGTTAGAGAGTATATTTCTCAATATTCTGCAGAATGGTGGCAAATCGATCCATAAATCGTTTAAGGTACTCCGCTTGAGAATCGGATGAGAATTGGGGAAGATATAGCCATCACTGTGGACCCCATAGGGAAAAACCCCATTTTCAAGGGATCCCCTCACGAAAAAAGGACAAAAAATCTAAAAAAAATTTCGTCTCAGGATATTAATGTAGAATGATGCAGAATCGATCTAGAAATCGTTTAAGGTACTCCGCTTGAGAATCGGATCAGAATTGAGGAAGATATAGTCATCACTGTGGACCCTATAGGGGAAAACCTCATTTTCAAGGGATCCCATCCCAAAAAATGGACAAAAAATCTAAAAAATATTTTGTCTCAGGATTTTAATGCAGAATGGCGCAGAATCGATCTAGAAATCGTTTAAGGTACTCCGCTTAAGAATCGGATCAGAATTGAGGAAGATATAGTCATCACTGTGGACCCTATAGGGGAAAAACCCATTTTCATGGAACCCCATCACGAAAAATGGACAAAAAATTTAAAAAATATTTTGTCTCAGGTTTTTTATGCAGAATGGTGCAGAATCGATCTAGAAATCGTTTAAGGTACTCCGCTTGAGAATCGGATGAGAATTGGGTAAGATATAGCCATCGCCGTGGGCCCTATAGGGGAAAACCTCATTTTCAAGGGATCCCATCCCAAAAAATGGACAAAAAATCTAAAAAATATTTTGTCTCAGGATTTTAATGCAGAATGGCGCAGAATCGATCTAGAAATCGTTTAAGGTACTCCGCTTGAGAATCGGATGAGAATTGGGTAAGATATAGCCATCGCCGTGGGCCCTATAGGGAAAAACCTCATTTTCAAGGGATCCCATCCCAAAAAATGGACAAAAAAACTAAAAAATATTTTGTCTCAGGATTTTAATGCAGAATGGCGCAAAATCGATCTAGAAATCGTTTCAGGTACTCTGCTTGAGAATCGGACGAGAATTGGGTAAGATATAGCCATCGCCGTGGGCCCTATAGGGGAAAACCTCATTTTCATGGGATCCCATCCCAAAAAATGGACAAAAAATCTAAAAAATACTTTGTCTCAGGATTTTAATGCAGAATGGCGCAGAATCGATCTAGAAATCGTTTAAGGTACTCCGCTTGAGAATCGGATGAGAATTGGGTAAGATATAGTCATCACTGTGGACCCTATAGGGGAAAACCTCATTTTCAAGGGATCCCATCCCAAAAAATGGACGAAAAATCTAAAAAATATTTTGTCTCAGGATTTTAATGCAGAATGGTGCAGAATCGATCTAGAAATCGTTTAAGGTACTCTGCTTGAGAATCGGATGAGAATTGGGTAAGATATAGCCATCGCCGTGGGCCCTATAGGGGAAAACCTCATTTTCAAGGGATCCCATCCCAAAAAATGGACAAAAAATCTAAAAAATACTTTGTCTCAGGATTTTAATGCAGAATGGCGCAGAATCGATCTAGAAATCGTTTAAGGTACTCCGCTTGAGAATCGGATGAGAATTGGGTAAGATATAGTCATCACTGTGGACCCTATAGGGGAAAAACCTCATTTTCAAGGGATCCCATCCCAAAAATGGACGAAAAATCTAAAAAATATTTTGTCTCAGGATTTTAATGCAGAATGGTGTAGAATCGATCTAGAAATCGTTTAAGGTACTCTGCTTGAGAATCGGATGAGAATTGGGTAAGATATAGCCATCGCCGTGGGCCCTATAGGGGAAAACCTCATTTTCAAGGGATCCCATCCCAAAAAATGGACGAAAAATCTAAAAAATATTTTGTCTCAGGATTTTAATGCAGAATGGTGCAGAATCGATCTAGAAATCGTTTAAGGTACTCCGCTTGAGAATCGGATGAGAATTGGGTAAGATATACCCATCGCCGTGGGCCCTATAGGGGAAAACCTCATTTTCAAGGGATCCCATCCCAAAAAATGGACGAAAAATCTAAAAAATATTTTGTCTCAGGATTTTAATGCAGAATGGTGCAGAATCGATCTAGAAATCGTTTAAGGTACTCTGCTTGAGAATCGGATGAGAATTGGGTAAGATATAGCCATCGCCGTGGGCCCTATAGGGGAAAACCTCATTTTCAAGGGATCCCATCCCAAAAAATTGACAAAAAAACTAAAAAATATGTTGTCTCAGGATTTTAATGCTGAATGGCGCAAAATCGATCTAGAAATCGTTTAAGGTACTCCGCTTGAGAATCGGATCAGAATTGAGGAATATATAGCAATCACAGGTCCTTCATCACTTTGGACCGTCAATGTAGTGGTGCATTTTTTAGAAAAGGAAATTGAATCTTCTTATTATATAAAAAAATATGAAACATATAAAAGTAGTCTGTTTTTTTTTAATTATACGACCGGCAGGCTAAACTAATTTCTGGATCCTGTAAAATTTATTTACATTTTTGAAAATTATACATGGGAACAGTGCTGCCACATTGTTGTCATTATACATTATCCAGCACTGGACATACAGAGGGTCTTGCGCACACTGGTCGTTAACAGCTGTTGTTGCTGCGAAGAAGAGCATCTAATTGAAAGATTTTGACTATTTAGGAGTGCAAAACGATGGCCCAAGTCCCCTTGGCAATTGCTTCGCACAAGCGCCAGGTGTGCAGCCTCTACAAACGGGCCTTGCGCAACCTTGAGGCCTGGTATGACCGTCGGTAAGTGCACGCAAGTCTGCCCAGCAGAGACCACAGATTATATAATGATGAAGTGCATCCTGACCATTTTTCCCTTTCCAGCAATGTTTACCGCTACCGTGCTGTGCAGTTGCGAGCCCGGTTCGACGAAAATCGCTGCAAGGACTTGGGCGAAGGCATTCGTCTATTAGCCTGCGGGCAACGAGAACTCTTCGAGACGAAGCACTTCCAACCGAGAAACTGTAAGCAGAGGACTCTATCGAGAATACTGTTTATAAATATTGTATTTCTTTTTTAGTTGCCAACAGCTCTGGTGGCTGTGCCTACGAGCGAGAGGTGATCCCTCCCGACTGGCTCCTGGACTACTGGCACCCTCTGGAGAAGGCTCAGTACCCGGAATACTTTGCCAAGCGAGAACAGCGAAAGAAGGAGTACGTGACCTGGTGGGAAAAGCAATACGGCAAGCCGGACCCCAAGGACCTGGGGCACCACTAATTTAGCCTTTAAAGTACCATAGTCAAATCAAATCATTGTCTTTGAAAGTAAATCAATTGGAGCTCCTCAATATATATGTTTTCATAAATTCTCAATGGGAAAGTCAAAGTTGGCCCAAGGTGCTACACATTAATTGGATTACCAAACTTTGTGGAAAAGATAGAAGGAACACTCCTTAATCCTTAAATATGTATTTCTTGTTTTAATTTTTCAAAAAATTATTTTATTTTAAAGTTAATATTTGTAGGGTTCTTAAAAGCTAATGTGCAAAACAGAAAATTTCCAAAAACTTTCAATTTTTTTTATGTAAAGCTTTATATTTATGAAAATATTAAACTAATCGATTAAAAGGGGTTAATTAGAAAATTTCTTTGACACATTAAGAATGTCTATCTTATTCTGAAATTAAAACACTTAACTATTATAGGTTAGTATGAAACGAGAGTATTTTAGTTGATAAAGAATGAATAACGTGTTTCCTACATTGGTGCCTGCAAGAAATTATAATTTTGTTTAGCCTTTGGGGTATATTCGACTGCAAATCAATCCTTTTGTACTAAATGTATTTATTTAAGTATGTGCATGTAAATGAAGGGATAATTTTAGCTGGCAATGAATGGGGAGCTGGAGTCGAGGTTCTGTGGGATTGTCCGACTGCTCGGGCCTGCCGCTCAGTTCAGATCGTTGGGCTCCAGCCGCGGACGCTTTTTGCTATTGTTTCCGTTTGTAGTCGAGCTGCTGCCGTGGCCGTTTCCATTACCGTTTCCGTCGCCACCGTGCTCGCGCTTACGCTGCAGCGTCTTTTTGTCCCATTGCTGTGTGAGATAGCGCAGCAGGACGCATCGCTTGTCCATAACGATCAACTGCTCCGAGGCAACATCCTCGGTGGGCAGGTAAACGGAAGCTCGTTTCTGGGATGTCCTTATTCCATGCTCGTTGCTTAGGTGGGCGAAGTTGTTTGAGTCGTGGATGGGTAAACCCTTAATAAAATCGCTCACAGACATGCTTCGACCGAGTTACTGCGGAGTGCATAAAATTAATAAAGCCGTTGGGTTAAAATGAAAATTTATATTGCCCGATTGTGACTTACTGTGACCTTGATGGATTTAAAGTTATTTAATGCTGGATTATTGCTTGTTAGCGAATTATTTCGACAATTTTCTATGTGCCCTGAGGCCTTGGATCTTTTGTTGTTGCTGGTGGTTGAAATGGAATGTGCTGCAAAAGACGAAATAGCTAGTAGGCGTTTTCTAGCACTAGAAATGTGCGATTGGGATGCAGTGTTGGAAAGCTTCCGTAAAATTCTAATATGCACTCCCGAAATTCAAAAATGTATTTCCCAAATAAGTCTAGTTCTGAAACCAGCTAAGCTAACTTTAAAATTTGTCTTGAATGGTTATATTAATAAAAATCACTCCTATGGAGCATCGAGTTTATTTTTTTTGATTGCGTACAAAATGTATAAGTGAGTTTCTTAGCTACGATTATGACGGTTTCCATCTCCGCGACGAACCACATCCTTGTACTCGTCCATTCGCCTCATACGGGCCAAATACTCTGGGTCATCCTCTTCCACCTGCTGCTCCTCGGCAGCCTTTTCTTCGTCCTCTTGCTCGTTTGGATCACGGGCTGCAGCTATTGCCTGTGCCTGGTTCATTTTGGCCACCTTTTCTTCGTCGGGGAATATTCCTTCGTCCACGCGCTGCTGGTAAAACTCGTCCACGGTCATGATGGGCAAACTGGGATAGCCCAGACCGAATACAGCCTTCTGTGTTGCATTTCGGGTAATGATAAATGGCTGCAGGGGCTTAGGTTTAGGGGCTTGATGATGGTGATGATGTCCGGGTCCATGGCTATGTCCATGACCATGAGAAGTGGATGGTGAGGAGGGATTGGTAAAGCGACGTGAGGGTGCAACTGCGGTATCTGCTTCTCCGCCGGCCAGACGGGCTAAACGCATTTTAGCCAGTTCCTTCATCATATGTAAAGACTCCAGCTCCTGCTTAGAGTCCATGATGCTCTTATCTAAATATTTAAGGAAGAACTCTCGTCTGACTTCGTCATCAGCCGTTTTGTTCTTTACAGCCTCCCGCATCTTGGCCATGTACTCATCTATCTCCTTCATTTTACGATACTGAGCGATTTTGTCATTCCGATTGAATGCTGCTTCCATGAGTTCCCGCTGTTCGCTCTTCCCGGCCGCTTGGCTATCGGGCGCAGCTACTTTAGATTTAGGGGCCTCACAGAGCTCATACTCCTGGCATCGCTGTAGGTGGTCTTTAAAATATATTTCACCGAGGTCTAGGGCCTCAGTGCTGTGCGGATTATTGATCTTGGTGTTCAGCTTGCCAAGGAAGTAGGGAAGCAGCATAAAAGGCAGCGAGTCCGTTGAGACCTCGTCGATCAGCTCGTTAGGACTGAACATGCTCACTTGGTTAACGATTACGGTTGCCTCTTCGAAAAACCCCATGGCAGTCTTTACCTTGTTCTGATGTAAAATATGTTATTTAAAGTTTTTTTTTTCAGTGTAAGCTGTCTCACCTGAAATTCGGTGCCATTGAAAGGCAACTCCGAAACTTCGAGTTCATCGAGAAGATTCCAGCCACTCAAAAAGATGTCGGACAGCTTTTTATCCTCGCCACCAGCCTCGGCAGCAGCACTACTTGATTCGGCCATAAATAACTAGGGATTTAATTTTTTTCTTAATTCTTTATCTGGGAAACAAAAGATTTGCGAATAACACAAGCCGCTAAGCAAACAGCTGTTTAAAAAGTGTTGGTCAATGCCCAACAGAGAAATAAGTGTTGGAAATTTCATTTACATGGTATTTGGTATTTAATGGTATTAATTGAAATTTTCAAACTATAGAAAATCAAAATGAAACTACTTGGAATTATTTAACCAACGTTAATGTAAAAATCAAGCTGAAACTTCTTTTATTGCTTTGAAAGTCTATTAAAATTATATTCAAACAAATAAATAAATTGTTCGCTAAACTCTCTTTATTTATTCGTTAAAAATGTTGCGGCTTAGAAGACTGGTTTGTTTCGGGCTTGAGGTGCGTATTGGTAAGTTGGTCAATAGAAAACATTAGGCCTTGAGTGTAGCTTCCAACTCTTTGTTGGCCAGAAGTTCCTTGATGATGTCTAGTCCGCCGATAAGCTCTCCCTTGACATAGACCTGCGGGTACGTGGGCCAATCGGAGTAAGTCTTCAAGCCCTGACGGACTTCTTCATCCCCTAGGATGTCAAAGGTTTCATACGGCAAACTGTTTAAAGATAAATGTGAATTACGGTAAGAGAATTGGAGAATGGATATTGGGGCTTACTTTGTATCGTTGACAATGGCAATCAGTTGCTTGGAAAAGCCACACCGTGGAGCATTTCGATCGCCTTTCATAAAAATCATAAGTGGTGCCTTGTTGATGAGGGCTTTAAGGCGGTCCTCAAGAGTTTGGCCGGTGGCAGCAGCGCTACTTGCGCTTTCGGCCAACTTTTTGGACTTACTGCTTATAGAAGCAATATCCACACCGTCGACGCGATCTACTGCCGAACCCTTAGTGAAGAATATGACCGTTGGGACGGCTTCAATCTGAAAACGAATAATTAGTGTTTAGATCTTTGTTTTTCGGTGCTTTCCAGCAGGCTCACCTGGTGCTTCATTGATATTTCTGGAAACTTCTCCGCATTTAAGTTGATGAATTGCAGTTTGTCTCCTAATATCTTGGAGAGGTCCCCCAGCACATCTTTCACCTGAGCACATTGCTCGGCCCAGTCGGCTTCAAACAGCGCCACCGTGGTCTTGTCCGCATTGATGAACTTTTGGTACTCCTCAGCATTTTCTACGGTTACCACTGGCATTGTGATATATATTTGTTTGGAATTTACAGAAAACTGTTTAAATTGAATAAAAGCAGGTCGAATGTTTTATGCCGATCAGCTGGAAAGAGTACAGCCGTTTTATGCAAACTTTAGAGCACTGTTTTTTGCTAGTTTTGCAACACTAAATTTGACGAAAAAGGTTGCCATATTTTCGCGGCGGCCCGACAAATCAATTTATTTCAACACGTGCTGCCGCATTATAATACACACAGCAAATTTGTTTTTTCTGAGCAAAAGTTGAATTAGGCAGAGAATGGTGACACGCAAAAAGCCAGTAAAGCGCACTGCTGAGGTGGCGGCTATCGATAAAGATGAGGAGGATGAGCAGCAGGCGACCCAAGCCAAGGTACCCAAGGAGGTGCTGGTTATTGCCCAGGAGGTGAAGATTGTACGTGCCCTGGCCTGCAACGATGTGGTTAAGCGTAACCGTCAGATCAGGAAGCTGCGCAAGTGGTTCAAGCTGCGTGCCAGCAGCTCATTTCCATTCACAGAGGAGGATTTCATGAGGATCTGGAAGGGCCTGTACTACAACATGTGGATGTCAGACAAGCCGCTCGTCCAGGAAGAGCTGGCTGAGCAGTTAGCCCAGATGGTGGACAGCTTTGACGGAAACACCAGTTGTAGCTTGGCTTACTTCAGTGCTTTTATGCGCACCATGTGCCAGGAATTCTTCGGAATCGACCAGTGGCGCGTGGACAAGTTCTTGATGCTTGTTCGTCGAATGCTGCGCTACGTCCTGCGCCTCCTCAAGCAAAACAAGTGGTCGGCGGACCTGATTGAAAAATTCAACACCAGCATGCAGCAGTCCGTCTTGGCCGAGCAGCCTAAGAGCCGAGGACTCACTATGCACTATCTGGACATTTTCTTTGAGGAACTGGCAAAGGCGGCCGATGGCGAGATAACCGCCGCACAGGTTAATCTCTTCTTGCGTCCATTCGTCACGTATCTGGCCACTCAGCGGGATGTTAAGCTGGTAGCTCAATGCCGGACCAGGGTGCTGTATCACCTGCTCTACCAAAGCGATCTGGGCCGCGAGTACAGCGATAAGTACAACGCCTGGAAACTGATGGGATTTCCTACTGCCTCCATTGATGACATAGAGAAGCTTGACTCTGGCTTCGATGAGGAGGACGATGAGGGAAACACTGAGGAGGAACCCGCGCGTCCTACTTCTCTTGATCCACGCGCAGGAAACGTGGACGTTCACATGCCAGAGCTGCCCCTCAATGCGGACTGCGTGCTGGACGAGCTCCAGACCTTGATTCGAACTAATGAATACAACAGCAAGAAGCGAAAGAGTCTGCGAAAACTTATCCAGATCTTTGAGACGTACAAGGGCGGAGAGTTTCCTTTGGGAGTGCGCACAATGCCAAAGGTAGAGGGGCAAACCCTGGCGGAGATGGTGGAGCAGAAGGTCGCCGACATCGAGGAGATGGAAGATGAGGTATTCGGCACTGGGAGGAAGCTCAAAAAACTGAACAAGTCCAAGCGCAAACGTCTTCTTCAGTCCATTAACTTTGAGGAAGTAGATGAGCACAACTACGACGAGGTCATTGGGAAGGCCCTGCCTCCGGAGCTTCAGAAGAAGGTCAAGCACAACGCCAAGGTGCGTTCTAGCATCAACAATGCCTGGGTCGTCGAGGAAGTCAACGAGGCCGATGAGGCGGCCGTTGCAGCAGAAATCAAAGAGGACTCTGAGCCCAAGCCGAAGGCGAAGAAACCCAAGAAACAAGACCAGCCCAAGCCCAAGAAGGAGATCAAAGCGAAAAAGGAAGAGCAATCAAAGAATAAGAAGGATGAGCAACCCAAGAGCGACGTGAAGGAACAGAACGAAGCCAAGGTGGATGTCCAAGTATCAGAAACAGGGGAGGAGAAATCCGCCGAGTCGAAACCATCCAATGGTTGGGATGCCCCCCTCGAGCCTGGAGAGGAGGAAATCTTCGTTCCGTCACGCAAGCAGCAGCTGAAGCAGGCCAACAGCAAGATCCAGAAGAGCACACCAAAGCCGGCGGCGCGGGCGCAGTTCAGCACCCCTCAGCCGGGTGGTGCGAAGCGAGTCCGGATCGTAACCAAATGCAACAGCGCCTACCCCAAGAGCGACTACTACCGCCAGCTGAAGCTGTCCCCGCAACTACCCTACGACGCGGACCGACAACCGGGCAAGAGCGCCCTCAAGCCCCACGTCCTGCCGGGACCGATTCATCCGAACTACAAGGGCGCCAAGCGACTTTTCAACGACACCCTGTGACGTTGCGTCGAGTGGCTAGGACTGGGATTGGGACAGGATCGCGAACATTAAGGGCAACTGCATCCTTTAAAAATGTATTCACGCCGCAACTGCACCCAACTTCTCCGCCAAAGCACGCCAATCACCAAGGAAGACCCACGCTACAAATCATTCCTGGTTGGAGCACTGGAGGCGGAGTGGGCAGCTCGGATAATGTATATGTTAGATCATGTCTTTTGTTGGTCTTACGCAATCTACTCGACGCTTCCATATTTTTTGTTACCTTAATCTGCATTCTGGTGTTTGGTTGCAGCTGTGTTTTGTTTAAGGATATCATGAATTTTAAATATTTGCACAGATCCGAACCGGATCCGGATGTAACCCTAAATATTTAGTAGACTCAATTACATTTAAATGTACTATTGCTTGTAAGCCATTTTATGTTCCAGCTATCCTCTGAGTTGATATTAAAATAAAAGCAAAAGTAGTATATGTAATGAAAACACTCGAGTTTCAAGTTTGGGAAAATGAAAAATGTGGCTCCATCCAGTGGCTCCACTCATTTTAGTTTGCCGAGTGATGTTACTAGTTGGTCGAGTTTTATATAAAATGCATTTAAGAGAGAACGAGTGCTATGCAAGTGCAGTTTTCTCTCTTCGGCGCTCTCTTCAACGCTTTCACTCGAGTTACATTACACCAAAGAGACACCAGTGTCCTGCTCAGAATGTTATTTGAAGATACTTTCCTGGCAAAAGATACTCACTCAATGCAGTTATTTTTTGTTAAATAATTCTTAATTCAATTTAAATTTAAATTTGTATAGCTTTGATGCGGAAATTCCATTAAAATATTTTTTTATTCAAATTATAAACTAGCTTCTTGGCGAGGATGTTAAATGAACATCCGATTCCGACAATAGACTCGGTCGTATAATAAATTTTCATAATAATTGAATGTATTTCACCGCAAAATTGTGGTCAGGGATGAGGCGCGAAATGTACATAAATCCTTGCAAAAATATTGCATGCAACATGATTGCGTGGGTGGACAACAAGAGTATTCATTTCCTAAAAGATAACATCTGTTCGGTTGTGTTGCTACACGATTGAACAAATTAAGTCCAGGCACAGGACACGTTAACTTTCTACACGTTCTGACGAGTGTCCTAGCCCCACCGCCTCAATATCCTTTATAACTCCTTTCAGAAACCTGTACAAGTTAGGTAAATCTCGGCCAAACAAAAGACATTGCAACAAATTACAATTGCAACACATGTACAATGTGTCTCTTAGTACTCCACTTGAGTTGTATGTCTATCGAACTGAATGGAAGCCACTTCTGTCTAAGAACAAGTTTTGTGTATTAAAACTTGTCGTAATTTTATTCAATTTACGTGCACTAAGGCGACGATTGTGCATTAACATAAGATGTGACGCAAAAGTTGATCCAGTGTCCAGCTGATCCACCTCCGTCCTGCCCCCGTCCCCAATATATTTCTCGGCAATAGATACGGATACGTGTTGTTGTGAAAGATACATCCAAGAAATCGAGCATAAAGCAGATGCTCTTTAAATCTTTATATCTTGAGTGTTTATTTATTAAATTTCTGGAAATTCAAAAAGTTTATAATATTCCTTATACCTTCAGGGGAGAGTACATATTCTCAGAGGTATTCTGTTTTATTCTTTTTCGCAATTGTCGTCGGAAACTAAATTTGATTGCTCCCGGTCCAGCCCCTTTTTTCCCAAGTGATGGCTATTTTTAGCACCTTAATGCACGGCACTATTACACTGGCTGCACTTTAGTCTATATTTAACCCAATTAGACTGAGGCCCACGGCTTGACCTATGGCGGGCCTATAAATACCACAATTCAAGTGCAGGGTGAGACAGAATCCGGTGATATGTGGGTCGCTCCCGTCGTGGTTGTGCCCTTCCTGGGCTTCGTAATGGCCTTTAAGGACTGCGGATTGGATAGACAGTGTGTGCCCTACGAGCAGTGCAAGGAGGGCTTGGTGCTGGACGGGATACTCTACCCGGATCGCAGCAGGACACAGCTGGACGAGGAGTGTCACTACATGGAAAAGTGCTGCAATCAAAATGACACAGTGAGTTATAAAAGTATGTGACTAATATTTTGAAAGGCTCGGTAAGGATTCACAGCTGGACACCCCAGAAGTCCCAGTCAATTTAAGCTTTTGGTCCTGCGGCGGGCGGCAGGATCTCTGGTATTACCTCCGGCCCCTGGGCTACAAGCAGCAGGAGGCCAGGTTCGGAGAGTTTCCGTGGACCGTGGCCGTCTTTGGAGCTGGAGGCTACCTGTGCAGTGGTGCCCTCATCACGCCTCTAGCCATGATCACGACAGCGTCCTGTGTGCAGAACGAGACCCTCCCGAATCTTCGCCTGGTGGCGGGAGAGTGGGACGCAGCCGTGGAACTGGAGCCCCTGCCCCGCCAAGAGCGAACGGTGGTTGAGGTGCTCCTCCATGTCAACTACACAACCACTCCGATCGTCAACAACATTGCCCTGCTGCTGGTGGACAAGGACTCCCCCTTTCAGCTAAGCCCCAACATTCAGTTGATTTGCCTGCCGCCACCCCAGATGGTCTACGACTTCAGTCAGTGCTATGTGTCCGGATGGCAGCGTCGCGACTTTGGAGCATCGGCCATCCTGCCCAAACGCTGGACACTCTACGCCCTGCCCAGCGATCAGTGCCGAGCCAAGCTAAGGTTGAGCTACCTGGGCCGACGCCACGCCCTCAACGACAGCCTCCTGTGCGCCGGCGGGGACAAGGGCGACTTCATCTGCCAGGACGTGGACATGAGCGGAGTGCCGCTGATGTGTCCACTACCTGGCGACGGAGATCGGTTCGTGTTGGCGGGACTGCTGGCCAGGCCGACAAAGTGCGATGGCCCCCAGCTGCTGGCCATTTTCACAAACGTCCAGTTCTACCGGCAGTGGATCGACCTGAGGCTGAGGGAACGCGATCTCGACATAAGGCCATATATGGTGTAACCTGAACCTGAAATTATTTACCAGACATCTAAGCCCTAATGAAAGCCACTCCTAAAACCAATGCCGTTCCAGGGCATTTAATTGTTTATTTATTTTAAAGGGAATACTTGGAATACGCTGGTATACCTGGCCACCTGACCAGCTGACCACCTGACCAGGTGGCCATTCTCTAAACATATCTTCTCTGGCGTAATATAAAAGCCACCGTGAGGCCCCAACCGAATGGCAGTTGTGCGGATGCAGTCTCCTTCGAACTTTCATATAGTACCTAGTCTGGGCTCCCATGGCATTGCCACTTATTTCCCTTTTGATGCACTTGACGGGCCTCTTGCCGGATCCCGTTCTGTCCAAAATGCTCTCGTGGGACGAGCCGTTCGAGGATGACTTCGTGGACGTGGACTTTGGGGGCTGCATCGAGTGCGAGAAGAGGTACAAAAACTTTGTCTTTATCCTGAAAAGTTCAGAGACCGCGGAGGAGGCGGCTGCCTCTGCATATCCCTATGTGGCGGCCATCATGTGGCTCCTCCTGGCTTTTCTGGTGATTGTCCAGCGCTGGCGGCAAATAAAATATAAGAAATAATTGAAATTAAAATATAAATATTAATGTGTCGCCGCTGGCATAAAATTTAATCAACTAATTCCATGATTGGCATTAAATTAATTATTTTCTAGTTTTTAGAAGAATTTTCAATTAATAACGCGGTATGGTTGAGTGACGGTTTGGGTCAATTGCAGGATTCCCGTTTGTCCTTTTTGGTCACAATCGGATTTTGGCAACTCCTGTTGAGTTATGGCCCGGCGATACGAAGCCGCTGTTTTGCATATCCTTGTCCCACCCACACCCACTGGCCGCCGTTGTCCTTGGTGCCTAAATTGAAAATTGAAAAATTGCTTATTGCAAATTTGTTGGCCGCAATCGCCTGGCCATACCCGGGGACCGGGAAAGGGCCAAAAAGGAGAAGAGCCACCGTTACATGCTCTTTGCTCTTTTGAACTTCCGCTTGCCATTTTGGCGTAGTAGTGGATGCACGTGCCGGACAGAGGACCTCGGACACGGACACGGACATCGGCTCCTGTCCGCTGTCCACCCGCTGGCTGTGCCACTGCTTCACTGATGCTGCCACTGCCACTGCTACACTGCTGTTGCCGTTTCCTGTGTGCGAGAATTTAGCAATATATTTTTCTTACTCCGTTTGACGTCCTTTGCCCTATCTGGCCAACAGTAACCGGGCAACATCCAGCATCCCAGAGCCAAGTCGGGCAGTGCCATTGGCATTGGCAATAGTAAAAGCTGGCCAAAATGGACCGATGCAAATGGAAATGGAAAAGAAGAGAAAAAGCAACAGGAAAACCATAAGCATAAGCGAACTTAGGGCCAAAAGGAAAATGGAAAACTTTTGCATATTTTGTACTTTATGCTTGAAATATTTATGATCTCATGCAATTTGTGGCTTACTGCCTGGTCTTGGCAACTGTCTGGACCGTTCGGTTCGGTTCTGGCCCGTTCGGTCCTGGCCACGGGACCACATCTAGCGACGTGTCTGCCAATCTGTGAAATATGCTGCTAATGCACTTATTGCCGTCGTTGCCATTGAATTTATGTCGGAATCGTCTCGAACTGGTGGCCTCTGCGTTTGATGCTTTTTTCCCCCCAGAGGACAACCGCCCACTCACTTACTAATTTTTGTTCTCGATTTTCTGTATTTTTTTTTTATTTTTTCTTTTAGCCTATGGTAGAGTTTTGGCTCTTGGCCCAATTGGACTTCTGATAAGTTGTGGGGTGTATTATTTTAATTTATTTATATAAACTTTGTACTTGTATTAAGCGTAGGTACAAGACTAAGCGTATGGTTAAAGATATTATAGAAATATGTATATGAAGTTTATGTCTCATTCTGCTCATTTGACTTAACAGCCTTTTTTTTTAGGCATTTATGGGCCCTTATTCAATATTGTTTCTATCCCTGGGGATAGTAGTCCATGTAGGAACAAACTGTTTATTTGTAAATTTGTATATAATTTAATATTATAAAGCTTTTTCTTTAAAGTCCAAAATCTTCCACTTCTGTGAGTTTTCTGAATTTTCACCCTGAGTAGACTGTCTACAAATATCGAATCAATTGAAAATTTATTGGAAAATAAATGCTTAAAGTTCACCGGCCATTGGATCGAGATTAGTCGGATTTTTATTGCAACGGAAACTTGTGTAGGAAATTTTTTTTTAACAAATTTCAGCATAGTCTGACAAACGAAACATACCCAACTGACCAGCTATCCAAGCTGGGGGCTTGCCATCACCAGACCCAGACCCAGACCAGGATACCCAATGCACCAGATCCTGCACCAGATCCATGCACTTCCGTTAAGGAAATTACCAAACAACCCGCGCATCCGGCGAATGTGCGCCCGCAGTCCTGTAAGCCATTTCCAGACATCATTGTCCTCATCCTGCCCCTCCCTCGCAGGATAACGAAAGCATCAAAATGAAGTGAAATTAATGAAATGCCTCGAAGCATGCTATGTGGGTTTCTTGGCGGTTATGTATTGGTTTTCTTAAAAGTGATTGCAAGGTTTTTAAAGTTTGGAAAAGTTTTAGTTTGGCTTTGTGGTTCTGCTACCAAATGCACGTTGGGATTCATATTTTGGCCATCGAGGTAATATCTCGCACTTGTTTGCCACTGAGGCTCATCATTTTCGTTATTTTAATCATAATTTCAAACACACTCGACTGCACACAGCACCGGCGCGGGAAGTCGTTGGTGGAGGGAAGTCCGCAGGTCCTTGTACCTTCACCTGGATAGGATTTTACTTTGCAAACTCATCAAAGTTAAGTTGCCTATGCCCGGGCAATATCGGAAGAGAGGTGGAATGGTAGCAGGGTGGTGTGGCACTAACTTAAGCTGCCACACCGGTACTTCAACGTGAAAGTTGCCAGCAAATATATGTAAGTAGGTCTCTCTATCTGTATAAATGAAATATTTTTGGGGAAGCAGAAACGGTTCGCCACCGAGTTGCGGTGGCAGGGGCAAGTATCGCATAGATGCTGCTATAACTTGTCTCGAATTTGTGTTTGCCTTGCCGCATTTTCATTTCAATTTTCTTGCAATTTTATTTAATCTCACTTGAGGTGCAGCCTCGGATGTACTAGAGTTTGTGGGTTTTTGTGGGCTTAGCCCTGGGATGAGTTGCTCCACATCCTCGGTACGGTTGTCTTTACTCAAATTTACCTTATTTTCGTTATTTTCCCACCACATGCTGCAGCATTTCGGTGAAATAGCCCTAATAGAAGCCAACATCTACTGATATTTACTATTGGACCGATTGCAATCAAGTGCCTTCAATGAAATCAATTATGTCGGGCTGTGTATCTTCTGGGCAATCATTTGGCAACTCTTCCAACAATATTTACTCAGTTTCCATATTTCAATTTTACCTTAATTAATTTGTCTATTCTGGTCAGGTTGTGTTTATTTGCAATGCATTAATTTCATCCCAAAAATTTTGTTTATTTCTAAGCCACAAAATATGAGGCTTTTAAGGCAGGGGGAAGTCCTTATGAAAGTCCTGAAGATTGACAGATAAAGAAATAATTCTATACCAAGATCTGGTGATTACTCGGCTATTGTTGGGACTAGCCAAGTACATTCCAAAGGCATTGAATGACAAAAGTTGGAAGAACTAAAGTATTTGTTTCCCCCACGGCTGGAGCACCTTTTTCTTTGAATATTTGTTCTGCCAACTTTGCGATTGCTGGGCGAACATTTTCCCTGGAAAATGCCCTGAAACGTATACATATATATGAATATATGAAAGTCTGTTGGCCAGAAAAGCACACATACCACCATAGGAGTGTATATTCCCACATCCATATCAATTTTCTTACACCCCTTTTTGTCTGCCTGTTGCAATTTGTTCCCAATTGATTTCCAAACACTTGGAATTTATTGGTTTTCAAAAGTTTGCCAAATTTTATTGTTTCCGCTAATTCCTTTTGTCCAGCCGAGGGGGCGGGGGCTAAAACCCAGCTACCGGCAATGATATGCTTTGTGGGAATACCCAGTCTGAGAGCCTTTCTTGGCCAAAAAGTTGGCCCGGAAATGGGAGCCATTGAATGGAACGTTGCCTTCATGTGGCCATTGGGTTTAGATGTTCGCATCACTTTTTTCTTTACTTTAAGTGATGATTATGTAGAGTATGGTTAATATTAGATGTAAGGGATAATTTAATATTTAATCAAAACATACCAAAAGCAGTCAATCTAGCTACTGTAACTTGTCGGTGGATTAGTCCTTTCGTCAACTATTTAGTTTCATTTTAAGCGTTTAAGTTGGAGTCATAATATTTTATATTTAATATTTTGGGTTAAGAACAAAGATATCATATTATATAAAACATTATTTATAGTTTAAGGTATGTGTGTTATACGTTATAACTACATAAAGAGTAAAAAAATACCCAAATATTTAAATACACTTCGGTTATTTAATATATTTCTAAAAGAAACTGAATACTTCCTATATATTATATACTAGATGTAATAGATGTAATATAATATATCATTTTTCTAATACCTACTATTATTTGAGGGAGAAAACCCCTAAGTAAAACTAAGTACCAAGGATTAAGCTGAAATATAGATTATATTGGATATAGATTTCTCGAAAAGTTCATCCTAAAATAGAATTTTTACAGAAGAAAGTGTAAAGAAAGCAATACCTATTAGCATATATTTTTCTCCCGAATTCTTTTGTACTTTTAATAAGCCTTTTAGATAACCAGAAAAATTAAAATCAATTAACTTGTGGAATAATTTAAATAACATAAAAGTACGGCAATGTCTGGCATCAGCTGCTTTGGCTTTTCTATGTCCTCATGTCCTGTGCGCATGTCCTTCGCCTTGAGCTGCCCAGCTGTGCCGCATTGTTTTCCTGCTGTTGCCGAAGCAAATAAAATTTGTTCAAGTGCCGCACCAATGCCAAAAATTTACAAGTCTAAATAAAATTATTCTAAAAACACAACTCTAAGGTTGTTATTTTCAAAAAAAGTGAAGCAATAAATGATCGGGAAAGCCCAATGAAATTTGAAGTCGTCGGGAAAACTTGTGCTTGTGTCCAAAAGGTGATTACATTGAAAAGAGCACAAGTACCAAGTGAAAATAATTGAAAATGCATCGCTTGAAGTTGGAATTGAGTCAACGGACATGTAATCTGGAAGATAATCATTTAACATATCAGCTTTCCACGATATAATCCAGTCAAAACTTTGCACAGATTTTATTGATTTTTCCTCAATAATTGGCCAGCAAGAAAAAGTGTCCTGCGAGAGAGATAGTACTCTCTCCTGCGCTCTTTCGAGTTGTTTTATCACAAATCACAGCTCTCTCTCTCCTTTTACTCCTTGTTTTGCTAAGCTCATTCGCAAATAAACAAATCACTTCCAAAAAAATCATAAAAAATGTAAATAAATAAAATAAAATCATTAAAAAATTTGTTGCATAAAAATAAAAACAACAAAAATAATCAAAGGATATCGTGTCATCTTGAGTCCAGAAACTAATATTGAGATACCTGCACCCCCTCCCCAAAAAAAATGCCATATAGCCGGAGCCCCCCTCGAAATAAACAGCAATCCACGGGGGGCTCCGCCGGCTCCATCGGCTCAGTCTCCTCCCTGAACTCCGCCAGCTCCTCCAGCCATTTGCTGGGGCACTACCAGTCAGCCTACGGGCAGCAGGGGCACTCCCACGCCTGTTACCAGCACCACTTGCAACATCAGCAGCATCAACATCACCACCAACCGGCACACCACCACGGAGGACGCACTACGCTCACTCCGACCATGAAGCGCGGCAAGAAACAGTGGGGCACCCGGGAGAGATCCGGAATGAGCTTCCTGATAGTCATCACCTTCTTTGCCGTGTTCGGGTTGATTATCCTGACCGAGGTAAGTGTCCGAATCCAGGGGTCTTAATTTAACTTGTTAAACCAAACATTACACTCTCGAATTGAAGAACCTTACCTATGCGACCATAATTTAGGAATAGGAATATAATAGGCTGCATGGTTCTGTAATTTGGCATTAAAAATAAAAAAAAATAAATGCATTTATATTGTTTTTATTGACCATCAGCAGCCATTAAAATGACAAATTGAACAAAACAACGTTATAAAGAAAATAAACATTTTTTCAAGGCAAGTTTCAAGGTAACAAGTTGGCCTTCGATCCTATAAATATTCCTGAAATGTACGATTTTTTAAGAAAAGTTATAGACACTTTTACGATTGGCTTGCCTGCTATTGCGATGAGAGCTCCGAAATTCCACATTCCGATATCTTCTCAAAGGGGTTTGGGTCTTATCATCATTTCGGCAAATGTCAGTGAAACGCTATAGTCGTAACTCTGCCAACTGCCCCAATATATGCCGAATATGTTATCCTTCATTTTGCCATCTTTGTAGAACCTTCCGTTTAGGGAGCTGTAAATGTAAGAATGTAGCTTAATATTTTAACTATATAAAAAAATGTATATTTTACGGTATACCTAAATCCACATTTATTAAACCACCAGCCACCACCATGGTTACTAACGCAACTTCCATCCCCTAAGTCATTATCCCTATCATATGTCGAGAATTTCATGTTCAAATGGTATATGAATGAATCGCCTGCCTTTCCTGTGGGATTTCCAACCGATTCCAATCGATAGGAATTCTCCTCACTGCCAATCTTGAAGTTATCATACTTGACAAAATCTCTGGACCCATTGACTTTTCCTAGACTGATGAGAAGTTCGTACTGACTCGATTGCGTTATTTGGTACAACTTCTCTAGGCCGATGAAGAATTCTCCCGTTAAATAGCCGAACCCATCTCTGTATTCGGTCCAACTCCGGTTAAAATCCACGCTTCCATCGATTCGTCGTTGAATCACCGTCCATCCTGACCCATTGCAAGGAGCCGCGAATGCACTAACTCCCGGAAGCTTTATGTTGTGAATTCCTTTTTCAGCGGTGGTACAGGCGTTTACTTGTTCATTAAATTCGAACAGTCTTTTATTTGCTTTAGTTAAGTTTTGGGATAAATCATTTATTCGACTGGTCATGAGACTATTTTGGTCAGTCGTCTCCTGTATTTCTTGATCCTTTTCAATCAAAGTACGTTTGTTTTTAATAACATTTTCCAAACAGCTTTGTAATTTCTTCTTATCTTCGTCTTTGTCTTTACGATGTTTTTGTAGTTCTTCATGTTTTTCCTCTATTTGTTTTTTTAATGAAATTATAAGGTTGTCTTTAATATTAATAACATTATTTTTGAAGCTTATCAGCTCTTCACTTTCACTTTTTGCTTTTGTAAGGGCTTCGTTGCTTCTGATCAGAGCGTTTATTGTTTCTTTTTGATCATCTTTGCTTTTGAATAAATCGTTTAATATTTGCATTTGGTTATTTTTAATTTGAATCGTCGCGTTCAATGTATTTATTAGCTGATCTTTTATTTCAACTTTGTTTTGCAATTTTATAATCTCGGTTTTATATTCATAATTATTTTCGGCAGCCATTTTTAATTCTCGAAAGTGATTTAGTACAGGCTTTACTACTTCCAAACAAGTCCCACTGCACTTCAAACCCTTAACCAGTTGGTCAGTTAAACTATTTTCAGGATACTGTACATCGCCAACAATTAAGTCACTCAGGACTAAAACGGATAAAATCACTACTAAATTTCGCGGATCCATTGCGTGCTTCCAGGCCTCTGGGCAAAGTTTAAATAAAAAATAATCCGCGCTTGTCTAACAACGAAAAGTACAGTGACTCACAGCTTATGTATGTCCACGTAATCGTTTATGAAAAGAACATTTTCGGAATTTCGCAAGGGTATTAAAGGTCACATTCGAATGCATTCGTTAGATTAATTTCGGGTTTTGTTTTAAATATTGATCTTAGCTGAAAGTTTGGAATATTTATTAATATACATACAAGATACATATACATACTTACTACAAGTGTTTTCTATATAATCGGTGATTAGTCATTTACTAAACATAAAGTCCCCTATAGGGCCCACAGAGATGGCTATATCTTCCCCAATTCTCATCCGATTATCAAGCGGAGTATCTTAAACGATTTCTAGATCGATTCCCCACCATTCTGCATGAAAGTCCTGAGACAAATATTTTTTTAGTTTTTTTGTCCTTTTTCCTTTGTTCTTGAAAATGGTCTTTTTCCCTATATGGTCTACAGATGATCATATCTTATTGTAAAAGCTGAGTTAATTTTTTTTACATATTCTTTGATGTGTTACACCGTTTTTAATAATTTTTGAAATGTTAATTATGAAGAGGAATCAAACAAAAGAGATTACCTTTTTTCCAATTAAAAATTTGCGTCACTTTTTCCGTTCGACTTTTTGGTAAAAAATGTTAATAAAATCAAAACAGTGCACCGTTCGTATCTTAATTAAAAAGAATTATAAAGTCAGTTGGTCGGCTTCTAATGAAGGCCAGCAAGGATGAAAAGCCAGGAGGAATTAGCTTGAATTTTAAAATGGTCTGCCTTCGTTTTCCCGCAGGTCTTTATGATCGACGAGCGAACCCACAGCGGCATGCTGTCCATGCGGGCGGGCGGCGGAGGCGGCAGTCTGGCCGGACGGATGGGCGACTCGATGCCGGATTATGATAATGTGAAGGTAAGATTTTTTATGCAAATTTGGGCTACTTTCTGTTTGCAAATACCGGTGAGAAAGGAAAGGATGTCCTTCTGTTGAAGCCATAGAATTGTTAATTTTTTTTTGATTTTTTAGTTGTTTTTTAAGGCAAACTTAAGATACAATTTCCTTCCATTTCAGGAAGATTATGATCTATTGGATGCCAGCATTTTGAGTGATAATAAATTAGGTTTTATACAGCTCCGTGACAATAAACTAAAAATTCAAGGTGAGTAGCGTCGCCACATCATCTCCAGTGCAATCAGCGGCGCACAATGAGCCAAAGTAATTCAATTTGGGGAGCTTCGATGCTCCGCTGCTCCTGTGCTCCGCTGCTAACAAAGGAGATGTCGATGACAATGGCACATTACGTATACGCCGCATGTCTCATCCGTTTCCCAATTTCCACAGAAGCCGCAGGCGCCGATGGTCAGCGCTTGGCGGGGATGCTGCTCAATGGAGGAGGCGGCGCGGGAGGAGGCGGAGCGGCGGCGGGGCCGTTTGGTGTGAATGTACCGCTAATACCCTGGGGCCAGGTGCTGCCCGGCAAGGTGGAGGAGACGCTGCCACACTTCCCATTTGGCACTCGGCCCACAGACGGTGCCTGGCAGGTTGTCAACGGCACCAGGTTCAAGTTTTTTGTCTACTCCGCCTACTTTGATCGGCGGGAGGGAGCACGCCTGGTGCGAGTGGTGGGCGCCACCAAGACCAGGGGTCCGGAGCGGGTGTGGTGCCGGTTCTGGTATGGTCCGGCTCCGTCCAACGCCACCGAGACGGGCTCCTCAGCACGTGCCAAATACAGTTCTGCTACAGTCATGGCCCGCGTGAAGGTAGGTTCTGTTAATCTTCCATCTAGCGGCAATCTGAAATGGAATCATTGCAGATCATACGTGAGAACTGGAACCTTAAGTACAGCGCCTGCTTCATCCTGTGCCCGGTTCGTACCCCGCCCCTGGCTGTGCCCCAGTACGTCAGTGTGGTCTCGCGTCTTCGGGCGCCGCCGGGAAACCTCCTCACGTTGCGCAACACAGACCAGGACCCGGACTTTGCCCCCCGGAATGCGAGTAATCCAAAAGTTCCCCCCTCGGCCCGGTCGATTCCCAGTGGCGAGAATATTCCCGACCGCATTGCCGTCTGCGTAAAGCCCTTCCACTTCAACTATGACCAGGCACTGTATCTAATGGAGTACCTGGAGTTCTACGCTTTGCTGGGCGTCTCTCACTTCACGTTTTATAACCACACCCTGGGTCCCCATGCCTCCTGTGTGTTGGAGAGCTACCAGAAGGGCCTGGTGCCTGGCTCCCTGACGGCCTTTGATCTGGAGCCCCTGCTTCCGGCAGAGGCGGCAATCAATGCTACACCTCGCATCCTCCAGTCGGCACATTACCAACGCCCCACTGTTAGTATCCTGCCGTGGAACCTTCGGATGCGCAGCCAGAAGGAGATTCGCACCGAAGGACTCTTTGCGGCCCTCAACGACTGCCTCTACCGGACCATGTATCGCTACAAGTATCTGGCCCTGGTCGATCTGGATGAGTTTATTGTTCCACGGTACACGGACACCCTTAACGACCTTATCGGGTGAGTTTTTCCGTAAAAGAGTTTTGGCTTTAACTTAGACCCTATTTTCTTGTAGCTCCCTGAATCAGCGCTTCAGGAACCGCAATACTGGAGCCTACTCCTTCCAGAATGCCTTCTACTATCTCCAGTTTGCGGACGACCCGCTGGCCAGTTCCGGAATACAAGGCGGCGGCGACCAGTTGGCCAGTGTTCGTGCATCCCTGGTGACCCAGAGGAAAACCCGAAGGTGGCTATTTCTTACATAACTTTTAATATTAAACTTGTACTCATCTTTCCTCTATCTAGGCGTTATAAGTTACATCCCCAGAAGCAGAGATCCAAGTACATTTGCAAACCGGAGGCAGTGGTCGAGGCGGGAAATCACTTTGTTTGGGAATTCGCTCCTGGAAAGGGATCTCTGAATGTTCCCCCCAAGGAGGCCATATTGCAGCACTATCGAGTAAGAGGATATTAATGATTTTTATACCCTTATTGCTCCTTATAATTTTTTTTAAGTGTGCAATGCAGTGAAGGAGACATCTCCGACCCTATAAAGTATATTCTTGATCAGGATCAGCTCCTGAGTTTATATAATGTGCGTTATGTATAATGTTATATGAGCATGTGCGTCTGTCTGTCTGTTTCTTCGCGAACTAGTCAAAGAATCGGGTGAGATCTAGAAATCTTTTAAGGTAATCCGCTTGAGAATCGGATGAGAATTGGGAAAGATATAGTCATCGCTGTGGGCCACATAGGGGAAAACTCCATTTTCAAGAGACCTCATCACGAAAAATGGACGAAAAATTTAAAAAATATTTTGTCTCTGGATTTTGATGCAGAATGGTGGTGAATCGATATAGAAATCGTTGAAGGTACTCCGCTTGAGAATCGGATCAGAATTGGGGAAGATATAGCCATCTCTGTGGGCCCTATAGGGGAAAACCCCATTTTCAAGGGATCCCTCACGAAAAATGAACAAAAAATCTAAAAAATATTTTGTCTCAGGATTTTGATGCAGAATGGTGGAGAATCGATCTAGAAATCGTTTAAGGTACTCCGCTTGAGAATCGGATCAGGATTGGAGAAGATATAGCCATCTCTGTGGGCCCTATAGGGGAAAACCCCATTTTCAAGGGATCCCAGCACGAAAAATGGACAAAAAATTTAAAAAATATTTTGTCTTAGGATTTTGATGTAGAATGGTGGAGAATCGATCTAGAAATCGTTTAAGGTACTCCGCTTGAGAATCGGATGAGAATTGGGGAAGATATAGCCATCCCTGTGCGCCATATAGGGAAAACACCATTTTCAAGGGATCCCATCGCGAAAAATGGACCAAAAATTTAAAAAATATTTTGTCTCAGGATTTTGATGCAGAATGGTGGAGAATCGATCTAGAAATCGTTTAAGGTACTCCGCTTGGGAATCGGATCAGGATTGGAGAAGATATAGCCATCTCTGTGGGCCCTATAGGGGAAAACACCATTTTTAAGGAATCCCATCACGAAAAATGGACGAAAAATCTAAAAAATATTTTGTCTCAGGATTTTGATGCAGAATGGTGGCAAATCGATCTAGAAATCGTTTAAGGTACTTCGCTTGAGAATCGGATGAGAATTGGGGAAGATATAGCCATCCCTGTGCGCCATATAGGGAAAAACACCATTTTCAAGGGATCCCTTACGAAAAATGAACAAAAAATCTACAAAATATTTTGTCTTAGGATTTTGATGCAGAATGGTGGAGAATCGATCTAGAAATCGTTTAAGGTACTCCGCTTGAGAATCGGATGAGAATTGGGGAAGATATAGCCATCCCTGTGCGCCATATAGGGAAAAACACCATTTTCAAGGGATCCCATCGCGAAAAATGGACAAAAAATTTAAAAAATATTTTGTCTTAGGATTTTGATGCAGAATGGTGGAGAATCGATCTAGAAATCGTTTAAGGTACTCCGCTTGAGAATCGGATGAGAATTGGGGAAGATATAGCCATCCCTGTGCGCCATATAGGGGAAAACACCATTTTTAAGGGATCCCATCACGAAAAATGGACGAAAAATCTAAAAAATATTTTGTCTCAGGATTTTGATGCAGAATGGTGGAGAATCGATCTAGAAATCGTTTAAGGAACTTCGCTTGAGAATCGGATGAGAATTGGGGAAGATATAGCCATCACTGTGGGCCATATGCTATAGCTGCCCTATAACTGAACTTTCGGGAACGATATGAATTTTGGAAGTTCCTACATATTTTATTTTGTGTCATTTCATTCGACCTACCAAATTTCAAAGGATAAGTCGACTTTATTTTATAGCTGCCATGAAAAATCGAATGGTATTTGGTAAAGCTTTACCAAGCTCAGGTATCATATTCTAATAAACAGGTTTTATAATAAATTTCTAAAAACGACTGGCCTTCTATATGCAATATTTGCGATTAATATCCGATCTTAGCCGCAAGGGTTTATTAACTTCGGCTCCGCTTGAAGCTTGCTTTCTTTTCTTGCTTTTAATAATATGGTAATATATTTGAAAATACTCTCTTCAGGTGTGTGAATTCGGAGGCAACGACTGCATTAAGGCGCCCTCGATTGTGGATCGCACGACTACGAAGTATGTGAACCGCCTGGTCCAGCGGGTGGATGCCGTGTATCGGCATCTTCGCCAGCGTTGTGACCTGCCGTCTCTGCCACCGCTGCCCAAGCCACAGAAGGCACCCGAGGAACCGCCTCAGAAGTCACCCGAGGTGCAGCCTCAGAAGTCCGCCGAGGGGCAGCCACAAAAATCCCCGGAGGGGCAGGTACAGGATCAGCCCAAAAAGGAAAACCTAAAGCCAACAACGATAAAAACTGATATGAAGGAAGGATTGAAGCCAGAAGACCCTGTGAAAGCCACAAAAGCAACTACTGCGACGACAACGACGACAACCAAGGCAACAACGAAGGAGGAGAAATCGAATCCAAACACAACGACAAAGCCGATGGCGAATCCCAAGCAATCCCAGCCATCGGCCAATGTCCGGAAGAAACGGAAGCTGATCGTCTTCGAGATCAACGACTTTGGAGTGCCCGTGGCCCGGGTTGAGTATCAATGAGTGTGGGACATGGTTGGCAATATTTAGTTTACCAATTAGTTTGGTAAAAATGTTTAGGTTGTGCGATTTAATTTGTCCATTGCCCCGATGCTCAAAAACTATTTCAAAATATATGAATATTTGCTCATTTTTAAGTTTTACCAACAAGGGCCATACTGCACTGAAAACAAAATACAAGAAAAGCCAAAGCAATAGAATAAGAAACTAGCAAAGCAACATTTTAGCAACGATATCCCCGAAAGTGGAGCAATTGATACCATCTGTGTTATTCGTTATTGCCAACAGTATTAATTATTTAAGCACATCCTTAAATTTCTTTAGCGTTGTGAGCTTCATTTGGAGACTATATTTTGAATGTTTTCGGTGGTCGTAATGCAAAATTATTCCTATACTAAATTCAAAATATTCCTAAAAATCAAAACACGCATCTATATATGTATGTATATTTATATATATAAGATAAGCCATTGTTTCGTGTTGTAGTCTAAGCAATTAAAACTGAAAAGGCAGCAATAAAAATTACACAGAATAATTAAGATGCCACATTTTCCCGGTGAACTGTTAGTTTTAAAACGCTTTCGATCGCAAATCATTGCCTCTTAGTTTGGGAAAAATAGGTCCTCCGAGCTATGCATCAGTGGGCTAATGATAGTTTAGGCCTCATCGCTAGTCTGGCAATAATAAATTAATATAACTATAAATTAGTTAAGACGCCACACAAAATAACTGAAACGAATTTTCAATGCTTCGAACTTGAATACTGATTTGTTTGGCTTAGCGCGCAAAGAGTATCAAATACCACATTAAAAAGAGTAAAAATAACCTCATACTGGGTCAGTAGTTCGTAAGATGCTAACATTGAAGAAATAAATACAATTAAAATTAAGCAAACTGAAATTTTGTTTTTTCTTGAATTAAAGGGATATCAGAAGCGGATGGATATTTCTTGTAATTACTTTAAAGCTTTTATTCAACCTTTTATAACAAGGTATAATATAAAGGTACAACTTTTTTTAACAGGACATACTATGGTTTTTTCTGGCAAAAGTCGTAAGCTTTAAGGACCTTTTTTTATGGTTAAAAATTGTATAACTGTGCTAAATCCTTGCTAAATCTATAGCAAGTTATTTCATATACAAGTATGCCAAAATTATAATGGTTCCAAGTCTGTTATAAGCTTGTATATTTATTCCAGTACTTAAAAAATATGTCAGTTTGCTGGAAAGAGCTTAGGAAGCTTTTGCTTAAATGTACAAGCTTTGAAACTGTACCGTTTATTATAGCAAAGCTTGTAACTTTTATATTAAGGGGAATCCCCTTAGAGAGTTCATTCATTGTGTTCATAAAAAGGAGAACGTCCTTGAGTGTATTTTTTATACCATTTTTCTTAGCGATTTTAGAGCTAACGACTTCAAAAGTCTGGCTTGTAGTTTTTTTTATAATTCTTGATTTAAAAAAATTAAAAATAAAAAAATATAGGCAATGTGCTACCTTTTGTGCTACTCCCATGTATAAAAAGTTTATTAAAAACTTTCAATAGTCAGAACTCCAAGCTCAAAATTATCACTCATACGCAGTGTTGTCTGGTCTTTCTATCCAAGTGCGTTTTTATGTTTTTGGTTATTTAAAAAAAAATTCATACATACAAATATTTGAATATGGGTTAAAATAAATCAATTAAATGTAAATGAATATAACACGTCCGAAACTTACTGACATTATAAACATTTTTCCAAGAAAACTACGAAAACTAATTCCAAACATGTAGTATAGGGAAGTCCAGTTCCTCTTTTTCGTAATATTAGTATTTAACCCTCTTATTCAGAAGGCCTTTTGAATCGTAATGGCACCAGAAATCGAAGGCTTTCAGCCATTTGGTCAGTCAATGCACGTTGTGCTTGGGTCAGCCCAAAAAATTGCACAACTCGTGTCCATTATGGCCGTAATTGCATTGAAACTGAATTGAAACTGAATGCGTTAGCAAACCGCATAAAATGTGTCCTTTCATTGACGAAGTTAATCGGTTTCAGTAAGCTGAACGAGGACCTTATTTCCCTCATAGGTGTGCTTGTTGTTTAATCATTAAAATTGTATATTTCTTCCAGCAGATCTTGAACTTTGATTGAGGAGAACCTCTTTTGTTAAACACCTTTGATTTGTTGCATTGAAAAAAGATTTTTTATTCTACTCCCTTTTAACCCCACACCGAATAAAGTAAAATATAACTAGGCTAATATAGTGTCGCGATTTTTGTGATCTTCATCTTGGAGTGCTCCTAGTCCTCTTCTGACTCAGAGTCGTCGGCTGTGGTCTCATCAGCTTCAGTGGTTCCTGATGCCTGATTGCGTTTGATGATTTCGTTCAGCTTGCGCTCCACACTGCCCTTCTCCAGTTCGTGCTCGGCCAGGGTCTGGCCCACACAGCCGCTGGCATCCAGACCGACGGCCAGGAGGCCGAGACCCTTCAGCTTCAGGCTGCGCAGATCCCTAGGAGCCGCTTGCAGCTTGTGCACGGCCTTGTTGATGTTACGACGGCAGGTGCCGCGTCCGGAGTTGGACTCCAGGCACAGCTGGATCTGGACGATCAGCTCGTCGGTGGCGTTGTGGTATCCGGAGACGGTCTGGTGGACGCTCTGCTCGTAGAGGGCCACGTGGATCTGCAGATGCTGGAGGCAGTCGTGGATGTAGCCGGAGTAGCGGTTCTGGAACTCGTTGAGGACATCCTCGGCATCGTCGTTGCCCTGGCCGTTGGTCTGCTCATCGACGCGATCCAACTGGGCCTCGGCCCATTGATTCCAGGCAACATCGATCTCCTTTGCGTGCTTCTGCTTCTGCTCCTCCAGCTGGGCAGTGATGTTGTCCAGAGTAGACTCCAGATCCGAGGTGGCATTCTGAAGGGCCAGCACGGTTCTCAGGGCATCTTGAAGGGCCTGGCGCTTGGCCTTATCGGCCAAGGAACTGATGCCGCGTTGCAGAGCAGCGGCGGCATCCTTAACAGCGTCGGAGAAGTCGCCCAGACTCTGGATAACGGCATTGTGCAGGGCATCGGCGATCTTCTGGGCGTAATGCGCCGACTGCTCCAGGTACTCGGAGGTGGAGTTCTTCACCTGGCCAAAGAAATCGCCGGCAATCTCTGATCCGTTCGTGGCGGCCTCAACCAGACCGTTGACGATGGTCTGGCCAGCGTGGCCCAGCTCCTGCCAGACGCCGTCGAGGAGGCCTGGCCGAGGGGTGGCCACCACGCAGCTGGCGCCAATGGCCAGAACGAGCAGTATCAGTGCTGGCTTGGTCGAGTGCATTGTCGATCCACGGAAAGCCTAATCACCCCCCGAGCTTGGAGTTCCATTTTATACGCTCCGCCCCGGGTACATTCCATTTATGTATCTATGCAGGTGGTCCACCTAATTAAATATTGGCCAGTAGCTGCATTTTATTAAATTAGTTAATATTTAAACAGCCGCTTTCCGCGATTAACGTCACGCCTGTCGACGAATAGTGTATGCGGGTTGGATAACGGTCCATCAAAGTAATCGAATGAAACATTTCTTCAAAATGCAAATATGTATATTTGGAGAGTAAAGTGAATGTCCGGCTGTGATGTAATTTTTTTTAATATTAAACATACTTATACTTTCTAAGAATTTTTAGAGTCGTCATCTAGAGATTAATTCCTATTATTTGACCTCAAATATGACCTAAAGAGTTCCTGAAACTCATATTATCTCGTTGGCAAGCGTCTGAATAATATTGTGGCCCACTATGCGGAAGATAAGCACATTCCTGGAATTCATGCATTTTCAAAATCATAAATACACTCACCCACATATTGGGTCACAAAGCAAAGGTTAAACTTTGCTGTATAGTAAATCTGAAATGTATATGGTATTTCGAAGCCCGCCAGGCTGGCATACAAAAGGTGTGGGTGTGGTGGGTGTAGTTTGTGGCATGCCCCATCTCAAAGGATGCAAAAGTCATCCCAGGGCGGGGAAAGTGTAGTGATTGTCTTGTGCTTGCTTTTATGATGGCTTTAATTGCCGCTTGACAAATGTTTGGGCGGCAGGTACAATCTGAGGCAGGAGGTGAGGCAGGGGCGAGGCATGGGGCAATGTGGCGACGTGGCGATGTGGCGAGGCCTTGAGCGACATGCAGTATAAACATTTTATTAGTCTGCTGTTAGTTTTGTTTAATTATGCTGTCATTAACTTTGCCGCACACAGACACACGCATTTCTGCAAAAACGGACAAAAGCTTACATGTCTCAACGTAATTATTGTCGGAGCGTCCAACAAAGAGCCTCGAAGGACGAAGGACACAAACGTGGTGCTCCAGGGACAATAAGTTGGCGCTCCCCCTCTTCGCTCTATTCCTTTCTCTTTTTTCTCTCCTGTCTCCTATCTCTATCACACTCCTATTTTGTGCAGTCGGGCAGCGCAGACATTTAATTTTGCATTTTCAACTAATTGGCTTGCATACTTGCCACATTCTCGTTTCGCTTAATTAATTTAATTAGAAATATGTTCCGGCACAAAAGAAAATCCAAACCTCAAAACCGTTCCAATATCCAGCAGACCCGTTAAGCTTATGATAATTATGCGGCCATTGCAATTACGTCGACATGGTCGCCAAAGGGGGCGGAAAAGGGTGGATCAGGTGGCACGGATGAAGGCCGTGGAGTGGGCGTAGGGGATAGACCGGATGGGCGGCACCTTGTTCATTTTGTGGCTCATCATCGGCCCGATTCAAAAGGATAACTTGTGCTGGCGTCTGTGCTTTATTGAACGGCAGAAATGGCAGAAATTCACATGAGCTGCCAAAGGAGCATATTGAATCTGACAGGGCGGCAGAAGTTGCATCACAATTTTCCAGCTTTTCAATAAGCTTCTGGAGCTCAGATTGCGTATTCTTTAATTTACTTTCTCAAATAATTGACTTTTATATAGAAACTTTTTTTTTGCAAGGAAACTTTGTATTTTTCTGCGGCATGTTATTTTATTGATTGCTTTTTTTTCGAAATTAGTATTTAAAGTCTTAAACCAAATAAAGTCTTATAAAATTAAAGTCGTATTAAAGTCTTATGGATAAAGATATAATAATATTTATGATTAATGATAATAATGATTATGAAAAAATATTAACAGAAATACTAATATGTACAATTCTACTGTAAAATGTAGGAGTTTCTTTTAATATTCTTAAAAATGTGACTACATTTTAATTAATAGTTACCTATAAGATAAGTTAATTTTAAGCATATACTAACAATAGAGGACATTTCTCAGAAAATTTGTAAATTTATATAATCAATCACTTAACAGAACATTACTTGTTAAAAAAACATAAAAAATGAGGCCATAAACCGTACATCGATCTGCGAAAGGGCATTGCGGGCATCACATACAGATGATAACCTTTCCTTTATGCTTCGTGCTGACCTCGGCAACTGCCATGAATGGCTTGGACTGCCAGGAGCAGGCCATGGACCACGGCAAGAGTAAGGACCAGGGCACTGTGCCTGGAAACGATGCCGTGCCGTTGCCATTGCAATCGCGGCCATTAAGTCATTTTGTTTCCTGTAACATTTCCGGTATCTTTTTAGCGTCGCCGCTTCGAGTGTTGCGGCAAGAGGCGGCAGGGCGGAGGCGATTCCTGAAAGTGCTCCTGATTGGAGGCGGAGGGCGGTGTGCCGGTTTGGGTGGCGGTACGGCAACAAATGCTTTTAAAGTAGATGATGGCCACGTTGGCTGCTTGGCCAATTTATTGCTTACCAAATGTGTTGCTGGCCGGGGTCCGAGTGCAACTGCAACTCTATCCAATAGCGCCACGTAAAATGGTCTCTGAAATTAACTTGGCCCACACCAGGCCTGCCAAAGATAAGCAAAAAAAAGCAATAATAAATTGTGAAATAATGGTTGCATTAATGATGGCCTTCTACCTTTACGGCGGATGAAAAAATTGATATAAAAATGGATGTAAAAATGGGGGGAGGATCTTTAGTGACAAGCAACCTGTGAAGCCCCAAGAGGCTTTTCAGTTCTCAGTGAGGTCTCAACCAATAAGTCTTAGCTCTTGGATAAGAGGATTCCACTAACATGTTTTTTTAAAAATACATTCGGCCTGAGTAGACTCAACGAGCGTAAAAATCGCGAACGCATTATTTTGCATGTGCAGGAGCAGTTGCCAAATCCAGGAGGAGATTCACGCGTAACACGGCACTCTAAGAGCGTTGCTCATACGCAGCGTTGCCAAAGATGCGATGCCAGAACTGGGATCCCCTTGGCGCACATACAACAGATTTAGTGCGGCAGCTTTTATCTAGTCGCATTCGCTTGGCTATCGTCTGGGGAGCAGACCTGGCTCGGTCTCGATCCAGGACCAGGACCAGGCCAGGACATGCCAGAACAGGTAGTCCTGTGTACATTTGTTCATATGAAAGTGCCAACCGGGCGGGGCAACCATTCCCACCAGCTCTTTTAGTGTAAACGTATCTGTATCTCCGGACCGGCCGTATCTGTTTCTCCATTTCGCACTCGGGCAATCCCATCAGTCCCGGCTAAATGTGTAACAGCAGTCACTTAGCGAACTGAATACTGAGAGCCGGGAGCTGGGAGCTGGGAGGCTGGGAACTGGGAACCGGCAACCTCGAATCTCCAACCTCGGCAACATTGTGTGCGGTCGTTACTTCATTGGCAACAATCCCCTTGACTCGGTGCTCTAGCTGCTGCTTGCCACGTTTTCATTGTTTTGCTGTGCATTTTATTTTATTTTTTGCACTCGCTCTTTTTTTTTGCCACGTATTTTCTTTTAATGCGCTGCGGATTTGCTCTGAAATATGCATAGGGGGCTGAACTCGACCACCCACCCGGGCACCACCGGCATCCACCTGGCCTCTATCTGTCTCCCAGTTGGCCCGGCACTCTTATGCTAATTAAGTTTATGCTAATTTAACTTATTGCCACTAAGTTGGCCCACATATGCGGCCAGCCGCAGGACCCATCACTTTATTTTGCGGAGCTTCTCCTCCTAAATTACCCAAAAATTTCGCTGGAACGCAATCTGCTGGCTTTTATGGAGTAACCGAGAAACTTAATTGGTTTATAATGGAAATGGAAAAAAGTAGCAATCGGAAATCCTGGTCATTAATTTAATTAAATGTTTCTCCAAAAAAATAATCAAGTTACTAATGCAAATAAGACAGTATTTGAGTTTTAATTAAAGGTACGATTAATACCTCTTTTCAAAGTAGAATTACCACCCACATACACAGTGTTGAATATTTACAACTTACTGAGCCAAAAACGTACAGTTTTCGTCGATTTTCAGGCGAACTTATTGTCTGATTTTTATGTAAATTGCATTTAAAGCAATAAATCAGTTTTAATCAGCCCACGAGCCGGGCAGCTGAGCCGAATGTCGTTGTCGCTGTCGTGTCCTGCTGGATGCTGGAACCTGAATCCTGAATGCTGGATGCTCGATAGGCCTTGTATGTATATGTATGAGTTTTTGTGCGAATATTGGGGCCTGCGGGTGCTCTTCTGTGTCTGCTTGTATGACATAAGCAAACGCATTCTGTATGCATGGCGCTTTATTAAAAAAAAAATAAAAACGAAAATCTGACCAATAAATGAATTTCTGTGTATGCCTGTGTATATTGAAATTCGTTCATTAAAGATCTGAATATGGAAAGTTGGACACACATACCGATGGCAAGGAAAGTCAATCGATAATATCCTGGTTAAGCACTGTCTTAATAAGGACATTTTTATGCATGCTTCATGTTTATGGATATTATTTTAAAGTTGTTTCTGTAATTTTATGATTTAAAGGTAAAATAAGGATCTTTAAGGATCTACAATGATCTTTAGCAGGAGCTTCAGAAAATCGATGTATCCTTTGCGTAGAAATTACTTACACGAAGGTGTGTGTTATCCTTGTAGTCCACGAGTACTGGGTATAATTACACTAAATAGCCGTGGCGTTTGTTTAGAGGATCTTCATAAAAGTCGCTAATTAAATTAGTAAGCCCCAGCAACTGCGTTCGCATTTAATTGTGCAGCATAAATCAACGCAACAAAAAAGGACGAAATCCAAACCAAAAAACAGAAGGCAAACCAGAACAACGAGTGACACAACATTTTTGGCCCGAAAATGTGATCAAACTTTTGTCGGAGCCAAATTATTTTTCGCATGTAAAATGCTTCGGCTCGCACCAAACAAAAACAGCGCTTTTGGACAGCATTTCCCTGTTGCTGGCTGTTTGTTTCTGGACAAAAACGAAAAGTTAATTCGTGGCAATTATGTTGACATGCCAAATATCCTGGTCTCTGGCATCCTGGTGG